CCGCTAAATACCTCCCACCCGAGTATCAATTTGGCACCATTTTGCGGCATCGCTTTTGTCTCAACCCATCGGCTACCGCATTTGATCGAGCTCCATGAATAATAACCCAAAACAGACAGCTAAGGTGGCAGTAATAACTCAGAAAAAAGGGGAGAAGGGATTGCCCGGCTTATCCCCCCGATGCCATCCCCTTCCCCTCGGCTTGACCTTCCTTCCATTTCATCCCAAATAACCGTCAAAATGGTGACCGGAACGCTGGAACTCCCAGCAGGGTATCGTAGCCTTGCTTTCCCTTTTCGTCTAAACTCAACCAACTGAACGAAGGCCTGGAGGGAATTTGGAAGGGTTCGGACTGTTGAGAGACCAGACTTTTTCTAAAGGGCCATTGAAGGGTCGTTGGGCTGGTGAGAAATAGGGGCCACACAGGGAGGGCCAGCTGCTTTCACCATTAATGGAAGCAATCGTATTTTGGATTGACATGGAAGGGGACTGTTTTTAAAGGGATCGGCAAGTCATGGGGGGATTTCAGGGTGTGGGAAGTCGAAATGAAAATTTCGACAAGGGTTTTGTCGAAAACCAGGCATGTTAGTAGAGGTGTTTGCGGATTTTATTCTATAAAAAGTTCGCAGTTTGGCCTCAAAATAGCAAATTTTAAAAATACAATGTTAAAAATTCCCGCTGAAAACAAATATATTATCCTTGAAAAAAACTTCTGCTAGTTTGCGGTTACCGTAATTTAGCAAGTAGTCCATACTCTACCCACCTTCACCAAATTCCCAAAATTGCAACACTACCATCTAGGTCACTAAACGCGCTCGCCGGCAAGGGCCACCTGTACCCACAAAGATCAAGCGCTAGGGCCCGTCCATGAGGCCCACTGTCTCCAAACAGTGCCCTAATTTCTTGCTCAAACAACCCGCACAACCTCAGGCTCAGCCTCTAGGCGTTTCGATACAAAAAACACTGCCCATCCGAGCCGGGGGCAATATGCAAATCGGCTGATTGCGTAAGGGTGGGCACCTGGCTTCGGATGGGCCCTTCCTTGGCTTGGTAGGGAAGGGGGAAGGGTTAAGCCGATGAAATTGAGCCCCTAAAGGGATAGGGAACCGCCAATTAGATACGCAACGTCTTCGCCAAGATGCCACAGTCATTTTTGGGCATGGGCTATTGGGAGGATAATGAAGGGTCAACGTAGGGTATAGAAAAATGGGAATTTGAAGGCCGGAGAATGGAAATTAGTAAATTTTAGATTTACGCATTTCATGAAATATGGAAAGTACGTAATATCAACGATTTAAAAAATATAGAGAATTAAAAGTGTCGCTGCAGGCCCTACCCAAAACCGCCAAACCCTTTCCTCGCCGGCCTTAATATTTGTCAATCCATTTCGGGGTATCGTGTCCATTCATAATACGCTGTACCGCCCCCAACATGTTAAAAGGTCGAAATTTTCAGTTCACGATTTTCAACCAGCCTTCTAGATACTTTCCAATGCCGTTAAACCCGTCAATTACTTACTAATATCCAGTCATACCGTAATCCTGCCCGTCGACCTGTTTGGTTATTTTACAACATGTTAAAATAACCAGATTTTTAAAATGCTAAAATCCCGGCAGGCCAAAATGCCGCTAGCCGTAATGCCGACCCCCAAAACTCCGACCATTCTGGAATTCGAAGCTTTTCAAGACTTCCAACCAGTTTTCTCATAGCGCCCGTTACCTTTAAACCCCTTAATTACTCGCCAATACACTCCCAATACCGTAATCCTAGCCATCCATTATCCCGTCGACTTTTACAATCCAAACCCCCGGCCATTTTACCGCAGTATCCGACCCATTTATGAGCGATCGTATGGAGCCCTCTGAAAAACAAGCACCCCTGCGTACAATCGACTTTTTAGGGTGTACGTGGTATCGGGACGGAAGCGAGGTAGCTATAAATCGAGGCCACACTCCATCCTCGACCTCCTCTATTGCAACAATACCTCTTTAGGTCTAGAGGGGAGGTGGAGGTAGAGAAATAGGGTGACTGTTTATGGTTCATTCCGGTTGGCACTAAGCCTTTAATGCCCCCCGTCCACGATCATCACCCCGAACCCTCATGCTCACTCCCCTATTCTTTGCTATGAAATGGATACGGTAGGTGGAGGAGGTGGAGGACGAGGTTTAGGGAAAACAGGTTGAGAAGGGTTTGGAGGGGGTGGGGATGAGTTTTGGGGGGTTGGCAAGTTATTTGATAGCATAGAACATGAATCGAGGTATTGGAATGATCTTAAAGGGATTGCGAAGTCATAATTTAAGGTAATATCTCGTAAATGATTTCGCGAATTTATTCTAAACATCTTAAGGAACGCCTAAAAGTAACTATCGCATAAAACATGTAAATTGACTATATAAGCCTGACAAGTTCAGATCCATATTACCAACCATGTAATCTACGACCTTGACAACTTTCTGGCCATTTCCTCTATATGGCAGCTGCCTCCCTAGTCCCGATAATGTTTTGACACCCATTGCGCAATCTAATACCTACTTTCCGGGGCCTAGATCGACATACTGATACAAGTGGACGTCACGGTTTTCTACGGTATCCTGTCCATTCCTAAATTTCTAAAAAGACTGCTAGTCTCTGGAGTGCTACTCAAAGCTCGGAATTCCGAAATAACCTCTGCTAGTTTGCTGCTGTTCCAAAATCTCAAAGTAATTCCTGGCCCAGCGGTTACAAAGCATAAATTCATCCGCTGGCCTGCAGATTGACTCCTCGAGACGGTTAAAATCTCCAAAAGGTTCTGCTAACCCGCCAATTTTTGCCTAAACGATTTTGGAAAGTTTACTAAAAGATAAAAAAGCGAAAAAAAAAGACGTAGAATATAACCAAAAGAATCAATAAAACGAAAAAATCGACAGCCTCCATCCGCAATACAGCCCTAAACGCGACCGGATCCGTATAAGCTTCTTAGCCTATCGAAAATTTTGTCATTTTCAGCACCTCTGCCCTGGCATTTTCTTTTTGGAGGCCCTGTGGGTGGTTAAGGCGCTTATAAATTGCGTTCCAGAATGAGTCTATCGCCTCTTAAGAGTCTGAATATTTTTTGTAAGGTTTTTTTGTCAAGCTCACCAAAGTCATATTTATTATTGAACTTAAAATGTCACGACGATAACCGTACGTCGGATTATCTATGAATCCCACCTATGAACCACTTATGAATGGGTAATATGAACTTTGATAGGCCCATTCAGTCAATCGTTCGTTGTAAATTTAACGTTTTAGGGTTTCGTTTTTCAGAAACCGAAATTATTATTATTTAAATTGCAACCTCAGACCGAACCATATACGGAATGGCTCTTCTATTGATTTTGGAAGATTCCATAGAACAGTTGAAGCCAAACTATCCCGGTTCTGCTCCGCCAAATCCCGGCTACCGTATCGGCATAACTCGGCAAACTTTGGCCACTGCACTGTATCGGAATGCATATTTGTGTTAATGAGGCGATGGGGCTGCTCTCTCTCCCCTCGCTCTCTCTCTCTCTCGCTCTCTCTCTATCAGTGTGGGTAGCAGAGGGAGACTATTTGGGAGGAAGGTGGGGGTCCGCTGGGTCACGCATCGGTTGGTCCCATACCCGGGGGTCCACCCGTGTCCTGTTGGCCCTTCAGATTAGGCAGTCTTCTTCTTTTCCCTCTTTGCTTCTTTTCTTGATACAGAGCATCTTCCGTTGGAGCTGTAGGGCGGGGGAGTAGTGGTCAGAAATTAAAAAGGGGTTAGATTGAAAAGATGAAAATGCAAGGTTAAGCTTGTATTTGATGACACTCTTCCTTTAAAAGGTTGTGGTTTTTAGCAATTATTAAGTTTTTTTTAACTATTTCCAGGAATAAATTAATTCAGAAAAATTCCAGAGTTAAACAGTTTTTTTTTAAGTTGTACCGTGCTTTGCAAAATCTACAAGTAATTTTCCTATCCTCAAAACTATAGGTTTTTTTGCATATTTTCTATGATAAACCTTTAAAAAATTTCTTGGTATCATTCCGTTATTGTACATTTATTTATCAACCAGCTAATCCATTGTTGCCCGCCGGAATCGCCCCAGAATCTGATAAGGGGGCTAGGTGTGAAGAAGGTACTCGAATCTCATAGACCCCCCTAGAAAGAGTCGAGGGCCACGGGTCATTCATTGTTTGAGCAACAGCTTACGGCCAACACTAGATATCTCTCTCTCTCTCTCTCTCTCATACACACTCGTCAAATATACAGGCCCTCTCAGCGACTGGTGTAAGAAATTGTTCCCAGCCGGGGGTCAAGCAATAATGTCCTCAAACGGCCTCAAAAACCTGATTTTTTACAACTGAAGACCTACCAAAAACTACTGTAAGAGACCTGTTCCCTACAAATTGCCCCTTCCCCCTGGATACAGTAATCCATTGCTACCCTCCATTAGCGTCGGCCCGGCTCTGCCTAATACCGTAATTACATGGATTAAGCCGAGACGGACGGCAGGGTTTGGAGGGGTAGCATCCTTTTTCACATCTTCTCCTTGAAAGTTCCATTTCGTAGATTGAAATAACAATTTTGTAATCTCAAACTAAAAACATCTTATTTCAGGAACGATTGCTGCTGACTACGAAATCATGCTCTATTCATTTTAGAAATAAAGTTTAATTTTCCTAATGTGTCTAACACTACAGTGCAACGATTGAGCTATATATTGAAATTCGTTTATTCACTGAAAGAACTGTAGTAATGGAGATTCTGGTCGTGAAATGAGCAAAAAAGGATAAATTTAATACAGATAATGCTCGGCTAAAAAGTTAAAATTTCAAAGTATACAATACGAGGTACAACAAAATAGACGAGAAAGTGGAAACGGACCTGTATGAGCGATTGATGAGATGGGCGTTGATTGTGAATTTGATAGATTAATAGTATAGAGATTATTGAGTTAGATAGTTTTAGGTATAATCAAGGTATTCATAACAAATTTTCTAGTTTGTAATTTGTACTTTTAATACCGCCTTCGCGTTTCATTATACGAATCCAGCGGGCTGTCGCTGAGGAGGAGGAGCTTGTGTTTGAATAGATGGTTGTAGCCCTGGAATTAATAAAAATCGGAATTAAAAATAAAGTGCTTTAGGGTACACTTAAAATACCGTACCTTATTACAGCAAATACTCGAACACAGTATTCGCGACGCGAAGTTATTCAAATTTCCTCCACAGCCAGAGTATGCAAACCCTTGGCAACTGTCTGTTACCGGGTTGTAGGTAAATCTAAAGAATTTTCAGGTTTTGCAAAGTCGAAAGGTCTCGAAATCCGGCTTCACAAGCCGTTTAAACGTTCCAAGATTAGTTTTTAAACTGGAATACGCTAATTTATGAAATTATGTAGCGTGTAAGGGTATTAGTTTTAACCACTTTGAATCAATTTGAATTTGAATTTGAATCATAGTTAGATCACCTTAACTTTATTTTTATAGCTATTTGTATACCTCTGCTGCTGTGGCATTGATATTGAGGGCTCAGGGTGGCTCCCAAACCGGCATTTTCCGGTCGTTTCCGGTTGCAGGCAGAACGATTCTAAATTTTTTCAAATGTTTTGTTCGCGTTTTCTCACTGTTTCAACAAAATTCCCACTCGGCCAAGGTTGCTGAAAGCTGTCACCAATTTCTAGTCTAGGTCGAATTCAAATGCGCGCCCTTTTTCGTATCTCATTTTCCAGGCCGCCGCCAGTGCAAAAGTCATCAAAAACCTTTTTAAGAATCAGGGCATTGGTTTTATCTACTCTTTTCTTCCTTTATTTTTGATATATTTTTATCTGTATGGTCTTATAATAACCCTGAAAAAGCCTACGTGGATTAGGACAGCAAAACGAGTCACCAGCCGCCATTTGGATGCATACGTAGCCGACCGATGGACAGCCCACTTGCTAAAGTCATCATTTCTCTTCGGGTCATTCTCTGGCACCATTTTCAAAATAAAAACCTTTATTTTGTTATTTTTAAGATATTTAAGATGATAAGATAATAGATATTTATAACTTCTATTTAAGGTATTAGGCTAAAATTGACAAATCAGAAGTTTCGAGCTCAGCTTGAATTGCCATCACTTCTCGATCAGCTGATCGACTATTTTTTTCTTAATTTAACAATTATAAAGTTTTTTCCACATTTTTTTGAGCTCCAGTAGTTTAAACGATTATTTAAACGCTTATGCAAAACCGGATTCTTTCAATTTTATTTTTATGAAAATATGCCAATTCTAGCTCCGATCTTACTGTAGCAGTTCAAACACTAATGACATGGTGACCTCAAATGACCTATATTGCTTATCATACGAAAAATATAACATTAATGCCTTTTTTTACAATGTGTCTAAAAATCGATGCCTCTGGAATGCTGACGAGCCATAACTCTTTCGCCATTTCCTTGCATTTCCCTTTACCTGTTGAACATTACAACTAATAGGCAACCCCAGCTCTGTCTTCAACGGCTCTCCCTGTGGACACAAACGGTCCTCATGGAATAGTTCATTCTAAAATTATTTAATATTATTTATATTATTATGTATTTTTCTGTATTCAAATTCACCTGGCCACTCTGTGGTGCCAATGTAGGATGCGTAGATGTTTGAAGGGGTACCGGCGTTTCACGGGACGAGGATTTTAGGGAATTAAAGCGGACTTGGAAGGGGACATCGACCGCTAGATTATTATTGTTAATTTTAATTGACGTAGCCATACCGATTCGTTGTGCCACTATGCAACGGTGTACGCACTCGCCTATACTTTCAAAGTTATTCAAATTTCCTCCAATTCCGGTATAGACAAATGGGAGGCATTGGTTGAATCCGGAATGGAAGTAGTATCTAAAAATTTTTATTTTTATAGTTTTTAATTAAATTTACCTTGTTAGGAATAGATGCCCCTCACCAGGTTGGACCGGTTGTTCACAAGGACTGCTCGAATGAAGTTGCCCTAACATATCAAAAATACTTTAAATTAGGTTTTAGTTACCGGGACATCTCCTCTGACAATCTTCCAATGTATAAAAACTATTTTGATTCCCAGCGATTCCTGTATATTGGAATGGCTCACACCTAGAAAAGGACTGAGTGTAATTTTTTACTAGCTTACTTGTCCAAATTCACATTAAAGTAGAATCTAGTAAACGGCCCAATTTTTGAGGGCCTTCCTTGCATTAATGGCAGCGTACAAGGGTTTGATAGTGCTAAATTTGTTAAATTTCGATCAATATTGAAAATGACTTGCCTCCAGGACAGCAAACATTGGTAGTACGGCTATGGCCAGGATGACACCATTGCCCTGATGGACAAGCATCCACATTACCGTCACATTTGGGAATATTAGACCAAGTGTCCGTCGAATTTGCGCAAGGATTAACGAATGCTAGGCAAAAACTATATTTACTATAAATTTCCCTTACCTGGACATGCTTCTTCACATTCGCTTTGGCTAACAAAATTGTTCTCGTTTCCTCCACGGCCCAAGTATGTAAATGGCGCGCATGTTAGGGACATCGCTTCGAAGAACCATCTGAAATTTTTCTTATTTTTCGTTCCGTTCTTTTTGTCTAAAAATCCCTGATAAGATATTAACAATCTATTTTCAGACTTCCGGGTCTCAACTAATACAACAATGGCACAAGTGCCGACGTAAGTCCACTATAATCATATCCTACAAGTATTTAATCGTTTTAGTGCCCAAAATGAAAGCGAGAAGAAAAATGAGAAACTAGCCACCGCCATCCTCAACTCAAAGGCAAAGCCCAACCGCCTCCTAGTCGATCAGAGCGAGAAAGATGACAACTCGGTCATCTCCCTTTCCCAGGCCAAGATGGACGAGCTCGGCCTCTTCCGAGGTGATACCGTCATGCTCAAGGGAAAGAAGCGTCGCGAAACTGTATGTATTGTCCTCGCCGATGATGGTTGCCCCAACGATAAGGTTCGCATGAACCGTGTCGTTCGTCACAATCTGCGTGTCCGTCTTGGCGATGTTGTCAGGTTAGTAGAGTTACTAGAGATATAACTTGATGAGTGCTTTAGTGTAACTGCAGCCCCAAATGTTGGTTATGGCAAGCGAGTCCATGTGCTTCCCATCGATGACACAATCGAGGGATTGACTGGAAACCTCTTTGAAGTGTTCCTCAAGCCCTATTTTGTGGAATCCTATCGCCCATTGCACAAGGGAGATATCTTCACCGTCAACGCTGCTATGCGTAATGTCGAATTTAAGGTGAGTTCGCTACTAAAAATTACTTATATATGCTTCTAGGTTATCGAAACCGATCCGGCCCCTGCCTGCATCGTTGCCCCCGACACAGTGCTCCACTATGAAGGTGATGCCATCAAGCGTGAAGATGAAGAGGAAAACATCAACGATGTTGGATACGACGACATTGGAGGCGTAAGTCAGCAATACAAAATCTAATGGTCCCCTTTTTAGGCCCGCAAGCAATTGGCCCAAATCAAGGAAATGGTCGAACTCCCGTTGCGCCACCCACAACTCTTCAAAGCTATCGGAATCAAGCCACCTCGTGGTATTCTTCTCTATGGACCTCCCGGTACTGGAAAGACCTTGATCGCTCGTGCTGTTGCTAACGAGACTGGAGCTTTCTTCTTCCTGATCAATGGTGAGTGGAATAAACTAATTGTCACGTCTCAATTTTCCAGGCCCCGAGATCATGTCCAAGCTAGCTGGTGAATCCGAGTCGAATCTGCGTAAGGCTTTCGAAGAGTGCGAGAAGAACAGCCCGGCCATTCTCTTCATAGATGAGATTGATGCTATTGCCCCCAAACGTGAGAAGACGCACGGAGAGGTGAAATAACGCAAAATAAATTTTAAATATTAATTTAGGTTGAGCGTCGTATCGTCTCACAGCTGCTGACCCTTATGGATGGTCTCAAACAGCGTGCTCACGTCGTTGTCATCGCCGCTACGAACCGCCCGAACTCGATCGACGGTGCTCTCCGTCGTTTCGGGCGTTTTGACCGTGAGATTGACATCGGTATCCCGGATGCTGTCGGCCGCCTCGAAGTCCTGCGTATTCACACCAAGAATATGAAGCTTAACGATGACGTCGATCTCGAGCAGGTAAAAGTTCCTCCATCATTAAAATCGAGTCTAGGTTGCCAATGAGTGCCACGGATACGTCGGTGCTGATTTGGCTTCTCTCTGCTCCGAGGCGGCCCTGCAGCAGATTCGCGAGAAGATGGACCTGATTGACCTCGAGGACGACACTATTGATGCTGAAGTCTTGAACAGTCTGGCTGTGACTATGGAGAACTTCAGGGTTGGTTTCTACCTCCCAGAATAACAAAAATATATTTAGTTTGCTATGGGCAAGTCTTCTCCATCGGCATTGCGAGAAACCGTTGTCGAAACCCCGAACACCACCTGGGCAGACATTGGTGGTCTACAGAACGTCAAGCGCGAGCTTCAAGAGCTTGTCCAGTACCCTGTCGAGCATCCCGAGAAGTACCTCAAGTTCGGTATGCAGCCATCGCGTGGTGTGCTCTTCTATGGTCCTCCCGGTTGCGGTAAGACGCTGCTCGCCAAAGCCATTGCCAATGAGTGCCAGGCCAACTTCATCTCGATCAAGGTAGGGTGCCGTAAAATTTCTATCTTGAAATTTTAGGGTCCTGAACTGTTGACGATGTGGTTCGGAGAATCTGAGGCTAACGTTCGTGACGTGTTCGACAAGGCTCGTGCCGCTGCTCCTTGCGTTCTCTTCTTCGACGAGTTGGACTCGGTCGCCAAGGCTCGTGGTGGCTCTGCTGGAGATGGAGGAGGTATGATTTTGAAAAGAGAGTTAAAAGTTATTTCTTAGGTGCTGCTGACCGTGTGATCAACCAAATTCTGACTGAAATGGACGGTATGAACAGCAAGAAGAACGTGTTCATCATCGGAGCCACCAACCGACCGGATATTATCGATTCGGCTGTGTTGCGTCCTGGTCGTCTTGATCAGCTCATCTACATCCCGTTGCCGGATGAGGCTTCGAGGATTCAGATCTTCAAGGCTAATCTCAGGAAGACTCCAGTTGCTCCGGATGTGGATATGATTGTTCTGGCCAGGACAACTGTTGGATTTTCTGGCGCTGACATCACAGAGATTTGCCAAAGGTAACAAGTTTCTGGTGATTTAGATGCAAATTTTTAGGGCTTGCAAGCTTGCCATCCGCGAATCAATTGAGAAGGACATTCGTATGGAGAAGGAGCGTCAAGAGAGACGTGAGAGGGGCCACGATGAAGATCTCATGGATGAGGAGCCAGTCGATCCGGTCCCGGAAATCACCCGTGGACACTTCGAGGAAGCGATGAAGTTCGCTCGTCGTTCCGTCACTGACAACGACATCCGGAAGTAAGTACCATTAAACCAAGCATTAATCCCAAAAAATTCTAGGTACGAGATGTTCGCCCAAACCCTGCAGCAACAACGCGGCTTCGGCAACAACTTCAAATTCCCGGGTGAACAACAAAACCAGGGCGGTCAGCCACAACCGACCCAACCCTCTGGTGGAACCGGAAATGATGACGATGACTTGTACGGCTAATGCCAATCGCCCCCCTTGTCACAATCACTTCATCTCGATCTTATTTATTTGTGACTTACGCTGATCACTGAAATTAAGGGTGTATTGTTCTCTCGTACCGGCCCCCTCTCCCCTGTGAACACAGAACACTTTTGTGCATGTTGCGTATAATAAACTGGTGTAAATGGTTTGTATAAAGGACAATTTGTATACCTATCAAGTGCAGCATCGCCTTCACCTTCTTGGCGTGGGGCCTGGCAGGAATCACCAAGTTTTGGGCAGCACACCTAAAAGTTCACATAACATTTTTGGCACACTTCAAAACCATTTGCTTTTAAACAAAACGAAATCAAAACCTACTTTTATTTTATATTTAATAATCATTACTTACCATATTATCCGAAGTATGCCCTCTATGACAATAATATCCAGTACCACACTGCACACCACCGATCCCACAGGCAAGTATCGAACCCTCGGGGCTCGTTGCTGGATCTCCGGCAGCACACGGATTACTGAAAACAACAGTGTCACTTTTATAGTGCTTACTTACATAAACTCCGGACATTTATTCTGGCAATCCTCGAGGGTCTCAAAGTTGTTCGCATTCCCGCCACGCCCCGAATACGTGAAACGGACGCATTTCCGGAAGTGGCGATCGTAGTAGAAACGTGATATAGCCGCATTTCCGGTGCCTTGCTCGATTTGAAGTTTGCAGGGATCACCATCTAGATGGGTATTTTATTACAGTGCTATTAAAAGCAGAAACATCTATAGAATTAGTTTTATTAGTTCAATATGTAGTAAGGTCCAAGTTTTACTTTACCTCCCGGGCAACACACTGCAATTTTTCGCTGCTCCCCAACGTGACACCAGAATCCGGCTGGGCATGAGGAGCGGGCCAGGGCTGAATTAATAGGGGGAGGTGGGAAACTCGGGGTTTTAGTTACTGTGGGCCATTGATGCGGTGCAGAGCAGGAACTCGCCGGCCAGAGTGGTTAGGGGTTGTCCATTGGGGCATGGGTTCTCCAGTACTGAATGGTTACGGTTTATTGAGGCAAAGTTTTGATATTGCTTTTTGAAATTTGAGTATGAAAAGTAAATAGGAAGGTTAAAAAATTTAGGTCTATTCACTGTCACTATCTCGCTCTCTCGCTCTCTCTCTCTCCCTTTCTCTATACAAACCTGGACATTTCAATTCACAATCGATCTTCGACCGGAAATTATTCTGATTCCCTCCCATTCCTCTGAACATAAACGCAAGACACTGCCGGGTTTCGGTTGAAAAGTAGTATCTAAAAAATAGCTTTATAATTTGAGCACAAGCTACCGTTGCACCGGCTCGTCGCCTCGACCCTCACTCTTTGGTTCTGCGCATGGTTCTCTTGCTCTACCCGGGCAGCATACTGTAGAATGTTCATGGGATCCAAGGTGGCAGAAGTAGCCCTCGGAGCAGACACTAAAGAAATTTTGGTAAAGGTTGCTTAATGAGGGGATTTCGTATTGTTAGAGATTATCCAAGACCCCCCCGTAAAGCGACTTTTACCGAAGCCTTAGCATATATCACAAAATTTTCTAACCCATCATCATCCGCCGAACAATGGATCTGCGAAAACGATTCGTCAAGTTGTGGCTCTCCGCTGGGACATGGATTTGATAAAACTAGAATTGAAAAGTAACTATATCCATATTTATTAATACCGGGGCACCGCTTCTCGCAGTCATCCTTCGTCACAAAATTATTCTCGTTTCCCTGGCTGCCAGAATAGAAGAATTGGCGACAAGAGCGGGTGTCTTGGTCAAAGTGGAATCTGTTAAAATTATTAGAAAACGCTATTTTTAATGCTTTGCAAAATACCTTGGTACTGCAAACGCGCCGCTACCAACGGACATTGGTTGTTCGCACGGATCGGCCGCACCTGGGCAGCACACCTAAAGTTTATTGTCGGCCTGCTGTGCCTTTAAAACATACCGTACTCTCCGGTGTCAACCCCTCGTGACACCAGTACGTTGTTGGGCAAGTTGCGTTGGGTCCGGAACATTTGCTGAATTGGCCCCCGTGTGCGATATGGGGTAACCCGGTTGAACAAGGGGATCTGAAGGGTTATTAAATTATATATACAAAAATGTTGACTGATATAGACATAACGTGCTATGTATAAAAGTAAAAATTTAGATTTACTCGACTTACTGAAACTCGGGACATTGACTCTGACAATCAGCCTTCGATAGGAAATTGTTCTCATTGCCGCTCTTTCCGGAATAGACAAAACTGGCGCACAGCTAAAGACGATTTTCTATGTAAAGCTATATACAAAAATACCTTTGTCTCCCGATCGTGATACCATCGATTTAATACATGACCTCCATTTCCTCGAATCATTGGTAAAGTGCACGGATCACCAGCTAAAAAGTTTCGATTTTTCAAGTTAATAGCCGACTACCTCGATGGCAACAAACTGTAGTAACCGATGTGGCACCAATATGGCAATAGAAACCAGACGGACAGGAGGAATCGGAAGTAGAGCAAGTCATTGGGACCCCTAAAAGTTGATAGAGCTTAAAAACTTCCTGGCACACTCCCTTTAACCCTAAATTCTACCCACCATCAGAATCAAAAGCAGGCAAACCGATAGAGCATGGATTCTCTACAACCGGACACGCCGTCTCACACTCTGATTTATCATTGAAATTGTTCTAAATTAAATAAATGTCAATTTTAAAGTTTTACCTGATTTCCGCCTGATCCAGAGTACACGAATTGCTCACAATGCCGAGCTTCTTCATTGTAATAAAACCTGGAGAGCTGCTCCTTCCCGGTTCCAGCGGCTAGTGGCAGGAGACATGGGTCGAACGCTAAATTCCGCTTTTCATATGTAAATTGTGTCTCAAAGTACCTTCCCCGCAGCATACTGTAGATGCCCGTTCCGAACCATGATGACACCATCCGCCCGGAGGACAATGGCTTCCATAAGCTCCACAAAATAGGGCATTACCACTTGTGTCCAAGAGTGGGGCACCGGAGGGGCAAGGGTTACGGTATTCTAGGGAAAGCTTAGGAAATACCGGTTAATGAATACCCGGACAAACTCGTCGGCATTCTTCTATAGTTACGAAATTGTTGTCATTTCCGCCATTGCCATTATATTGGAAACTTTGACAGGAGGATTGTTCAGCATCGAAGAAGAAGCGGAGCGACATGGTGCTTCCGAAGCCAGGATCGCCAGGTAGGGAACAGGGATCAGCCGTGAATACTGGAAACATTACATCAGGCTAGCCGATATGCCATTTTGAATACGCAGCGAGTCATGAGACAGAAATCACTTACAGCTATTCGGTACAAGCGTCGGAGGAGGAGTGGCATGGGAAGAAGGATTTTCTGCAGCCATTGGAGGTGTAAAACCAGTCCTTGGAGGGCCTTTGCTGAAGGTGAACTCGTCGATGGCTTGTGGGGCTCCAGGACAGCAGAAAGGTTCGAGAGATAATGGATCAGCCGAACACACAAAACCGCCGGGACATTCGTTTGTGGTTGAGCATCTGAAAGGCCGTATTTTTTTAAAGATTTCTTAAATTTTTTATTTACTAGCATTGGAGTTTGTAGCCTACCGTTCTCCCGGGTTTTCGGGCAACACTGGATCTCCCATCGTACAAGGGCTTCTCCCACCGCACGTCCCAGCACAGTCCGAGTATGACATGAAGTTGTTTTGGTTTCCCTGAAGGTGGTTACATACAGGGTGTCCCAAAAAAAACGAACCATCTGGCATTTCGCCGTGTTACATCCAATCGGCCCCAAATTTGGACCAGAGGTGTATCAGACCCTAAATAACAACAATCCCTGACTTATAGCCCTGTAGCCATCGTAGCCCTTGAGTTATACCAAATACAAACTTTATTTTCCATTTTTCATAAGGTTTTCGTCGGAATCGACCCTTCGAATATTAAGTAAAAAAGAAGCGGTATGCCTTCTTTACCCCAAAAAATCGTTTCCTGATCAAATTTAATTAAATAAGCTTCGATTTAAGCGATTTTTACAACGCAAAAATTACCCAAGTTCTTAAGCGAAATTAGGCATTCACAGCCGGAAGTCGATGCAAATCAATGCAAAGTCCAAAACAAGCCGAAAAAACTGTGCAGAAATCGGGGAAAAACAGTATCTTCGTGATAACTCGAGATCGATTGTAGCTATGGGGCTATAAGTCAGGATTGTTGTTATTTACGGTCTGATACACCTCTGGTCCAATTCTGGGACCGATTGGATGTAACACTGCAAAATGCCAGATGGTTCGTTTTTTTGGGACACCCTGTAGAAGACGCCTTTTCCCTTTTCATAGAAGTTTTCCCGGCTCAAGTCTAGGAAACCCCCCCAGCCGACTTTTCAACTTTTCTACCTTCCTTATTTTTATTTTTCACTACTTTTTTCGACTGAACTGCAATGTAGTCTTACTAATTAGCCTACGGCGAACATTTTGGTATACTTTAGAGCTCGCTAGCACGAAGGGGGGCCGAGATACAAAAGTTGGTGCCGGCTGCGGGGGTTTCTAGACTCTTACCGTTTTCCCTTTCAATCGTACCTGGAATCCTCGGAATAGGAATGGAATGCATTGCTGGGTGGACGGGTCAAACGCCCAACGTCCGACAAGTGAGGGCCCGGTGCCGGGTTCTGGTAGTTGTTGACAAGGTTGGGCGTCGATTGTCGGGCAGCAGATGCTGTGTCCATCGCCGACCTATAAATTTATAAAATGTTTCTATTTTTATTGCTATTTTGGTGAAGTATAATTAATATTTTAAATAGCTACCTGACAAAATGTCGTAATCGGACACGGTGTCCCAGTATGACACATAATCACAGGCTGGAAGGGTAACGGCTGTCGGCAGGGCGTCTATAGAAATGCATCGTTGTCTCTTTTACTCGATAACTTACATTCTGGGTCTGTGTCGGCGGAGTGATCGGCATTACACCGGGGCTCGGGAAAACGGCAATACCCGGGAATGGCGGGCGGGTATGCTCGACGAAATTTTCCTGAAATACAGACGAGTGCTTGTACATTTTCGTACTATAAAGTTACCACATTTTCGGCAGGGTAAGCCTTAATATACGGTGGTAATGGCAGATGTGTTGGTTGGATAGTAGCCGGCCGCATTGTAGGTGGATTAAACGTTTCCATTGGTACAAGCGTGGCTGGGGGTCGTGTTTTAGTCCCTCGCAGTCGCGAAAATGGTGTCGTTGCTTTAAAATTAAAACGATTTTAGTTGGGCTATTTGACTTACGCTTTTCCGCTGAATCAAGTGGCACCCCGGCGACAATTGTTGTGGTTTTTCCATTTTTACGAGGTACTAAAACCGAAAATTAGTAAGGAAATCTTTTAACACCTCGAATGCAAACACGCTCGCATTTCTTGCGCGTCAAAAATCTGTTCTCATTGCCTCCACTGCCAGAATAGGTAAAACGTAGACATTTTCGCGTAGTTGCATCAAACGCCCAGCGTGGGATCTAGGTTTTTGGTGCATAAACACGACTAGCTATAGTTTTACCTGAAATCTGCCGTTTCCTGGAGCTTTTGGCAAGGAGCAGGAGGATTTTTCAGAGTTTCCTAAATGCCAAAATAGTTATAAGCTAGCTAAAAACTGACCAGCTGCACAAGTTCCCATACATTCATCAAAGCTTTCAAAGCGATTTGCATTGCCAGCGTCGCCGTAATAGGTGAAGGGTACACAATTTTGGACGGAAGAATCGAAATAAAAGCTGAAAACAATATTTCGTTACTTCTTTTAATTACTTACCGATTCTCGGGCTGCTTTCCGTTTTCCTCGCCACGATCTCGAGGTAGGCTGCATGGATTTCCGGTAAATTCTTCCTCAACCTCAACAGTTTCTTCTTCCATTCCAGTAGTTGGAGGTGCGGTTGGAGGCGCTAAAGCCAAGAGTTACACTACGTATTGCTAAAAATTAGAGCTCATACAAAATTCTACCTGTAATAGGAAGTGTCGTCGGCTTCTTGGTAATCGGCCTAGCCGATGGGGCGTCAGTAAGAGCCAAAGTACTCGTGGTAATGGCCAGAGTAGTGCTTGGAATCGGGGCTAAAGCAGGTATTGCTAATTCCGGAATTTCACTAGATTCCTCACCTTCTACGTTCGGTTTAAGAGGCCGGTAAATGGATTCTCCTTGCGGTGGTTCACCACTGCCTAAAATTATTAAGGTGACTAATTTTTAAGTCCATTTTTATACCTTTACAAGCTTCCGTGCACTGTGAATGGGTCACAAAATTGTTCTCATTGCCTCCAACGCCGGTGTAAATCATTTGGAGGCATCTTGCATGTTTCCAATCGTAGAAGAAGCGCACCATTTCCGATCGTCCATGTCCAACCATTGGGGGTAAATGGCATCGGTTTCGGACTAAAATGGTAGTTATGATTTTCGTAGTTTTGATTTCAAATTTAAATATTACTAATTTCCGGATTGTTAGCCTACTTTTCTTATTTTTCGGACAGCAATACTGCGTCTCTTCAGAAAATCCGTTGTGGCACCAAAATCCGATCGGGCAGCGAAGGCTTGGTTTCTAAAAGAACTTTATTGCTATAGTTTCTGGAGCTTACATATGGCTTTGGGTCACATTTCTTTGGCTTATCATCCTCCAGCAAAAGGGGGACACCATCGGAGCAGAGCAATGAGAAATCTGAAATAGGTAAAATTATGATACCTTAAAAACTATATTTTTGTTTTTAACCCGATTAATATGCTAATGGCAGCCTAAGAGCAAACAAAAATCACTTTATTGAGGACCTGAGTCTCAAAAATCAATTTGATCCGAGACCGATTACCGTCATTCCTCCAAATATAGCTATCTTAGCCAACCCAAAATCAAGCAAAAATAGCGTAAATTACGCATAAAAACAAAACAATAAATACCAAAATCCTGAAGCGGCTGACTAAGCAGCTGATCCTCGGGCCGCCGCGTAGCAGCCGCAGTTGTTGTAAAAAATAGAACAACGAAACGTAGAATCATTCCTAAGATCTGCCGTTCATCAGATGATCAGAAATCGACGCAGCAGGCAGTGTTGACTGATTATTCCGGAAATCCACAAAGAATAGAGCCGCCTAGCCGTTCTTCTTCTTTTGATATGATGCAAATCGTGATAGGGTGTGAAGAGGTTTTTGCGGGAGCCGCTTGAGGGCTTCTGGGGGGAGGAGGTGGTAGAAGATCAACAGATTGGGGTGGGAGATTTGGATAAGAAGAGAAGGGGGATACCGGAGACAAATACAGAGAGATATCCCCCGCGTATCCCCCTTAGGGGGGTAAGGAGATAGATTAGAAGTATTAGGGGGGATCGGGACCTTTAGGGGTGGGATAAATGACAGCTCTTGACAGCCGTTCCCTCTACTGGAAGGTGGACACGTAACCCACACTTCAGAAGCGCGACCCGAGACACCTTTTAGAACTGCGCCCACGTTACGGAACTTGGCTGGGGTTCAGAAAATTGGGGTTAGGTGCGGGGACCAACGACGCAAATCATTTTTTTCGAAACATTGAATTTCGAGAAATTACATGTTTTTGTTTTTACATTTCTGTCTTTTCTTATTTGTGGCTGCAGGCAAATCCGTCTCAAAATTAGCAAAACTGAGAAAGCTAGTCAATTCACAAAATTCGATCCAATTTACTAACCATAATTTTGTTTCATGCGCGCAAAAGTAAGTCGTCCACGAGCCCCTCGATCCTCTTGTGGTGGGGGCTGCACGTAGACGTTGTATCGTTGACGCCCGTCCCGACTTTCCCAGGGCACCGTAAATAGGGCATCATCTTGGTCGTCGAATTCAGACTGAAAAATTGGTTTTCCTAAAAAAATTTTGAGAAGACTTACTGCTGCGTGGAAAGGAGGGATCAGCAGCACCAAAAGCCGAAATAGCAGGAACAGCCACATTTGCGCATCGATTGGCTGAGCTTTCAGGCCTAAAACAACGTAGAAGCAAGAAAAACGATAAAAAAGCAAAACGAATGCAATCATCGTCGAAAAAAGAAATGGGGAGCTTTAGAACGCTATTTACGACTTTACCAGCAGTAGTATACAAAATCCCCTTCCTAGCGCACGATTTGGGACACTTTTCATTTTTCCCACTTTTTATTTACTTTTTTAAATTTCAAAGTAGTATGTTGAAAAAAAATCATCTACCTTTAATCAAAATCTTTAAAAATTCAAAATTGTTCAAAAACCAAAGTGTCCCAAATGTCCCAAGCGCAAATTGAAGCGCACCATTGGGACACTTTTTGGACACATTCATTTTCCCTGAAAATATCATCTACCAGTTCCAACTTTAACGTTACATCTTGCCTGAAAGTCATTGTACTTTAGCTTTTGGTTACAATAAAGATAAGACGACTTGAGTAAATTCATATTTTTCTAGGAGTTTTAAAACTAAGAGACAATAATAACCGCAGTGATGTGTATTAAATTTTTGTATTTGAAAGGTTGAAGATAACACTTCTCCTTTCAAATACTTTCTGATTTCTTTCGGTGGATCTTGGCCAAATGAATCAAAATAGTAAATGTCTTTGTCTGTCTTTGAATAACAGACCCAATGTGTTCCTGAGTTTTTTGAAGAATCTAAATTTACTATTCCTACTTCTGTCTTGTTCACCTTGTTTGGAAGTGTATCTCTCATAAATACCCCTCTAAAGTTTTTGATTTCCAACTTTCCCACTAGATCCATTAGTTGCTCGTTATCAAGTGGAGTGAGGCCTGCCTGCATTTACTAACTCATTTTTATACTGGTTGATACGTACCACCTCCTGGGCAACAGACTCAGCCTTCTGGAGGGGGCTTATCGCGCGTCGCGTCACTGTGCCTGTCTGGGAGAGGGGAAGGTGTAGCCCAACCGGCGCGTTTTTGGGAACCAAAAATTGAAAAAATTTTGCATAAATTATCTCATTTTGGCTCATAACTTTCTTCAGCTTTAACCGTTTTTCTTCAAATCAAAAATATAGTCAAATCAGCCTGGCGCTTTGTTGTCATTTGGAGGACAAAGTTGGAACTGGTAGATGATATTTTCAGGGAAAATGAATGTGTCCAAAAAGTGTCCCAATGGTGCGCTTCAATTTGCGCTTGGGACATTTGGGACACTTTGGTTTTTGAACAATTTTGAATTTTTAAAGATTTTGATTAAAGGTAGATGATTTTTTTTCAACATACTACTTTGAAATTTAAAAAAGTAAATAAAAAGTGGGAAAAATGAAAAGTGTCCCAAATCGTGCGCTAGGAAGGGGATTTTGTATACTACTACCAGCAAAAACCTCAGACTTCCAAAAACTGTCGTATATGGCTTCAAGGAATTACAAAAGGTAAGCTAAAGAATGAGGATTTTCGTGCTCTGCAAAATCGGCAAAGTGAGAATTTTGGTACTGGGCTATTACCCGGGGGGGACGTATCGAGTGGCGGTGCTAACTAGCCTGTACCTATCTGCAAAAAATGCTACTCTAAATCGTGTTCCCGATTAGTGGGCGCACGTTTTTAATTTATGTTATAATAATTTATATAAATCTAAGTTTAAATTGTTGGCAGCATACATTTTGTCCATAAACCAAATAATTTGAAGCCTTTTAAAAGTCTTTTATACGCTTTCCATACTTATAAACGTATAAAAAGCTACATAAACAACGTGGGTATTTTCAGATTGGGACCATAGGACAACGTTAGGGCACTCAGCGAACCGCATCCCCCGGCTAACAGTACAGTACCAAAAATTGGTACCAAGACGGTTGTATTCCGGTGAAGTAAGAGTGTGAGGCAGAAAAGAAATACCAATTGCCAAAAACGATCACTCGAGAGCGAAAAAAAAGCATGGAAGACCCCAGATCAAAAGTTCGAGGCTGTTGCAGTTGGTTGTGAGCTGACCCCCACCTGAACATCGTACAGCGTATCCGGCTGGTTTCAGTTTGTAGTGGGATTGTCTTGAGGGCCTTGTCTTCTCTTCTCTTCTGTCTCTTGCAATGCTTGTATTTGGTGGGGTGGAAAGCGAGCCTTGTTCGGATGTCACTGGATGGGGTGGGGATTTGAGCACGCGAATCAACACCGACCACTACACAAATATCTCGCTGCAAAGAGACAGACAAGGGCGCATACAAATGCTACTCAAAGGAGGGGAGGGGGAGATGCTGAAGAAAATTACTGACGTACCGGATAAATGGATTTCACGATGTCTATGGAATGAGGTGTCGATTTATATAAGCTGATATATCTCAAATTCCCAAGATCGGCATTATGAAATTGGGCCTTTCCTCTACAGTACGAGCCCGAGTACGGACGATGGTCATCGAAAAACGGTCGAGCAAAAGCTCCAAAATGACTCATATGAGAACAAGAAGACAGTCTCATGCCTCTCTGTGGTTTCGAACCAGCCTCAGGATACGGAACGCCACAAATTAATCCCCGTTCCGCGACGTTTGCCTTGACAAACAATTGCTCCGCGCGAGAAGTAGCCGAGAATTCAACCACTGGAAGTGATTCCATATTTCCGGGAACCATTGTAACGACAAAATATTGCGCGAATAATTTACTTAAAAAGGCAGTTAAAACGATTTATTCATTCCCAGGGCTGTAGCCTACACAGGAAAGTTTTTGGTGCTAACACTGTGGCGAATTCGGGTTCCAGATCTGGCAGCTCTTCTCCAGGGATGAATTGATATCTGTAAATTTACAGGGTTTGTTGTTAGCATTACACCGTCTTACCTTTTTATAAGATTTACAAATATTAGAAATATTTGCATCCTAGCCAGTCCCTCTCCCACACAAGCTCGCTTCCCAATTCCAAAAGTGATGTTCTTTTCTAATTTGGTCTAAAGATTTTTTATTAAATTCTTTTATATTAGGTTATACTTTTTCCAAACGTCCCTGGTCATCTAAAAATCGCTCAGGGCGTAGGACTAAGGGTTCCTGGAAAGAACGCTAGTTTTTAAGGTGTAATGCGTTAAAGCTTACCTCAAAGATTTTCGGATCGTTGAGAACGCTCCATATTTGTGCCATTACCGTCGTACCACGCTCTATACGTCTTCCGCAAATTTCGGTCGTTTCGGTGCCTAAAATGCAAATGCATCGAGGTTCCGAAAAGTTACGCACAGACGTGAAAGTTCAGAAATGGATTCATATTGGCTCGGCGATGCACCTAAAAATGTACTCATTTTCAATTTTTTAAGTCGGCACGTAACGCACTCCCTAATTCTCCGACGTAATTGATTAAAAAAGCATATCGCAGCATCTATTTACGACAAAATTCGCAATGAACATGCCTGGAGAGCTCCTTAAAATCCCACCTCATTGATCGCAGCCATCGTATACGGCAAATTATTTCGATCAGCATACTTGATTTCCCGCCGAGCACATACGGACGACAGCTCAGCGTGGATTTTCGCCTAGTTATCGTAAGTTCTACTATGCTTATTCATTCCAACCTGTATAACTGGATAATGAATCATATAGGCGATCAGCCAGCGAATACAAGTTGCAGTCGACTCTATACCGGCTAGCCAAAAATCGGTGCTGATCGCTCGTAGATTGGGCAAGCTGAAAAATAGTAATAGATTCCCATTGCTTTACTTTAATTCCGGATCTGTTTCCATTTCTTTCATATAAGCATGCACAAAGTTTGAGGCATCTTTGTCCGCATCATAACTTTGAACGAGGCCATCAACTTGCTGTTCGATGTATGAGATGTACTAAAAGTTTTTGATGCCCTTTAACCTTTCTAAATTTGCTACCATACCTCATCAATATTTTCTTTGTGCTTCTGGCAACCATAATATCCAATTATCGGTAGATGAACAGCCCAAGGGAAGGCTTGACACAACAAAGTGCATGGGTTTGTCTGACATTACGGTATTTTAATTAAAGAAGGATTCAAAATTACCGAGATCCGTTGCAAATGCCGCTTGATAATCGCGATGATACGGAAAAGCTCGCTGGAGTCGTCTTTTGGAAATTGCTCTCCAAAAAGGAAATCATTGATGACCGTTCCTACACACAGCTATTTTTTGGAATTTGGGAGAATGTTACGTTTATACCTGCAACGGTTTCTCGAGGTCGATGGTTCTTTGAGAGGTTTGCTCAAGTGAGTCGAGCAATTGTTCCATCGATCGGATTATCTGGAGATAAAATGCGGAGTTTGAAATTTAGGCTTTTTAAAACTTGAATCTGGGGTTCCGAATTCACGTACCTTCTCTTCCATCATTCTACCACCCAGTCCAAAATATCGTAATATTTTAAGCGTAGCTCTCCGCTGGGCTTTCCAAACCACCCCATCCGATATGATAATGCCAGTGTTTGGCTCACGCTGAAGCAGAATTTCCGGGATTCGATGTGTCCGACCCGAGAATTTGTCTCCTTAATTTTTCTCTTCCATACCTCTAAAGCCTACTCACGAACCTCGAACCAAGAGTGCTTCATTAATATACCGGTAATCCGTTAAAATTACTGTAGGCGCAGGCAGAAATAATGTAAAGCATCCACCATAGCTTTTTCCGAGTTGGTCCAAATATCGATGGAAATTATGGGGGTTGATGTGATAAGTATTTCCAATGAATGGCAATGGGAATGGTCCTAGAGGATATCGAGTACGGTAGCGGAGATAGTAGTGTAGCGTATAAACAATTAGTAAAGTTGATACAGCCACGAGGATGAGCATGGTTAGCGGGAGAATAGTTTTCGAATGCCATTTTTGGGTCGGGGAGGGTGGGGTTTGTGTCTATCTGTGTTAGAATAGTCCGCGCAATGTCCGTAATATGATTGATGTTCCACACCCAATTCCTGAGATCGGAGAAACGGGTGAAAAACAACCGGGATCCCGGATCAAAGTCTATTGGGGAGTGGTGGGAGAGAGGGAGGGAGGGAGAGGGAGAGAGAGAGAGAGGGAGAGAGGGAGAGAGGGAGAGAGAGAAAAGTTCCGACTGATTTTGGGTGTGTCACGTACACATGTAAAATGGATAAATATTTTAAAGGGACAGTGACAGCCTGAAAAGTCACAAAAACCTTTTAAGAATATTCGGTCTACTGTATTTCAGGTATCTAAGATTACAATTATAGTTAAATACGGTATCAAAATTTTCTACGCCGTGATTAACGCGCCGAGAAGCGTAAGAAAAATCTGGAACTCACAAAAAGACCCAAATATGCCCTTTGGCACATCAAATTTTTTGATTCTTTATTCAGCATAGTACAACATTTATAATCCCCTCGAAAAATAAGAAAATCCAGGGACAGGCCAGCTGGAAGGCCGGGTGAGCCAGTCGGCGCCCAGCTGTCTGGCACGCGATAGTTTTTTTGCTTTGCGTAATCGGGACGCCCCGGGCGCGAGGAGCACAATTTTTTGCACATTCTTTTGGTGGATAGTCACCTGCGAGAACCATCTGTCCCTAAAATATCATCGTAATATGGGGGATAATGTCGAGAATTCAAAAACGATGCCGTTTAGCTGAACACTGAATTTGCATAAACTAGCGTAGATCCCTTTCGACAACAAAAAATAAAAAATCACTAAAAGCTTTTCAGACCTCTTTTACTCCATCTTACACCAATAAATTCCAAGTTATACTCCTAACACGCTTTCAAAACCCAAATTTACGACCCTCCACCCAATAAATAAACCCATTCGCACGTCGACCCGCCCATTTATCTTCTCTGGCGCAGGGTCATGAGCGTGAAATCGGAACTCATTTCGGCCACTATTCCTTTTAGTCAATTCCCAAATTCAAATTCCGAAAGGATCATTGCTAGGTTGCCCTCTCACTCGTCTGGATTCCTACAAAGATTATTCCTCCTGAAAGGCACCAGCATGCCTTAACTTGCAGGTTTTTCAGCTTAAAATTTTGTTTTTCAGCGTATGGACAAACTCTCATATGTTGTAACCTTTTTATGACACTTCTCATACCTAGTGCCTCATTTTGCCGGGATTTGCCGGCTGTTCCGATTACCGTACTCCCCAGGGGGTCCCGACGCCATATAGGGACCGCCCCCCTTGTCCGTTCCGCCTCACTCAATTGTACACCCCCTAGCCATGGAATTGGCTCTCCATTTCGGTCTAGAGGGTCGAGACCATGAATATTATATTTTATATGTTTATATATCTTGATTTCTCCAGCAGTTCTCTGATTGGTGTAGTAGCATGGCTTAGGCTTAGGTTTAAGCTTCGATTTTTGGCTCGAGGCGTAGTATTTGGCTCGGATTCTTCCTTTGGTCTTACTACATCTTTTGGTCTTACTTATTCTCCTTAGTTAAGCTTTAGCTTCAGGCTTACGCTAGACTTCATTTAAGCTTTTAGGGGTAAGCCTATGCTCCGGCTAAACTTAGGCATAAGTTAGCTCAGACCGAGATTGAAGCTTAGGGTTTTCTTGGCTTAGATTTATGCTTCTTCCCTCAACCTACCATAACCCATCTCACTTACTATGTATCTGCATACTGTTTATCCCCCTCCTGGGGCTCATCCAAAAAATCTGGAGCCCATCAAAAAGTGAGAATGAGTGGGGAAGGGGGCGGAGGACTGGCGGAATGAACTAGGCTTGGTGGGCGGGCTTGGAGGGGAAGTGTAGAGAAGAAGGGAGGGCTGAATTGGCTGTTGAGGCTGGTGGCTGTGGATCGTGACAAGTTTACGAGGCTTTCCACGTACTTCTTCTCCATCTCCCCCAATTTCCCGATCCACTTCCGCGGGTTGGACATGTCCCGCGCGCATTGTAGGGTTGCACTTTTAGGGGAAGGGAATTAAGGTTCGATTAAAGTTTTAGGCAATTAACAACGTATTTCCGTAATCTATGCCCCTGTTAAAATCGTCTTTTCGGAATGATCAAAAAATAGAAGCTTTCCTCTGATATAATTAATTGCTCTGCTGAAATCCGAAATCCGTGAAATCCGTCAAAAATTTTGCGTGCTATGTAAACTCTAAAAACAAAATAGGATTTTTTGCTGGTATTAACCGTTTCAAGAAGCATAAATTGCCAACAGGGGGTTGAAATTGACGAAAAGCTGTCTATTTTTTCCATATTTTTATTTTGACCGATCGAAAAATTTAAGACATTCCTTCGAACAAATCCCCTTCACTTCCTGCTCTGTTGGTGGCTAAAAAACCGAAAAATAAAATAAAAGATAGGAAAATAGACCCAAAATTTGTCCGTTGCGGCAAAACGAAATCAACCCCAATTTAATTTTAACTATGAAAACCCATTCTCCCCCAAAATTCCATTGCCAAATAGTGATTTGCCGCCGGCAGATGTGTGTCCCCATTTCCGGCCACGTCTGTCCCACCACATATCAACACTTGTCAGCCCTAAAATGCGCCCTCGATTTTGCGCACACACTCGCCATTTCCGTGCATAATATTCGTCTCTTTATTCAACCTTGCTGAATTCACTACCTTTAAAACGATACCTTACTTCTTCAGCTTCTACGACATGGAGCGGCCATTTTCGATGATACTCATCATTCTACTGGTTACGGTAAGAAAAGGTTTATATAATAGATATTTTTGACAGTGCTTTTTTTCAATTTTTGAGAAAAATATTTCTACACCTAGCTGACGATGAACGACTTTCCCTGTTTTCTAACTTAAAAGTTTTTATTAAAAAAATCTTCAGATGCCCTCCGCAGCTGCCCGGGGCTACCTAGAAGTAAAACTTCACCGATTTGCTATTAAAAATGGTTTGAAATATTTCAAAAACGCTAAAAACAATTTTAGTACTCCTCCCATTTAATGGGACGTTATGCGTTGGGCAGCGGAAATTCGATGTTTTTAGTCGAAGTCGTGATTGTTCATTGGCGCATGAGACGCTGCAAATTAAGGTGGCGGGTAGTTTGGAAAATATACATTTAGAAGATTTTATATTAAAATCAAATACATTTCAATTTTCAGAATACAATTTCCGACCATCCCTACGCTACTGATATTCCATTTACAGTACGATGGCCATTTCAGGTGGGCGGCTAGTTGTTTGAAATTTTTGCTGCCCTCTTTATTCTCCTTTTTTGCTCCTTTACCGTATCTCACTCCTTGACATGTCCCTTAAATGCTCGCGGTACTTATTAGCATATTGACCTGTAATTGGGGGTTGTTTTTGGGCCGATAATTAAAGGGCCCCGCTGAGCGGCGCTAATTGGATTATCACAAGTGGCCTACCGGAATAGGGACTGCCGAAAAGGTGTAGAATAATGGGACAATAGAATTTCAATGAGTCAAGGGTTTCTCATGGTATTTGAGAGAGAGAGAGAGAGAGAGAGAGAGAGAGAGAGAGAGGGAGAGCGAGAGCGAGAGCGAGAGCGAGGGAGAGCGAGAAATATAAAGCTATGATTAGAACGATAGAGATAGAGAGAGAGAGAGAGAGAGAGAGAGAGAGAGAGAGAAGGAGAGGGAGAGCGAGCGAGAAATATAAAGCTATGGTTAGAACGATAGAGATAGAGAGTGTGAGAGAGAGAGAGAGTGAGAGAGCAAGAACCTACTTTTTTAAGTCTCACTTAACTCCCAAAGGACAGTGAAACGTCCGCGACATCCAATTTGTGTCACTCCCCCTTTACGAGCTCCCATTCCTGACCATCTTGGACCACCGGGTGGTCACTACTAAAAGGCTTCTCTAAACTTCCTCAAAGAATCTCTGCCAGGCCCCCGTGGCCTTGTTGCTTCCCTCCAGTCCATGCCACCACCTCAAAATACTGTGCCCCTCACAGTCAATTAGGTGTAGAAGGGAATGGTGACAGGGAGAAAGAGGCGATGGCAATCATACGTGGATTCCTTCGGAAGGGCGATGGGCCATCTGGCGGATACCCCGGAGGAAAATGGACACATAGAACGACACAAACACAGAGGCAGACCCTCACTCCGCACCCCGGGGATGACAGTCCCAAAAAATTGGCGTAAGATGCTTGGTGTGAGGGGTGGATGGGATCGGATTTCCATCGAAATTTGCGTGGTAATGGCCTTTTCAATTCACACCCATTCCCGGAGGGGAGGGAAGATAGGGTTATGAGGCGCCTGGGGGTGAATTTTGGGTCAGTGAAATCGGGAGCGTGTTTTTCTGGATGGAAATTAGCGCCTTTGATTCTTTATACGTTGGCAAGGGAAAAATAAAATTATCTTTGATTTTCTGCGTATCTTATAGATCGTTTAGCTTTTCCTTAATTCGCCAGAATACAAAAAGTACTATTAACCGAGAAATCTACGACATTTGTCTCTCTCTGTCTCGCTGTCTCTCTCGCTTTCTCTCGCCTTCTCTGTCTCTCTCTCTCTCTTGCCTTTTCGGTCACGCTCTGTCCCGCGCTCTGCCGTTCTCTCGCTCTCTGACTCTCTCTCCCGCTATCTCTCTGCCTCTCGCTCTCTCCACAATCTTTTTTTTTCATTATCACCCCGTTATATAAGAAGTATTACTATCAATAGCGCAAGTCCGAACCTGTCTCACTCCCTTTAATCCACCGTACCACTCAACCAATACCATTTCAAAACCATAACAAATCCCTCAGACCCCCCCCCTCTCGCTCTAAACCCTCACTTTTTCACCCGCGATTTACCCAATACAAGCCGTAAATCGGGCACACGCGCCGCACGACGGAAATGCCCCGGCGTATATAAATCTTTTTTGAGGTCCCACAAGGCGTAGAGAGGCTAGCGAGAGGATTGGTGGGGAATTGAATGGGTATGACCTTGTCATGTCTCCACCCTGTCTCTTCCACCACCCACCCTTTTTCCCATTTATTTGTAAACAAGGTTTCCCCCCGTCTTCTAATTGGTCAGGCACCATTCAGCATGGTCTATGGCGTTGAACTAGGTTTTTTAGTGGAAGTGGTGCCATGGGGGTACTGTAGTTACTATGAAAATAGGATATTAAATTCAAATTACAATAGAATTTTTTTATTTCTCTCTGATATCTAGGCAACAGACCGTAGTCGGGTCCTAAAAGGTGGACCCGGGGGCTCAAACTGTTTGTGGAATAGATTAGCCACTACGCAGGAGGCCCTTGAACGCGGCAGCCGGTCAGGGAGTCGGGCCAAGGAAGGCTATACAGGGTGTCCCAAAAAAAAGTGGCCGAGTTTGTCCCCGAATAACTCGAGAAGGAAAGATATTTCACCGTGCGTTACCATGCCAGAATGCTTAAATATGTCAGGAATAGGGAAATAACTCAACTTGATTTTTTCGATTTTTGGCGACGTACCCATACAAATGACACCCGAAAACTGTGCGTTCCGCCAAAATTTCGATTGCATTTTTTTTGGATTGCTGGTGGTCGAACACTTCCAATTTTTACAGTTTAGGTACCTAAGGACTGCTCCTACGCACATCCGGAATTTCGGAATTTTTGAAGGTCAGGTTGGCAAGTTATAGCGTGCTCAAGTTTAATATGGAGAAATTTCGTAAATTTCGAATATTACAAAAAACCTATGGTGGAAACCTCAAAATAAGCTGTTTTAGGATGTCTATGGGCTCGCTACAATCCCACAAAAATATCAAAAAAATTTTTCAAATCCGCGGATTTTTGAGTTTTTCGACGACCCCCTGGTCATGGATTCTTTCGAAGTCACGAAACTGAACTTTGGAAAAATATTTCTAAAATTGCAGATAGAATTTCGGTGTTTTCTTTGCTTGGTTGTGTAGGATTGGCGTCAATCTATCATGTAAACAATTTCTAGCTACCGTACCCCTTTGGAAGATTGCCTTTTTTGCCTGGAAAACGGTTGGCTCGTGCTATTTCGCAGATCTTCGTGCCAGTCTATAAAATTCATTTGCGCGGCTAGAATTATTGTCATACTTTTATTTAATACCACCTAATGGGCGCATTCTAAAATTATATTTACAAATTTATTGGGCCATCCAATCTCTCAAAAGAAATTCATGAAGAGCCCAAATATACCCGAATTCGGGACGAGGTAAAAAAATTCTCCAGGCTTGAGTAGCCCCGACTTTTCTGGCATAGACCAAGTTTGGGTAGTCAACTAAAACGCATGCAAATACAAAACCTTTTCATGGCAAACGAATTTAGAAGAGCTCGCCAAAGTCGGCTTTTCAAAAACGTTAATTTCGGGTTTTAAATCAAGATTAACCATTAAATTCAGCCAGATCGTTCCAGTATTCCGTTCTCATAGACAGTTTGATACGTGCTTTAATTGTATCCACGAAACTCCGGTGATTTTTTCATTTTCAAAAATTCGATTTTCAGCCCGGGGCCTCGGGTCCAAAATCGGGCCACGAGGGGGGTTTTCCTCTTTCCTTCATAACTTTGTCATTTGCCACAGGAATCAAGTAATTTTTTGTAGGTGCTCTTACAATCACCCAGAGAACAGTCTGAATCGAAAAACCGTCATTTTATGGAATTTTTTCTTGGCATGCTAAAACGCGCTCCAGGCGGGTTACTGTAGAAAACAGAAAATCGCCGTTTTCTCGCTCTTCTCACCATAGAAACGTTTCGATCTTTCGGGAAAACAAATAATAGTAGTTTTTAGTCCGATGCGTCAAAATATTTAGAAATTTCCGTGGCTAAATTCGAAAATAAGTTTTTCACCTATTTTGGGAAGGTGTATGGCTAGAACTTCGTGATATTTTGCCCATGGCTGCCCCTTACCATTGTTTACAGATGGTAAAATTTTGAGCGAAATCGCAGCTTACAATAAAAAGAAAAACGCGAAAAACAGAAACTACAGTATCCCTCTGGGGCACGTTTTAGCAAGCAATATTGAAATACCATAGAATCAGGTAAAATTTGGTGTTGTGCTAAAGATTATCATTCGGAGACACCATCTGCAAAAGATCAGCCATGGGCAGCGTATTTGAAGCGAGTTACGAATTAAAAAGTAAAAAATAAGGAAAATAGGGAAATTTGTTTTGCCTGTAAAAAAAGAACTAAACCTTCAAAAATTCTAAGACTTTGCTATTATTTTTCTACAAATGTCAACTATTTTTCGGCCAAAAATCAGAATTTTCCCACCACCCGTTCAAGAACGCACAATTTTCGGTCGTAATCAGCGTCAATAGTACAGTTGCGTACTCAAAAATCGAAAAAAATCAAGTTGAGTTATTTCCCTATTCCTGACATATTTAAGCATTCTGGCATGGTAACGCACGGTGAAATATCTTTCCTTCTCGAGTTATTCGGGGACAAACTTGGCCACTTTTTTTTGGGACACCCTGTATTCGATTTTTGGGAAGGAAAGGTGAATGGAAACAGAGTTTTACTGGGATGCTTAGGTTCCTAAGCATCAGCTTGAGCTTTGAGCTCTGATGAAGAGGAAAGCCAAAGCCTAAAAATCAGGAAAAGTGAAGCCAAAACCTAAATGCAAGCTGAAGCCGAAGCTTAAGCCTAAGCTCAACCTAAGCGTAAGCGTAAGCGTACCCTAAGCCTAGCTCTAAACCGAAGCCTAAGCTTAAGCCTAATCCTAAGCCCTGGCCTAAGCCTAAGCATAACCGAAGCATAAGCCTAGGCCTAATCTTCTACTTCCGGTTCTCCACCCATCTAACGATTTACGAAACCTGGTCACTAAATTTGGACAATTGAACGTAACAACCCAGAGCCCTAGTTCCCAAAGATGGATGTGTCGGTGCGGCATCCAAAGGAGGGCAGATGCCGACATTCGCTGTGGGACATCTCCTGTGGATGGATGGGGTTAGATTGAGTCGCTCAACCATCCTACCCCCTCTTTGTCTCTTCCCCCCATCCTTGAAACCCCCAAGGGAAATCCTCGCAACTAATTGACTACACAAGCAATATATGCATAACCGGCTGAACCGGAAGCTGGAGAAGCTTTAGGGATCAGTAGCTGGAAAATCAAAATTATTTAATGCAATTGGAAAATATATTAAAACCAATTTTAGCGGCTGCTCTACTTTTCCTTCACCGCCTCCCAAAATAGCCGTATCATCTTCACGGAACAGACCCAGCTCGCCGGATTCAGCCCGAAGAGCCATCCATTAGTGCTAGAAAAGGTATGGAAATATTTTTTTGAGTTCAAGTGGTGATAGGAATCCCCACTCTACAATCTCTCACTCTCTCTGAAGCTGCGATGTTCCGACAATTTTTATGGGGACTCGTGTGACTCGTTTTGTGAGCGGCCAGCAGGGTTCGAAAAAATAATCCGAAAATTATTAAAAATTCTAGATTCGAGAAAAATGGTCGATTTAATATGACTTGCGGACCTGACGGGAGGCGGCATTGCGCGAATGGTAAGGGTAGTTTGTACTTAAAATTTCAATATATAATTTAGGTTGGTCCGGGCTCATGTGCGATCAGCCGGTATGCAGTGCGGGTTGTGCACATGGGAAATGTTCGGCTCCAGGGATGTGTTTGTGTGAAAATGGGTAGGGTAGTGTTTAAAAACAGTTGAATTAATTTACGATGCAAAATGAATAGTTTTATGATGACCAAAGGTCTTTTTAGGTGGAAAGGTTCTGACTGTTCCACATGCACAACAAGCCCGGGCTGTCAGAATGGTGGTTGTGTACGTCCAAATCAATGTATTTGCCGACCTGGCTGGGATGGACTCCTTTGTGATAAGTTTGTTTTACAAAAACCTGTCTATTTATTTATTTACTAGATCTAAAAATTCTAATTTAATACATTTAATGCTATACCTTACAGGAAAGTCGACCCTTGCGAAGGAGTCCTGTGTACTAATGGCAAATGCCAATCGAAAAATGAAACTGGTTACTTTTGCGAATGCCACCCAGGTTTTGTCGGGTCGAATTGTAGCCTACAGGTTTGAAAATTTATCTAAAATTTAGACAAAAATCTATTTTAGGCGTACACCCCCACGCCGGCTGCTAATAAAATGACCAGTGTACTTCTTGAATGTCACCCAAAGTACTGTATCCATGGGGATTGCGTACGGCATGTTGAAGATGGGCTTCAGTTTTTCAAGTGTCACTGTCCGACCGGATATGATGGGTTGCGATGTGAAAGAGGTGGGCAAAAAACGAAGTTAACCTCCGTCTATTCTGATATTTTTCAGAAACTACGGTAACCCCTCATAACAGCAGCATCAACGCCTCGAAATTCACCTGGGAAAATTCGATGACCATCCTACTCATGATAGGATGCCTTTTCACAATTCTAAACATTTGTGGCTGCTTCTGGTGCTTGAAACTAAAAAGAACAAAGCCCCATTTTGACTTTACAGTCGCCTACCATAGCGATGAAGGTGAGGCAAAGTAAAACTACATTTTAGCTTTTTCAGTAGTGAAAAGAGCACCCTCATCTACAGACGAGCCATTCCTACACGATACCATGACCCGCGATCTGCAACGATATTCTGTCGACTACCCAAAAACTTTCAGCAGCTTGTGAGTTTTACAATAAACCTCGAAAATCAATCAACAAACGAATAACAAATTAAAGTTCAGCCTCCCACCCCAAGAAGAATCCCCGAATACCACTTTTTCATCTACAGCCAGCACCCAACGTGTCCATCCGGTCTTCGAAGAACCGATCCGAATCATCTATTCGGATTGCCCGGTACGACGAATGAAATAGCAAAAAGATCAACCCAATTTAGACGCACGACAAGAACCTAGAGACGGAATCGGCCTGCAGGGAAAATGATGAAAATACGGCCAAGGCGTCTGGACTGATGATTGACATCAACAAAGGCACTGAGATGTTCATCTGTTAAAACTTTTTAACCATTCAATCCCACAACTCATGCCATTCTTACATTCCGTTATTTATCTTCTTACTTGATCAACGAAAAGTTATGTCCTGTCATTTTTCGTTTCTGTCTTTTTCAGGTATTTTAACTGATTTTCACTAGGTCCGCTTTCGAAATGCTTTCCAATTCAACGAGCTTTAACCTTACAACTATACCTTATTTTATCACCTTGCCCTCACTTTAATTTGGAGTCTATGTCAGACACCCAACGACAGCCGGGCTCGCCTAAATCCTGGGTATTTCATGTGCAAGTATTGTATTTTCTTTCCTTTTTTCATGTGTTCCCCAAGTCTCATCGTATTGTATTACGGGAATCTTGGATTTGGTACAGTGTCACGTCTTCTCAGTAGCATTCTCAAGTATTAATGAAATAAAGGAATACCTATATCGCCTGAGCGTTGTTTTACGCTGCAAAGAAACGACGTTATAAAAAATCCGATTTTCGCACGTGAAAAAAGGAAATCTGGGAAGCCAGGGCATAAATACGCCATGCTACTAATAACAGAAGATCTGGCAACGTACTATTTCGGACAAACATTTCCAAAGCCTCTAAAATTTTCTCAAAAAGGAATTTAAAATTGTAACAAGAATTCTTTACTCCGTTAGTATTTCTCAAAACTTCCGCTGTACCAATTTAATTGAAATCCTTTTTTCAGATGCCGCTAAAACTTGAAAAAGAGCCGGCAAGCTTCGACACGGTCGGCGTTCGTGAGACGTGCAAGAAAAGCCCGGCCAATCGCGAGATCAAAGCTGAAACGGAAGTGAAGAGGGAAGAGACTGTTGTTAAGAACCAGGAAATCAAGTCAGATGAGCCTAAAACAGCCGTCGAAGTAGAGCCGAAAACTGCACTTGGCGCGACGAGCAACTCCAAGTCTGCCAGCCGTTCAAACAACTCGAATAATTCGGAGGGAGTCGAGGAAGCTAACGACAAAATCCCTTATCAAGAATTGGATGTTAAAAGTGTCGCTGTGCAGATCGAAGAGCCTCCGAAGCTTGAAGAAGCCCCACTCATTGAGCAACCCGAAAAGGCGAAGGAGGGTAATAACCTCTCCTGCTTTTCGTTGTCCATGTTGATCATCGCTGTATTCGTCAGCAGTAAGCTTTTCTAAAAAATAAGATCTTCCTTTTAGTTCTATGCGTCGGCTCGGCCGTCTACATCTTTTGCTTCTGAGAATCCATCGTTTCATTGTTTTTATGTACGTATCTTTGTAAGTTATTCACGGCTTAACAAATAGAGATTTTTCTTTAGTTCTACTCACTCCGTCGTCTACTCATCCTTATCTTCTAAGATTCTATTCAATTTTGATGTCGCTCGTTTTAGCTGTAAGTTATTCACGGTTTATAGGTAATCACAATTTCCAGTTTTGTAACTGCTTATGGAGCTGGCTTCGTGGTTTCAATATTTGTAATCTATGATACTCCACGGTTTTCAAAATGGTACGTTTTTGCCGTTTTTTGTTGCTTTTGGGAGTGGCGAGGTCCCACGGCGGAGGGATTACGACATGGAAATGGAGGGCTCGCCTTTGCAGCACCATGGAACCGGCGGTGCGCGCACTCACGGCCAAATGCCCCGGTGAGGAGGCCCGTTATGATAGATGCGGCTTTCAAAGAAGAATTGGCCCGGCGGCGTGAACGGGTTGAAGATCTCTTCTATTTTGAGGGGTCAAAGGTCAGTCAATTTCGGGGGATCACCTTTTGAAACCCATTTTTCAGATTGGCCGTGGAACCTACGGACATGTCTACAAGGCAACGCCCAAGGCGCTCAACACTAGATATCCCAATAAGGAATATGCTCTCAAGATGATTGACGGCAATGGATTCTCGACAAGCGCTTGCAGGGAGATCGCTTTGCTTCGGGAACTAAAGTTTGTTTTGTTTTCGAAACTAATTTTTGGTTTAGACACTCGAATTTGATCAACCTTCAACGTGTGTTCTTGACAAATGAAAAGAAAGTCTGGCTACTGTTGGATTATGCGGAACATGACCTATGGCATATTATTAAATTTCACAGAAGTAAGTGACTGTTTGGTTTTTAGAATTCACTTCTCTTTTTTTAGATGCCAAGCTCAAGAAACAGCCGGTACTCGTGCCGAAGGGGATGGTGAAGTCGATATTGTACCAGATTCTGGACGGGATTCACTTCTTACATCAGAACTGGGTTTTGCATCGAGACTTGAAGCCCGCAAATATTCTTGTGATGGGCGAAGGGCCGGGCGTTCAACGTGGAAGGTTCGTTTTCGATTGGTTACATGATTTATTTGTCTTTTAGGGTGAAGATTGCGGATATGGGTTTCGCTCGTGTCTTCAGCAATCCGCTCAAACCGATGGCCGAGCTGGATCCTGTTGTTGTCACCTTCTGGTATCGCGCGCCTGAATTGCTTCTTGGTGCTCGCCATTACACAAAGGTATTTACATAGGGTTTTCGCCGTACTATACTCATTTTAGGCTATTGATGTTTGGGCAATTGGTTGTATTTTCGCCGAGCTGTTGACTGCCGAGCCACTGTTTTTCTGCCGTGAAGAGGATATCAAGGCCCAAAGTCCCTACCATCAGGACCAGCTTCATAGGTACTTTTGGCATAGAATTCCTGAAATAACAATTTGTGTAGGATTTTCCTTGTGATGGGCTATCCGGTGGAAGCAGAATGGACAGATTTAAAGAAGATGCCAAATTACGGAAACCTTACTCATGATTTCAAGAAGAAAGAGTAGGGGAACGTGCGGATACTGATCCTTCCTTTTTTAGTTTTGCTGGTTGTAGTCTCCAACGATACATGGACAAGCATCGAATTCCTCATACCTCCGATGATTTTCGGTGAGTTTGAAGATTTTTCTAGTGGCTGTTAGAGATTTGCGCATATCCGCCGATTCAATGATGTTTCCAGGTTACTTCTTCGTCTTCTAACAATGGACCCTACAAAGCGCGTCACTTGTCGGGATGCCATGGATGATGACTACTTTAAAGTAAGTCGGCTTCTCGTCGCTTCTATTTTTTTTGTCAGAGAGATCCAGTGCCGACTTCTGACGTCTTTCGTGGGTACGCGATTCCGTATCCAAAACGCGAGTTCCTGCAAGATGGGGATGAAGAGAAGCGAAAGGCTGAACAGCAACAACAACAGCAGCAACAGCAGCAAGCTCAGGTGAACTATTTGCTCTTGGGATTCCTAGTTACGCTAGGTATAATCCAGACGCATCATTTTATAACTTTCTTTTTAGCAACAACAGATGGTTGCCCAGGATATCAATGAACCAGCCGCGAAGCGAATGCGAATGCCCATTGTTCAACAGAGCCATATGAACAATTATGGTGGCCAAAACCCAATCATGGGAGCTCCAGGTAGCGTTTTGACTTAAATACGAAAGTTTTACCATCGAATCGGGATTTGTGCATGTTCAGCCAAGACCCCTCATACTCGTATTTTATGAAGAACTAACACGGACGTTTTGAGAGGTCCAGGACTCACGCTTCCAAGCTTTCCCTCCTCTATGGCGCTTTTCCCCCAATCAGACCTGTTGATAAATTTGCGTTTTCAGAATGCCAGCCTCCACCCGCCCAGAATCCGATGATGGTCTACGGAAGGATGGGCGCACAACAGCCTCCAATGGGATACGGTAATTATTCGTATTTTGGAAAAGTGTCTGAAACGGAACCTTCAGTGTACGCTCCTCATCTCTATGGTATGTAGTATGATTGAGCAATGTCGCCATTTTTATACGGCTTCCTTGTTTCATTTTGGTTTCGGAGTTTTGAGGGGATTTCGTTTTGGGGTGTGCCTTGTTTTGCTTCGTTAGAGAAGCTGCTTTGTGAAATTTATCTGTTTCTTAGAAGCTGCAGATCTAAAATTTTTATTTGGTCATCGGATAGCGTAGCAAAACCTGGCACAACTACATTTTGCTTTCATGGGATTTCGGTGTTATTTAGAAAATCAATTCATCTATTTTTTTTTTCAGGCCAAATGCAACCCGGCTTGCCGCGCGGCGCACCCATGCAGCCCCCTGGAATGATGGACCCACAACAACAAATGATGAACTTGCAAAGTCAGCTCTTACCGTCTAATTAAGATTTGATAATTTAGATCCAATGATGATGAATCCGAACTACAACATGATGCCACCGCCACCCAACCAACACGGGCCTTGGGTCCAATACTAGCCTTTTTCCAATTTTTTTTGTTGGTGTATGTTGATTGTTTTGTTAGTCTTTCCGAGTATGTGCATTCTCACCCCCTGTCCCAGTGGACCATTATAGTCTTTTCTCCATTTTTATGGGCTGATGAACTGCCTATTCTAGGTGACTAATCTATTTCCAATTTCCCGTGACGAATGTTACTGTGTCAATTCCTGAAGCTTGCCCACATTCACCGTATCCCGTGGGGTTCCCCCTAATCGTCCATTTGCATTATCGGGTACGATCCCTTTATCCCCGCAGTTCCTTCAACCTGTTTTCCATTGAGCTTGGTCATTCCTATACTGTCAATCTTTGTCTCGATCGTCTTTTCACGTTTGCGAGTGCACATGCCTTGTGATGGTCGATTTTAATTCGAGCTAGTCTGGGCTTTCTTCAATTCTGTCAAACGGTTCCTCCTCCCCACCATCTTGTGTACTCCAGTTCCCCCATCGTATTTTAGTTCTGTGATTAGCGCAAACTGTCAAACATTTCTGTGCGAGGTCCCCCACATATTAAGCCGTTGAATAAAGGAGACTAACGTGCAACCCAGTGGAGATTTACCATAGCAATTTGTGCCCAGTTCTCGATGTGTCGCCGTTTTCTCTGATTAGTCGCAAAAGGCCACTCCCCAAAATTCCTGACAGCGAAGATTGATCTATGGCAAGCTTGCCGCCTACCGGATGCGATGGATGACCTCTAGCCGTTGCTCTAGCTAGCAGGTGGTGAAAGGTAAAAGATTAAAAAATGCTATTAGAATAGCATTGCGGATCGATTTGTTGTTATTATTGTTTACTCACTAAAGACGGAACGGCAAGTACGGGCTGCCCAAGCAACAGCCGCCAAGTTGCCCCTTTTTCAGTGTCCGCCTCGTTCGTTCGTGTGTCTGTCTCTCTGTTGGTGTGTGTGAGATTGGGCGCGCGTGCGTCCGTCTGCGCCTCCTCCTTACACCTTATCTCTAACGATTTTTTGCAGCTGGCCGGCAGCCAATCCCTCCCGGCCTCGAGAAGAGACGTTAAAAAGGGACGGGGGATTGGCCGAGTGCCCTCCACCCCCCTTCGGTGGTCTTCCCACCCTCTCTTGCTGCATTGTGCTTAGGAATTATTGTCTCTACCAAGTGTGTGGCTTTGGCCTTGCCATCCATACCGTCAGATGGTCGACGCCAATTTTCGCCACGAACTGAACCAACGACGCGAGCACGTTGAAGACCTATTCCATTTTGAGGGCTCAAAGGTTCGGAATGGGGGACGGGGGGTTTTGGCGCTTCCTGTGTGCGGCTTCTGGCGGGAAGGGTGTTAATTTGAACAACTGGCACGTGAAGCCATAGTTTATGCTTTTAGGGGTGTAGGAACTGTGATTGGGAGAATATGGGTTAAATTAAAGGGAACAAAAAGCTGCTTTAAGTTACGCGTTAATTTTTGAACGCTGTTAATTTGCGAGGGATTTTAAGAAAAGGAGCTATGATTGGAAAAAAATGAATTCGGCATGTGCTGCTAAAACATAGCTTCTCCTTAACTTGGCATTGGCTAGAGAATATACGTTTACAATTTATGCGTTTTTTACCAGCATCTAGACCCCACTATCCAAGGTTTACCAGTCGTAATCCATTAACCAGACACCCATTACCAACTTTTTACAGGTTGGCCGAGGCACTTATGGTCATGTCTACAAAGCAATCCCCAAGACCGAAATGGTCAAACGGATATACCCCAACAAGGTAGTGAACCTGAAATTCATTGGTTTATCCCACAATTTTCAGGAATACGCCCTCAAAATGATTGAAGGCAATCAACAATTCACAATGAGTGCCTGCCGAGAAATTGCCCTGCTAAGGGAATTGAGGTGAGCAGATTTAAAAATATCTTTCATTCTGGCTTTGGCATGCCGCGCTTACGTTAACCCCCAATACCTTTGAAGCATCTTCAGGCACCCCAATCTCATCCGCCTACAACGAGTCTTTTTGACGAAGGAGCGAAAAGTTTGGCTGTTGCTCGATTATGCGGACCATGATCTTTGGCATATTATTAAGCACCATCGAGGTAAGTCAGTTAGCGATCGTTTAAAGATGCTTACAATTTATAAATGCTATAAATAACAATTTATCTATTTGTTTTTTAGCGATGAAAGTCAAGAAACAGCCTCTTAACGTCTCAGCTGGGATGGTAAAATCGATTCTCTATCAAATTCTAAACGGGATCCACTTCCTCCACCAAAACTGGGTGTTACATCGTGACTTGAAGCCCGCGAATATTCTCGTGATGGGCGAAGGACCGGGCGTTCAGCGTGGCAGGTTTGTTTTTGCTTTTTTTATTTATGTTTATTTGTAGAGTAAAAATTGCTGATATGGGCTTCGCTCGTGTCTTCAGCAATCCATTAAAACCGATGGCTGAATTGGATCCGGTCGTTGTTACCTTCTGGTATCGCGCCCCAGAGCTTCTCCTTGGGACTAAACATTACACCAAAGTACGTGAGACATATAAAACTATATGGAAAAATTCCCTGTACAGGCAATCGATGTCTGGGCGATCGGATGCATTTTTGCCGAGCTTTTAACGGCGGAGCCCGTTTTTTACTGTAAAGATGAGGACATCAAAGCGCAAAATCCTTATCATGTGGAACAGTTGAGAAGGTGAGCAAAGACCAATGATATTGAGAAATCTTCTGTTTAGAATATTTACCGTGATGGGATTTCCGCAAGAGGCCGATTGGACGGATATGAAGAAGATGCCTGAATGGAAGCGGCTAGATCAAGATTTTCAAAATAGAAAGAACACTCCACAAAAGTAAGCTTTTTGTGCTTTTTCGTTATCTGGACGGCTGTTTCTCTTAGTTTGGTTTTTAAGTTTAGTTGTTTTCAGTGGCGGCTTCCAAAACTGCGGTCTCGACGTGTTCCTGCGAGAGAAATATCGGATCCCGACGAACAAGCGTGATTTTAAGTAAGTCGTTTTTTTTCGGTCGAGGTATCGTAGTTATAGGTTATTGCTGAAATTGTTGCGGTTTGATCCGACAAAGCGGCTTTCTTGCAAGGATGCAATGGATGATCCGTTTTTCAAGGTAGTCAAATTAACGTAAGCAATAATTTTTATGCTTTTCTTTAGGAGGAGCCCAAACCGACGGACGATGTATTTAAAGGGATGGAAATACCTTATCCAGCGCGAGAATTTATGGCCGAGGGTGATGAAGAGCGGAAGACACAAACGCAGGCACAGCAGTTACCGGTAGATAGTCGAAGGTTTTTGAAAATCGCGGTTTAGGAAACTGTGCCACAAATGGAATCCACCGATCCGCCAACAGCTAAAAAATTACGGATGCAACATAATAATCCACCGGTTGGTTTAATTTACATATCTACATAGGAAGGTATTATTGTAAGTCTTACTCAAATACAGACAAGAACGAAACGATCTAACGCCTATGCAAATTTCGGTATCAAAGTTTCATATCAGCTTTATTTAAGCCTATTTCTATAATTTTTTGAAATCGAGGTTATATGAAAATTTTAGATCCAAATCAAGTTTGTTATCAGCTTTATCTCAGCCGATTTTGATATTTCTTTCATTTGATGCCATCGCATTTTATATTCAAAGCATTCAAAAACTTTAGATCCAAATGCAACAGCCGATGTACCAGCCACAACTCCAGCCCGGCCCACCCGGAATGATGCAGCAGCCGATGCAACGTAGGAATTAGAATGAGCTGCAAAACCCACACAGAATTTCCAGCTCGCCCAATGATGGCCCAACAGCCCGGGATGCAAATGTACGGCCAACAACAGTATCAGCAGCCAAATGCACAGCCTCCACAGTATCAGCAGCCGGGGAGACCGATGGTGGGTGGATTGGGGCTAAGTATAAACTAAGTCTAAGCTAGGCCAAAGCCAAGCTAAGGTTAAGCCTAAGCCGGCTTGAAAGACGTAAACTATCGATATTTAGCAGCCGAATGAATATCAACACAACCAAATGATGAGGCCAGGAATGGGATACGAAAATCCGCAAATGATGATGCATACAAGTAAGTTTTCATTTTTCGCATTTTGTTATTCTTTTAATTAATCTTAATTTAAAATTTTTAAACTAGTATAGATTTAATTTAGTTTTATTTAAATAACAGATTGTAAACTTTAGATGCAATGATGATGGCGACACAAGGCCAAAGTCTCATGGGCCCTCAGGGTCAATACATGCCCCCTCAAGCCGCTCAACAACCCCAATGGGCCCATCATACACAATATCAACAATAATCTTTGTACGATTATTTTTCCTATTTTCAAGTAGCTTGGAACTCAATCTACCTCTTTTTCGAACCTGAAAGTTCCACCCCTCTCCAAATGAACCCCGAAAAGGTTGTGACTCTTCCTCTACTAGTCTTCAATTTCCCTCTAAAGGGCCAGGGACACCTCTGTAATTTCTGTAAATTTGAATTCATCACGGGAAATACCTCACGGAATCAATGTCTCGAACAATTGTAGGATCCACAATTTTTTGCTATTTACAGAATTCTATTAAACTTTGTGATTTGTTTTTCAGCTGTCTTGAAACCGACCCGATCTCGCCACCCTCCTTTGACCACCTCCTGCATTTATTCTAATCTAGCCGGTCTGGATCTCAATTTCACATACCTCAACCCTACTACTCTACTCTACCTTTAATGCACCCTTCACAAAATGCAGCTGCCGGATTATGTTGTACGTACCCTACATCGAAAGTGCCTTGATAAAAGTTGTAACTTATCGATTGTAAGTTTGCACTAACATGCAAATATACACATAAAAATTTATAATAAATCAATTTATAATAACTATTTAACTATTACCCGAATCGATAGAGACAGATTAATAGAAGTACAGATATGAAAGAATGATGCTAGGTTTGGCCAAACGATCTGCTGATTTTCTGAATTTCACCGTAAAGCCCTTCTTTTGGGACAGTGGATGGTATCTGAAATTTACCATTTTGTCGGACTTCCTTTAAACATTAGCTTACCGAATAGTCATTTTCCCTCCCAAAAACATGCAAATGATATGTGAAAAATTCGAGCAAATACATCACATCCGGGGTGATATAGTGGAAGGTGATGACTAGATCCGAACAGCAGGCCGCTTTCTGAATACGTACATTAATTATTTTAAATTAAGTTTAATTTGATTAAATTCAGAGTTCGCACTTACGTGATGATATTCATGGACGACGTATCTTTCCAGCCAGCTGGGCAAATGATCGCCGAAATGGGATTGAGCTGATAGTGGCAAGAATCGAAGACGACCCTAAAATTACATTTTTTTAATTTTCTAAATCGCAGACATCGGATCTTTGTAATACGCTTTAACTTTTACATTTAAATTACCAATTTCGTTCATTCAATCTCGGTATCTGACCTGTAAATCCCTCGAATCCGTCGCATTAATACCGAACGCATTCATACAGCGCCCCAAATTATAATCCTCAGGCCCTCCCGTACCCGGTGGACACCTCCGATCTTTACTGTAATTATCCGCAAACTTGGCCATTGCCGCTCTGTAATTTTCAACCAATTTTTCAAATTCGACCAATTTCATACCTCGACATTACATAGCCAGCCCCACCGCTATTGTAAAATATGTTATTTAACCTGAAAAATAATTAGAATTTAGTAGCAAAGCACATTACTTAAAATTGCATCCAATATAACGAGGTTCTGCCGGGTCATAGGCGCTTAACATAAAGCTAAAAAATTAGCTTTAGATTTGCCTTAAAATTCCCCAACCGCATATTTTCCATGACAGCAAAGGTATCGTCATCCGCTTTAAAATACCAATCGAATTGATCCCCGTATTTCTGAAATTAAATTAAAACTGAAGCTAATTTAACATTGAAAAACTTGATAAGATTGCTTACCTTATGCAAATGTAATAACACCCGCTTTGTTTTATCCCATAAAAAATTACGGCCCTCTTGGAACTCAAGGTCCTCGGTTTCTAAGCCAAGGTTCTGAAAAAAAAATGAGGAAATTGGAGGATTTCCATACTTTGTAAGTACTAAAATAGACAACTTTATTGCATCGCTGTGCCCAGGTTTCATTTACGGAAGTCACCTAAACAAAGGTTTTGCGCTGTATTTGGATCGCTACCTTTTTAATATTCTTCTCCGTCGGATGTGTCATGATCCAGCATAATATTTTTACTTTGTTGAATAGGGTATCGCTGATGGCATTTTTGGCTGCAATAATCAATTTCGATAGAAATAATATAGTAAATAGGTCAGGTATTAAATAACTAAATTATGTATGGCTAACCATGGCTGTGCTGTTGGCCGTGTTGAGCATGTTTTTGGGGTTGATCAAAGACGAGTTGCGGGTCGTTTAAATGGCTTTCCGAATCGTCATTTGGCTAAGAAACAGCAAATTACTAAACCTTATGATTTTTTAACGTACCTCTTCTGCAAAATCTGTTGATATTTGTGTTTCTAGAATTCGTGGGCTGTAGTGATTTCTGGTTTCTAAATATTGGTCGTTGCTTGATTTCAGTCCTTATTAATGCTTCGGTATTTTAAAGGGGCAGTGGCTTCTCTAAAACATACCTATAAATAGAAATGTGATGACGATTCCGAGGGCGAATCCCCAGACAAAGCGCCCATCGCATCGGCGCATCCACCCACCCGATATCGGGACCGACACTTCAAAAACTGGTTCACTTTTTATTTATTCTGAATCGTGAATCTTGAATTTTTTGAGCAAGCTCCTACATAAAACATGAAGATCTCGAAAAACCGAATCGATTTTGCTATTTGACTATTTACTATTTAAATGAGATTCAAGGCTGCTGAAATAATATTTGTGATCCTGCATCAAGAAACCCACTCAGAAATCAATTCAATTTTGCAAAGTGCCCAGAGAAAATCATAGCGGACTGCCGTGGTGAACCCCCCATTCACAACCCATTCAATTCAGCTCAATATTGCATCCAGCATTGCCCAACCCGCCCCCGAAAAATTCGATCGCTAGCTGGAGCTTTTCTTAAACCCAACAAAACGTACAGAATTTTGTAGTCTTTAGAAGCTTTAATAACTTCCTGAACGGGGGGTAGAGCATTTTTATAGAGTGAGATAATACAGGCTCGAAAAGCGATCGAAAAGCTGTCGGGGCCGAGGGGGGTGACGCAAAAACAACACACAAAATTCGGGCCGTGATTTTATGGGGAGAGTGGGGCATGGAGTATCAAATATTTCGATTATCGGATATGGGGTATATTAAATTTTGGCTAGACATCGGCTCATTTTTCGGGGCACAGTTTTCCAGTGTTTCGATGCTCTGGATTTATATCTAAACCAGAAAAAGTTTTAACGGTGAATATTTAGGTATATAAAAACCTAGTAAAGTTTTACTAGTTTGGAATCTAACGGAAATAGCATAAATCCAGATCGTTTCGGGTTACTAGGGCGGTGAAGGGGGGATGGGGAGAGTCGATTCGGTGGTGGGCCCCCGTTTTTTATGGTTGAGAAACGGGGGTGGAGAAGATATGAATTTAGGAATTTGTGTCATGCTTGATGGTTTATTTGTGGGAAGTGAAGGACATGAATCAAAAGTTGCGTCGATATTATGACTAGGGTACGTTTCCCTGTAACGATCTGGAACGTGTAACATTTTTTTGATTGAGACTGTCGAAATAGAGAGAGAGAGAGTGAGAGAGAGAGAGAGAGAGATAGAGAGGGAAAGCGAGAGCGAGAGAGGACGAGAAAGAGAGAGTGAGAGAGTGGGAGAGAGCGAGAAACCAAGAGATAGGGAGAGCGAGTGAGATTAATAGGGCGAAATCAAGTGTTAGAGAAAAATAGGTAGAGACAGAGAGAGAGAGAGACCGAGAGAGAGAGAGAGAGAGAGAGAGAGAGAGAGAGAGAGAGATAAAATTCATGACATGCTGGCACAGATTATTACAAACCTTTATTGCAAACTCTAGCCCGAATAGATCTTTTAAAAGGACTGGAAAGGCCTGACCGTATGTATTTACAGAATTTAAAAGTGACAGCACCTTTCAACAAAAGTTTGGACAACGAGCACTGCTCCCTACAAAAGTGGCGCACCTTCAAAGCCCAGATCAATATGGAAAAGCGTAATCGAGCGGAACTGGGGCCCGTATTGAGTATTGGAGCGGATATATTGTGGATTGGCACACCGAGAGCCATTATACCCGGATCAACGACAATAAGCACCTCCACGCACACATACCAGCACACAACCGACCCCAAATCGTATGGCACCACGTATTAACATTCCATCATACAGTGCCCTAAATATAGCTACTGAATTATGATCCATGATCTCTAGGGTACTTTTTGAAAAGAGAGAGAGCGAGGGAGAGGAAGGGAGAGAGTGAGAGATAGATCTATAGAGAGGTAGAGCGAGAGAGAGGAAGGGAGAGAGTGAGAGAGATAGATAGAGAGAGACGCTACGAGACGAGACAAGAGAGACATATTGAGGCACCCAGTTAGAGAGGTAGAACGGACGAGAGACAGAGAGAGAGCGAGAGACAGAGAGATAAACCAAAAGATAGAGCGAGAGAGACAGAGAGAGAGGGAGAGTGAGAGACAAGGACAGAGACAGAGTGAGTGAGAGTGAAAGAGGGTGAGACTTGCTTTTGACTTGCGTTTGCAGCTCCTCTTGTGGCGTAACTTGCAGGCAAACAGCACCAAACATTTTATACAAAATCATAAATTTATTGGCTTTAGAATTCCCATTCATTCATTAATATTAACATTTACATCCGATCGGGTTGCCAGGCGAAAAACTTTCGGCTAGACCCCCGAATTGGGTAGGGGAGGTGACGTGGAGGGCGGATGTAGACCGGCAGGCTTTCCTTAATAAGGTAGTATTATTTTTGGGCTAAATTTACTTAAATTTAAATTTATACGTTATTTAAAAGTCACAAAATAAAATGAATTCAAACCTGGGGCTCAATATTGACCCATTGAACTTCCGGATAACCGACAGGGGAAACTCTAGGCATCACATCTGGCATGGATCTCGTTTCTATCCTCTAAAAATAAGTTTCTTAAATATCCACGCTGTTTGTGTTTGATGAGTCTTAAAATATTTTCATTTTGATTCAAATCCATCAAAAAATATTTCCCTACCACGCTTCCCGATGGGCCCTCATTTGGCAGGTAGAATCGAGCCTAAAAACATAATTCAAAATCTCCAATTTTAGACAAACCTCGCTGTAAATCACAAACAAAAATAGCGCCGTCAATAGCAGCATGGCGTTCATTTTTCAGCGGAGGAATGCTAAATTCGGGCTTCAGGCTTCTAGCAAAACCTGGCCCTAGAAGACTGGGCGTAAGCCGAAAGTTCTGGAAACCGGACACCACTTGACAAAGTTCCAGTTAGTAGGAAATTTAGGAAATGCCAAGCAACGGCCGGAGAGTGGGTGTAGATGGAAAAAGTGGAAATGTTTTTAGGAGGAAAAGAGGAAGAGGGGGAGCTTTTGGTAAAGGAGGATGAGATCATCGAGTGGGGGCACGCAAACGGACAATTATTTGTTATTCGTACAGGGTGTCCCAAAAAAAAGTGGCCAAGTTTGTCCCCGAATAACTCGAGAAGGAAAGATATTTCACCGTGCGTTACCATGCCAGAATGCTTAAATATGTCAGGAATAGGGAAATAACTCAACTTGATTTTTTCGATTTTTGAGTACGCAACTGTACTATTGACGCTGATTACGACCGAAAATTGTGCGTTCTTGAACGGGTGGTGGGAAAATTCTGATTTTTGGCCGAAAAATAGTTGACATTTGTAGAAAAATAATAGCAAAGTCTTAGAATTTTTGAAGGTTTAGTTCTTTTTTTACAGGCAAAACAAATTTCCCTATTTTCCTTATTTTTTACTTTTTAATTCGTAACTCGCTTCAAATACGCTGCCCATGGCTGATCTTTTGCAGATGGTGTCTCCGAATGATAATCTTTAGCACAACACCAAATTTTACCTGATTCTATGGTATTTCAATATTGCTTGCTAAAACGTGCCCCAGAGGGATACTGTAGTTTCTGTTTTTCGCGTTTTTCTTTTATTGTAGCTGCGATTTCGCTCAAAATTTTACCATCTGTAAACAATGGTAAGGGGCAGCCATGGGCAAAATATCACGAAGTTCTAGCCATACACCTTCCCAAAATAGGTGAAAACTTATTTTCGAATTTAGCCACGGAAATTTCTAAATATTTTGACGCATCGGACTAAAAACTACTATTATTTGTTTTCCCGAAAGATCGAAACGTTTCTATGGTGAGAAGAGCGAGAAAACGGCGATTTTCTGTTTTCTACAGTAACCCGCCTGAGCGCGTTTTAGCATGCCAAGAAAAATTCCATAAAATGACGGTTTTTCGATTCAGACTGTTCTCTGGGTGATTGTAAGAGCACCTACAAAAATTACTTGATTCCTGTGGCAAATGACAAAGTTATGAAGGAAAGAGGAAAACCCCTGTGGCCCGATTTTGGACCCGAGGCCCCGGGCTGAAAATCGAATTTTTGAAAATGAAAAATCACCGGAGTTTCGTGGATACAATTAAAGCACGTATCAAACTGTCTATGAGAACGGAATACTGGAACGATCTGGCTGAATTTAATGGTTAATCTTGATTTAAAACCCGAAATTAACGTTTTTGAAAAGCCGACTTTGGCGAGCTCTTCTAAATTCGTTTGCCATGAAAAGGTTTTGTATTTGCATGGTTTTAGTTGACTACCCAAACTTGGTCTATGCCAGAAAAGTCGGGGCTACTCAAGCCTGGAGAATTTTTTTACCTCGTCCCGAATTCGGGTATATTTGGGCTCTTCTGAATTTCTTTTGAGAGATTGGATGGCCCAATAAATTTGTAAATATATTTTAGAATGCGCCCATTAGGTGGTATTAAATAAAGTATGACAATATTTAGCCGCGCAAATGAATTTTATAGACTGGCACGAAGATCTGCGAAATAGCACGAGCCAACCGTTTTCCAAAGGCAAAAAAGGCAATCTTCCAAAGGGGTACGGTAGCTAGAAATTGTTTACATGATAGATTGACGCCAATCCTACACAACCAAGCAAAGAAAACACCGAAATTCTATCTGCAATTTTAGAAATATTTTTCCAAAGTTCAGTTTCGTGACTTCGAAAGAATCCATGACCAGGGGGTCGTCGAAAACTCAAAATCCGCGGATTTGAAAATTTTTTTGATATTTTTGTGGGATTGTAGCGAGCCCATAGACATCCTAAAACAGCTTATTTTGAGGTTTCCACCATAGGTTTTTGTAATATTCGAAATTTACGAAATTTCTCCATATTAAACTTGAGCACGCTATAACTTGCCAACCTGACCTTCAAAATTCCGAAATTCCGGATGTGTGGAGCAGTCCTTAGGTACCTAAACTGTAAAATTGGAGTGTTCGACCACCAGCAATCCAAAAAAATGCAATCGAAATTTTGGCGGAACGCACAGTTTTCGGGTGTCATTTGTATGGGTACGTCGCCAAAAATCGAAAAAATCAAGTTGAGTTATTTCCCTATTCCTGACATATTTAAGCATTCTGGCATGGTAACGCACGGTGAAATATCTTTCCTTCTCGAGTTATTCGGGGACAAACTCGGCCACTTTTTTTTGGGACACCCTGTAGAGTTGGTGGGGAACCCTCGGAGGACTTATGAAGTTTTTAAGAGGAGGAGGAGGAGGAGGTAGAGAAAAATAGAGGGTTATTTGGAAAGAGTGTGCTATGAGGTTATGGTAGTGATTTGTGATTTTAAAGGGGATTACACGCAAGGCGTGGATTCGGATGTTAGTAGCCATGGATTCAGGATGCCGACAAGCCAAGAAAGCTGACAAAATAGATCGTTTTGCCTTGGTCGGCCCTTTAGAATGTTTTAGCCTTAATGTCTTCTTTTCCATCGGGTTTAAAATTTCGGAACTTAAAATACCGACAACAAGAAAAGCGAATTTCGGCATGTTCAGTGTCCTTTAAGCGGTTAAAAATCCTGCACATCAAAAATGCCGACACCTAAAATGCCGGCAAAAAGAAAATAGAATTTCCACGTTTTATGTGGTCCAAACTGTCAAAGATCTAGAAGATGTTACACCACTAAATAAAACGCCAAGTGCCAGCAACAGGAAATATGAAATTTGCACTTTCTATGTCGATATTTTGGTTCTTTCCGCTAGAAACTAGCTGGCTAGCGAGGATTGTGACTAGCCATCCTAAAATGGCACGCCGCCTAGAATGGCTCATTCTGGGCGGTGGATTAGATGGGCTTTTCCGTGGTAGCGAGAGGGATGGCTTCCGTCTCCACCCCCAGATTCTACCCTTCCATTCCGCGCGCTCGTTTTTCCGGCTCACAACAAATGACTTCGTTTCCGGGATATTGGCACAAAGGCCGGCCGCCGCCTGGGGGTATGTCTGGGTGGGGTTAGTAGGTGTTGGAAGGGGGAGGGAGGAGAAGCTTGTTTTCGTCCGAACGTTTTGGTATCGGACCGGAAAAATCAAGTTGGAGAAGTTCGTTTCAAGGAAATGGCATAAAAAAGGTATTTAAGGTTACTCAATTGCAAAATTATGTTTTTAAAGGACGCGGAAGCTATAAAAAGTGTGGATTTTGCTGATGGTAGCGGTTTTGCGGTTTAATGGGACATGAATTTTGTAGAGTTCTGTAAACTGCGCTTATCGGGCCAAAATTTCCGTTAAATTCCGTTTCATATCAATTTTTTTTGCAACCGTAACACTTAAAGTTTTAATTTTTGTACGCTCTAAAATTAGATACATTCCCTTTAAATTCTTAAAATTTAAGGATACCGTAGCCACACAAAAGGCAATGCTATTAAAGGGGGCTTAGAAGGCACAAAAATAATGTATATAGCTTTTAGTATTTTTTAGGATACAGTGAAAAATACGATACTTAAAAATAGAATAATTTTTGCTAAAATCGACCTTCCCAGCCGCCTTAAATACCCAAAAGGCAATAGCACAGTAGGAGAGACGAGGTGTGGGGCCAAATTTGGCAGCAAGCCCCATCCGCCGAGTGGCCCCTTGAAAATGACGGGGGGGCCACGGCGGGCCCTGACGTCCTTCGCATCCATCCACCCATTCCAGCCCTGATTCACATTACGAAATCCGGAATACGAAGATTTTGGGTGGGTAGTGGATAGGTTTTCTTAGGAGGAGTGGTTTTTCTGGGTTTTTGGGAAAAAAAATGAAAGTCGGAAAATCCAGAATTCCTAAAAGTTAATTTTTGTAATGAATTTTTCAAGCTGATTTTCCGCAATTTCAAAAGACACTAAAAACTACTTTTTAGCAGAACAAACCAAGTTGCGAGCAACCAAAGAAGAGCTAAAACCGGTAGATTGGTGACACCCACACCCATTACTCACAACCCTCACTCCCTATAATCCATCCTGATAAGCTTTATTCCATTAACCCGTTTCGATCGGACAAACACGGAAATCAAATCATCATTGCTGCGTCACTCCCTCATATCGTTAATCGCGTTCAGTGCTTGTTTCTCGGCCTGATGGCTGTGGTAGAGGTAGTAGACCCAGTAGATGAAATTCAGGATCGTGAATGAGGCGGGGAACAGTTTTCTAAAATCTGAATACCTTTATTAAATATAAAAATTACCTGCAAATTCGGTCGATACGTTCAGCAGTCCATGTTGGATCTGGTTCATCTTCACTTAATAAACCCATCGCAGCGAGGGCGTGCAGGCTTTCGAACATCCGGTTGACATCTTTTGGGGCTTGACTTTCTTTTCGAGTGCCATTTTCGCGGATTTCCTACAAGAATTCATGCTCTTTTAAATGATTTGAATGTCATGATCACTAATAACTGCCAAAAATACCTCAATACCTACCGTAAACGGTTCTTCCTTCCCCGCTCTTATATCCGTATCATTTGCCATGTCATTCGAAATTGTTATAGCACCATAATTATTCTTTATCTCCTTCGGCTTCCGCTTCGAAGTTTTGCTAAAAAATAAAGTTAATTTTCCCCAAATTCCGCCACTTTTTCAGCAAGTCCATCCGCTTCTCTTTTTCCCGAGCCTTACGCTGCTTCCTCTCCTTATTATTAAGACTATCGATGTAGCTAAAAGATCATAATAGTGGAAACTAAACAAAATGCACTCACCAAATTAGCGCTACTTCAATCATCGTAAAGAAGATGAATCCAGTGGCCAGACACATGTAAACATCTATCGATTTGACGTAGCCGACTTTTGGCAGAGATTTGGCTACGTTTCCGTACTAAAGACAGATGTATCTAAAATATTTTTGATACCTGAAAAGTAAGAGCCATTAATGAACTGACGCCAAGAGTAATTCGCGCTGGTAAGGCCTATAATAAATTAATAATTAGAATCGAAAATTTCAGCTTTTTTACCTTGACATCAATCCAAAACGATACAAATGACAAAAATACAGAGGAATAGGTCGGCATATACATTTGAAGGATGTAAAAACCGTAGGCTCGTGAGAATGTTAATGCGACGGTTAACTAAAAATATAATCAAATTAAGTAAGGTATTTATAATACAGATTTAGCCCATTGATTACCTGATCCCACTGCCCGGCTGCGTATTCAAAATTATTCTTCGTCCATCGCATTTGGTATAGGGTAAAGTCGGCCAGTTTTGATTTGGCTATGGAAAATACCTTAAACAACTTTAAAGTTAAAGTACCTCGGCTGTAGTCGTCTTTTAAAAACCGTATTATGTACTTGAAAGGCTTATAATTAACTAACCGGTGCCCAGTCACGCCAATTGAGCACGACCTTGGCCGAATTGTAGGCATAGCTTTCGATCACCAGCTCACATACCATAACGTCCATTGGGAATAGGGAGAGGTCGACCTAGAAACATTGTTATTATCGTCATTATTTAAATTCTAATAGCGTTATTGATTTGTTACAAGGTATAGATCTCACCTGACAAGGCCCAATCACTTGCAAACGATAGTTCACCTAAAACTAGCAGGCTTTATTTTTTTCAGGAAAATAAATTTTTTTCTAAAAAGTGGTAAAAATCAATACCCACCCACACCGTCCCATTTGGATAAATCATTAAAAATATATTAGGTGTCGGCGAGGAGTGGATCTCAGTCTTTTTCGAATTAACAAAGCACACATTCGGCGTCCAGAGCTGATCGACCATTTGGTAGCCAAGCGTCAGGTTCTGGAAAATCCATAAAAATAGGTTTAATTAACATACCGATAAGCATGGAGTCATATGTTCAAAGCGTAGCCGAGGGTCGTGCCAGATTTGACTGAAAATATCAGAAGTCATTTTTATCCAAAATTTTCAAACCTGAACAAAATATCCAAGGTGAAGCCGGATGTGATTTCGGAGATTTGGCCAATGCTTTGGATTACGAATTCGATGACGACTTCTGGAAAATGGAGGTCGGAGAGAGAGAGAGAGAGAGAGAGGGGAGGGAGAGATAGAGAGAGACAGACAGATAGAGCGACAGCGGGCGAGAGAACGAGAGATAGAGAGAGAGAGGGAGAGAGAGAGAGAGAGAGAGAGAGAGAGAGAGGGAGGGAGAGATAGAGAGAGACAGATAGATAGAGCGAGAGCGGGAGAGGGCGAGAGAGAACGAGAGATAGAGAGAGAGAGAGGGGGGGAGGGAGAGATAGAGAGAGACAGATAGATAGAGCGAGAGCGGGAGAGGGAGAGAACTATAGAGATAGAGATAGAGAGATGGAGATAGAGAAAGGGAGAGAGATATAATGAGAGAGATAGAGATAGAGATAGAGAGGCAGAGTGATGAGAGAAATTTCGAATATGAGAAAAATCAATACAGCCCCTCCTATACCTGTAGCCTTATTTTTACTCGGCAAAGTGTTTTTGTGATATCCATCGTCAAACATTGTCGATAACACCTGCTGAGATATCGTATCCGTATCATTTGTAGCATCCCTAAAAGTTAAAAGTTTATATTGAATTCCTAGAAAATCTTCGAATCAATTTTAATGCCCCATCGCCATGCTAATTTCCATTCAAAACCCACTCGCATAAATTCCGCAACGGCATCGTGTGTCCGTTTTGTGATGCCACACCAGCTAGCCCATCATTTAATGCAGATACCTAAATTATTTAACATAACGGTGACGACAGTTGAATCGTACCTGCCAACCAATACCCAAAAACAGCGACAGCAAGCCGAGATTCGGGTGTGGTGACTAAATTGAAAATTTAAATAAATTTACGCAAATTGCGTACTGGTCTCCTCATGCTCTCATGTCTGCCCTTCGCGCTCAGATTGGTGTCAGCCGCTGAAAATCGGTGGAATGCGATCGTAAATAGGAGGAACGGAACTGGTGGGAGTTGCATTTTGCGGATTCCATCAGAGGCCAAGAATCATGAGGGTCTGATGGAATATTTGATAGATTCACAGGATTCTTTTGGACGCGGGGGTTTCTTTCTGTTGTGCATAATGGGTTAGGAAAGGGGGGGGGGCAAAAAAAAGGTTGATTTTAAAGGGAATTGGAAGTCAGTGATTTTCATTACTTAAAGATTTTGCAAAGGTTCCCGAGGAAACAAAGATATTTGGATAAAAATGTGGGTAATTCTTAGAATTACGGTGAGCTAGCAGAGCTTGTTAAGGAGAACCTGAACTTTACAACCCCCTTTAATTTACCAATCCATATGACGCAGCCAGCCCAAATCCATAGACACCGTCGCAGTGCCAGCTTGTAATTAGGGAATGGTTTTCGAATCCATAAACCTCCGCAAGAAGGGCTGCTTTGTCGGTCGATGTGTATGGAATGGGGAAGGAGGTGGTGCAGAGGTGGTGGACGGAAAAAGAAGGGCCACGACGCGATGAGGAAATGATATGCAAATTGCGGGGAAAAGCGGCTGGTACCTGGGCGATGGGAGGTGGGTAGGGCAAACGTTTTTGGTGGATAGGACGGGTCAGGGGGGTTTTGCAAAAAGGATTTGGACCCTGGAGTTTGATCTGATGGTTTATAATGTATCATTAATCGTTAAAGATATTTTGTTTCTAGACCCTTTTAAAGGGATGGACAAGGCATGATTACTTTTATTGATCTACGCTTGAAAAAAGGCTATTTTCCTATGCAAATGGAGTTGTTTATGCAGATTAAATGCTAACTTGATTGGCTACCGTAATTCAAGTTTAATGCTCTTTTAAAAACACCGCGTGGGCGAGTGGCTTCATAATCCCAAAAGCGCAACACGCGGCCAAAAACACCTCGAAGGTGTCAATCAAAACTACACGCCCTCCATCATAAAGAATGTTGATGCTCAAGAGTTCGCCGTGGAGGGCGGCTCATCATCGATGCTTCGCTAGAAGAGAGATTCTCACTTGATTCTGATTCTCCTGGGGGGTCTGGCTGGAGGAGGAGGACAAAGAAGGCGGGGAGGGCTACGGGAGGGGGGATCCCGTATGGACAAAGAGTTTCTCACAACGAATGAAGGGAATTGAGGGGGTTCCATTGAAATGTTGATGAAGGGATATTCGGGATTGGTGGGAGGGTTCTTTTGGGCTTTTTTGGGGGTTGAACGTTGAGCGCTCAAAATTAAAGGTAAATGGATGGATGATGACGGTGTTGAGGGTGGAAATAAAATCTTAAGTGGACGCTAGGTTCAAAAGCAAAAAGTTTGGAGGGGTAAGGGGTCGAACTTGGGTCGTGTGTTTGGTAGGCTAAGCCACTAGCCACTGCGCTACAGGTGAAATCGCTATTCTAAACACATTACTACGTTGGAGGTATTAATTTCTAACTGCATAGTACATATTTATAGACTGCTGACAACGGGACTAGTTGGAAATGGTCGTAGTAGGTCTCAACAAAAATTCCTATACCTTCCCAGATCACTAATGACGTGCTTCAAGTTAGTCGACAACGAATTTGTGGCTGTTTCACGGGTAGTATGCCTCTTGAATGCTCTGAGGGCACATTGCCATGGATTCTCCAGGATGCAATCCCATTTAGAGGCTGGGACGTTGGTGGGCCCCATTTCACGTGTTAGCACTCGGTGAAATATTGTCGACAGCTTTTTTGGGGAGGAGAAGAGGTGCTGCGGGAGTGGGATTCCAAAGAGCACGTCTACACTTCAATTAGATGGACATTTTAGGGTAGAAGCTATCTTTGAACATTGATGCATTCAAATGGGGGTTAGAAGATGTTTAGAAAATATAGCTGCGAGCAGGTAGATCCACCTAGCAAGGATTTTTCGAGGAATTCTCTAACGTTTCAAGGTATTGGATTCGAGTTGACCGAGACTAGCAGAGACATTTTAGGAATCAGCGACCATTTAAAGGTATCAGAAGCTTTGCTCAAGCACCAATATTTATGGACAGTTATGCCAATCAAGCTCCATGTGGCCATTTCAATCCCACCCACCTATAAACCAACACAATCCGCATTCCGTTTAGCTATAACTTTCCGAAATCTCCCAGATGCGCCATAACTCTACAAAGAAAGAGATGGAATCCCCGGCGAGATGAGAAGCTCATTGTCCCCCCAACATCTCTGTGTCTAGACCTCCTAGCTGGGAGGGTGTCTGCATGTGAAGGCATATTTTTTATGGAAGCACAACGGGGGGGGGGGGAGCTTTCATCGGCTCACCGTTTTTTTTCCGCGTTCCTCCGCTTGCTAGGGTGGTCATAATCTGAGGGAGCTGGGTGGTGACTTGTCATGGAGAAGATAGCAATTTTTGGGCCGTTGTAGAGGCAGCAGAACTAAAAAAATTGGGTCGAGTGAACTTGCATAAAGGTGAACCAATAGTACGAAAGGGCACTTTTTCTCATCTTCAAAGGTTGGCTGATTTTAAGAGTCGATCTTCGAGTAATTTATCGAAGAAATGTCGTACACGGCGCGTTGCGTATCGCAGTCGATATCCATTGCAGCAGAGGTGTTGTCGGTCTCCTTAAAACGACCGTTTCAAAAACAATAAAGTCGCAGCTTGTTTTTCATAATACACTTGTTTTTATTTGCCGCTTTCGATCGACTCATCAAAATAGCGAGAAACCACTTGATTGTCCGCTCCTCCAATCGATCGACATTAGCCGCCAAACGAACAGCTGGTCACAATCGAGTGACCCCTATGTTGCCCTGATCACCTTGCTAAGCCAGCAAAAGATTCCGCTATTTTAATATATTACTTTACGTTATAGTACTCTTGGAATTTAGTTGTACCTCAAAATTTTTTAGCAGCCGCGATGCTGCTCTACCTCTTCGCCGCGTTCGCGATATGCGCGGCCAAAAAGGAGGCGCACTTTAAGAATCTTTTAAAGGTAATTTCAACCATCATTGAGTGGCAGATTTAGATCCAATAATTTTCTAAACAAAAATAAGTGATTTTAGACGAACAACCTTACTCGTGTGGAGGTCTCCCGCGTACCAGTTGTTTTATGGCATGGAATGGGTAGCTTGTTTAGTTAAATCTGTAGCTTGTAGTCTGATAGTTTTTAGCTCTCGACTCGACCAAAAATATTCACCTTGCCATTTTCGTTTAGGCGATAGTTGCTGTAATCCATTATCAATGGGTTCTGTGAAGAAACTGATCGAAGAGCGACTCCCCGGAGTTTATGTCAAGAGCCTCATGCTTGGTGGGAATGTGGCTACGGTGGGTACCGTAATGCTACCGTGTTATGGAAATATTTTAGGACATGGAGCACGGCTTTATTGGGAATATGAACGACTTGGTGTTGGAGGCGTGTGCAAAGATACGGTAGTCAGAAACACGATCCTGTAAATACTAGCTCTTAGGCTTGATCCCCAGCTTCAGGGAGGTTATCACGCGATGGGCTTTTCGCAGGGCGGGCTTTTTGTGTGGGTTTTACTGTAATGAATGCTTATTTTAACGGATATAAAGGATTTAATATGTATTTCGCATTTTTTATCGAAAATAGTATACAAAAATTTATATTTTCAGTCGTGCACTTGCTGAACGCTGCCCAGATCCTCCTGTGAAAAATCTGGTTTCTATCGGCGGACCCCACCAGGTAAAATACAAACTACATACTACAGTACCAAATTTTAAGGGCATTTACGGCTTCCCGTACTGCATCGGACCAACGGCAATCTGTGATAGTGTCCGTCATCTGTTGGAATATGGCGCTTACACCGCCTTCGTCCAAAATCAGTAAACCCCAACTTATTACTTCCTTTAATACTGCTTTAGCGTTGTCCAAGCGCAATACTGGCATGATCCATTGAACAATGAGGAATACAAATCAAGAAATATCTTCCTCTCTGATTTGAATAACGAAAAGGTTGATTTATTCCAAGCAATCTGTGTTTATTCACATTTCAGGTGGTAAACCCGGAATATAAGGCAAATATGCTGAAGTTGAAGCAGTTTTTGCTTGTTATTTTTAGTCGCGATGAAATGGTGGTGCCCCGGGAAAGCACGGTATTTATTGTTTTAGTTTTGGTCTCGCTAGTAGGTAAATTATTAGTACGTATTATTCGCACGCTTCGGCGAGTTCTTCCCCTCGGGGATTTCTTTTCCTGTTTATACTTTTTGTAAATACATTAATTTATTAGTAATTCAGGACCTCAAATCATTAAAGTAATTTTTAGTGGTTCGGTTTCTACAAGCCAGGCGATTTACATACGATTCTGCCGATGAATCAGACCTCACTATACCTTGAGGTAATTTAGAATTTTTATGCCCCTTAATTTCCATATTTCTATCGTACAAAAAGCACATTTAATTTAAATTCATAGGACCGCATCGGATTGCGCAAACTACACGAGAGCGGTCGGCTGCACTTCTTGGAGGTGGACGGCAATCACCTGCAGATCCCGCGCGACACCCTCGTCAAGGAGGTCATTGACAAATACCTGGCATAAATTTGTTTTCTTAAATTGTTAATAAACCCATTTAATTTATTTATCGCATCTGAAGTTCAATAAAATGCCAGCATTGAGTTGTGGTTTGTACTAAAAATTTGTGCAAACTCATGGACAGCAAAAAGGCACTAAATATGGGGGAAATAATGAGCTGGTGAGGTGACCCGTAGTATTTTCGAAGCCAAAATCGATGTCGGGGGGTGTACAAGGTAGTGTTTCGGACACGCAATGTTATGATCAAAAATGAAAATGATGGACTGAAAGCTATAATTACTGAATTACTGCTGGTTAAAGGCATATAACGTTTCGTAGAGTTGAAAATGTTGGGCGTAGGTGCGCTTGAAGCGGTTGGAATTTGGCCACTTGTCGACGTCGCTGCAGTAGTTGAGTCGCATTAGACGATAGTAGTGCACCATTTTCTCGTCGCGCCATAGTGGACAATGTCTGAAAATTTGTGTTTATTGATAGATTGAAGATCTTGGTGTTATTCTCCGTTTAATGGATGATTTTCACGTACTTGTGCGAGTCTCGCTCATCCTGCGAACCGCCGACGCAATGGCGTTGTTGCTGTCGGTTTAGCCGTTGGATACGCTTACGTAGGCTAAAAACATAAATTATATATGGTGGGCTTGAAAACAAACTTATTCGACATTTCCTCCAGTTTCTCTACAACCTTTTCGGGAAGTGAGAGTCGATTTGTCAGGCATTCTTCAACAGGTTCGGGCTCATTTTCCTAAAAGTCAGCTTTTAGAATATTTGCTCTGATGCTCCATTCATAGCTTTACGATCAAGGTTTTGATGGTTTCTAAGTTCCAGGTTCTTCGAGAGGGACGGGCACGGTATCTTTATAAATTCTCCGCATTAGGGATACGCAAGGCGGCTGCACATTCGCCACCGTAAAGGTGCTGTATTCAATTGCGCTAAAACACCTGCGTCCGTGTCGCATCTCAAAATCCGCTGGGAGTCCACAGCCATACCGGCCCGGATACCTCGTCCGGAAAGTCATTTAATGAAGCATTGGGGAAAATACGAACCCGTCAGACAGAGAGAGGCCAGCAATGGATCCATCAACCTCAATCAAATGGCCACCGATCAACGGGGCAAACCCCTTTGTGAAAAGCCGCCGCAGCCGTTTTCCCCCGTGAAAAAGAGGGCCCTGCGAGAAGTTCGATTAAAGGCGCCGGGAAGGCAATGGAGCATGATTAGCACGTGCACGCATTAATGCTATGGCGCTTTTAGGCGTAGCGGTTTAAGGTTCGCTTAATCGGAGCATTAGCATCTCTAGTGAAAACCCCAGCCCTACGTCCCAATATTGTTTTTCCAAAAAGCCAGTTGGGCAGTGACGTCGGCACGTTTGCACGTCTACCCCTCCGAAATCACCCCAACTGACGGGCACAACAGGCTTTGGCTAGAAAAAAGTTGAAGCTGTCAATGAGTCACCCTGTCAAAACACTAGGGCAAAGGCCAGATTCGAAAAAAGACTAGAACAGTCCTAAAAAGTGATGGGGACAGCTGATCGAGGTGTAGGGCTGAGAAGTCAAAAATTGACTCTCTGGTCATCGGTGGCGGATGGCCATTGCTCGCAAAATCGTATTTTTAGGCAAAAAACCTACGCACCTCAGTTTCCGGAATAGTCTTCAGGACCGGAATCTTGTCCACATCTTTTGTCAATTCATCGATTTCTGCTGGTGGCGGCGGCACGGACGGATAAGCGAGAGTAGGGCTCTAAAATCTCATAAAAATAAATCTATTTCGAGCTTGCCGTCGTCACAAAATCTTCATTTCGAAGTTCGACGCCAGCGGCTTCAGCTTCAGGTGTAGTCGGCACTTCCGTGATCATCTCCATAGTCGTGGAAGTGCTAACATATACTCGAAGATTAAGTTAGTAAAATAAAAACTAACCTTTCTGCCATTTCTTCAACAGTTTCAGGTTGCACAGTTTCTTCAATACGAACTTCTGGAGCTTTAATGTATTCGACCTAAAAAAAACAAAATAATCATTTGGAGTCGATCAATAGCTAATACCTTTTTATAATCCGGTTCTTTCTCGGCGACCCTTGTCGGGGGTTCAGTCGGAGATTCAGTTGCTGAACTTTCTGAGCTCATTGTCGTCAGTGTTGTTTTGCCTTCATCTTTCTCAAAACGGAAGGCATATCAAAAAGTAGTTAAAAGCTTACCTCTTCGTGATCATCAACCACAATCACCTCATCAGCATGTGATTGGGTTCCATTTTCATCAATCAATCGAATTTCGATCCTTTCAATGGGCGAATCAAGACTTTCGACTGAAATCACGATTTTCAACGGCCAATTAAAAAATTAAAAAATACGTGGGACCTTTCGATGAGCGAAACTTTTGGAGTAAAGAAGAGATAAGGTGTTTTAGAAAACTTCTGTGAGTGATGGATTTTGTAAAGGAATCTGTAATGACGAACAAAAGCCTCGCCTACCTTTCCGCCTACCGTGAAACGTACTTGCCACCCCGGGGACGTCGGCACGCCTTCTGAGGACCCCTTCTTCTTCTTCTACAAGCTCATCGTGGCGATGGGCGCTGACCTGAGCTTCACGCACTGTTTTGGCTGGCTTTTCCTGCTCCGCTGGCTCGCCAAACGGTTTGGAATCGGCCAGTGTGTATAGGAGGATGGAGATGAGGGGTGGGAGCAACATTTTCTACAAACACCATATTAAACCAATAAAAAATTGTAAATACAGTATTTTTAGAGGTGTTACAAACATCCGAGACGCCGGAATTAACATGATCATTACGAGGCAAAGCGCAAAAGCCAAGAAATTGAGCTCGTGTTCAAACAATTTTTTAAAATTAGCATGATATTCCAATGACGCGTCTAGATCCGCAACACCTCTAGTATTATCCAAATTATATTACATTATAAAACCTTGTAACCGGCTCAAATTTCAAGAGCCAAAAGCTGGAAGCGGACAACAAGGATAGTTGTGAAGGGATCGGGCAGCCGAGAGGGGAGACCCATGAGGACCCATCATCGACCGGGCAGGCAGTTGTCACTTCTCAAGAGTTTGGCTATGGCTTTGGCTATGGCTCATACCTCTCGTTGAAACGAGTCCCCCTCAGGGCACATCCCGGTCATCCTCTTACCACACTCACACTCACACTCCTTATGCTTTGGTGGAATTGCAGGAGAAAGGTTTAAAATGCCAAATCTGTGTAGGCCAAAAAATGTACGACTTAGGCTAGGAATTGGGCTTATGCCTAGATTTAGGCTAGGAATAAGCCGAGGATTAGGCTTATGCTTAAACAATCTTAAAAATTGCCGATGCGCACTCCAGCCAATGCAAAAAGCAAAAATTTTTGGCGAATCTTTGAATACCCCTTTCAATTTACAGCCAATTTTCCATGAGGAAAAACCTCGGAGAAAACCGTTTTGACTAGGCGATATCCCGATGTTCCGTTCAGTTCCAGATCAGTCACTTCCCAGTCCCACTGAAGCCGCCACAACAACGCCGGAAGGCGGCGGAGGCGAAGCAATCAATATTTTATCAACAAACATCGCTTATCGCCTCCTATAAAGACATTGGACGCCGCCTTGAACAACAACGCTTCACCCCCCGGGCTTCCTCAAACTTAATACCTTAAATTCAAACCAAATTGAATACAGAATTCAAAATAAACTCTGACTTTCAGAATGAAGAACTATCTAATTGCGCTAGCATTGTTTGGGTTGACCCTCGCGATGAGGGATCAGTCGATTGCCGTCAAGGTTGGTAAAGTCTATGAGTTACTGCCAATCGTTGACGCCCTTTGTCTTGAAATTAATTCCAGGGAATTTCTATTTTAGGGGCGCTTGGTGTGCGGTCCAAAAGCGGCCGCCAATGTTCGAGTGAAGCTGTGGGAGGAGGATTCAGGTGAGTAGGTCCACAACAATCTCTCCCCTCAAACAAGCTTAAAAAAAGCTAATCGGCGGCTATTGAATCAATGTCTAAAGAAGCCAAATCACGCTTACTAATTATAGGACCGGACCCGGATGACCTGCTTGATCAAGGGTACACCGACAGCAACGGCGAATTTCACCTAAAGGTCCGTGGCATTTTTCATGCGATCCGCGACGAAAACAAATCACAGCCAGCCAACAAAAAGAGGAATTTTTCCAGGGAGGTACCGCCGAGTTGACGCCGATCGACCCGATTTTCAAGGTGTACCATGACTGCGACGATGGCATTAAGGTGTGCAGCTTTCCGCATAACATTGCTAATAAAAAACCGCTTTGCAGCCAGGATCGCGAAAAGTCCGCTTCGGCCTGCCTAAGAAATATATCACAGAGGGAAAAGTGCCGAAACAGGTCAGTCGAAGTTGCCAGACGCGGGACGCAACGCTCTTCAGGTGTTCGACATCGGGGTTATCAACCTAGAGACGGTATTCTATGAGGAAGGACGTGAAATGATCGTCAGCAAGCGGTAAACGTGCATAAAAAAATTATGCCAACTTTCAGCGCGTTGCCGGATGATGACCACGATGACTGACCATTAGGTCGTAATCACGTCTAACCATATTTCACTAATAAATGATCGTTACCCCAATTTGAAGCAGAGCAGCTCCGTCATTGATGATCCGAAAATGTATTCAGCAACAAACATTTATTAAACAAGGACAATCAACAAACAAAGGCGAGCAAAGGCTATTATCTGGTTTATGGGGTGGACTACATTCCAACTAATATAAAGACGCACGTTAGAATAAAGTAAATTTGGGGAGGGGAAAGAGCGCATAATACCTATATTAAGAAAAAGCATATGAGGAGTGACTTGAACGAAACCAGATGCATTTGGAAGTAAAAGACCAAGCTCATAATGTGAAACTACCACCACCAATTCTTCTCTTCCCCATCCTCCGCGAGTAGACGTAACCCGCCCCCCACTTCGTAGACGAAAGGATCGAACGTGACGGGTCGCTTCGCCTTGACCATGTCGCGCCGTCGCAGAATGCTGCGTCCAGCCTTTGCCGGAAGACGAACGACCTAAAACAAAGAATGTAGGAGTGTTCGAATTTTGGCGAAGTTTGCCCCTCACCGCCCCGCGTTATTTTACCGCTAAACACAACGAAACCCATATGCACCTTAGAGTGTTGTTCTGCGGCATTCTTACGCCAATTAACAGTTCTTCGCAGCGTGCGGTACATAGTCTCTGGCTATAGGATTACTATGAAATAACTAGGAATAGAGGAAGAGAACCCGCCGACAAACGAGATTCTAACCAGCTTCCAAGCCCCCGCGGCCCAAAATGCCCCCAGCGTAAGGGAAAGAAACAAACAGCAAGGGAATTGACAACTGTGGCCCCTCGGAGCAAGAGCAGCCAAACCTTGAAAATTACCTTCAGCTTGGGCGTTTTCTCTTCATCTTCGTCGTCCGCTTCCTCCGCATCACTTTTCGGCTCATCTTCAGTTTCGTTGGAGACTTCACACACAGTGTCTTCCTCTTCGATCGGCGGACACGAAGCCAGATCGACAGGCGCTATCTCGGTCTGCGTGACAGAGATAGCGGATTCCTGAAAAGCATGGTATTAAAACAAGACCTTTGGGAAGTTGGAACGTTCAAACAAATGGCCAAGGGAAAATAAATACCTCGTAGCGATTAACCCCGGGCACACCCTCAGATTCGGACAAAGTGGATTCTGAGGCAGCCAGGCACCTTCTCTTAGCAGCTTGCTGCGAGTGCGGTCGCAAAGAGACCATATCCACTTTGCTTTGGCGTAGTCGACGGGCCTCCTCCATTGGATCACCCGAAGGCGTTGTGAAAGAAGTTGACGAGCATGATTGCTGCAGCAATGCCTAAAGCAAAAAGTAAAAATCAAAATTATATCGTTACCTCAACGACGCCAGGAGCTACTCCGTTTGGCATATGCACAGAGCCCATTTGGACCGTTAAGGAAGCCTTGGCCGAAGTCATTGGCAGGGCTACGTCATGCACGGATGGTGGAGGCGGAATAGGAGGCGCAGCATTCGACGGATGAGGATCTTTGGGAGGGCTAGGGCTCGGAGCAGGTTCACGCGAGGGCACCGGTGGAGATGGAATCGTCGAAGAGGATGAAGTCGAGCAACTGTCATCCGAGCGCGCGCATACGACAAGATGGGAACTAAGTTTACATAAAACTTCACAGCGAAAAGCTAACTTGTACTGCTGATCAGCATCAACGTTTCGATCGCTGATGTGCTTCTTGACTTCCTCAGCGGGCAGTTGCTTGGAGGGGACTTGCACGTTGAACGGCTCCACCGAGGCACCCGGACGAGTTTGATGTTGGTCTTCTCGAACGACTTTTGGGGCTTCATTCTATGAAAAAAATAACGAAAAGCAAAGAATTCGCACCTGTACACGAGCTTGCACAACCCGGCTAACCTGGACCGCTTCCGAACGAGGCAAGGCTTGATGGCGCTGCATGTTTTCGATTTCCTTGACCATCTCGAAGACACGTCCGCAGGTTCGGCGTAGTTGCAGCTCGTGATTCTCCATCTGTTGTTGAAGGCCATTCAGGGTTCGCTGGTTCTCGTCGGTACGCTGGCCGAGTGCACGGGTCTCGCGTTCCAGCTCCCGTATTCTGAAACAAAGGCATAATAAAGAAATCGAAAAGTAAGCGAAATATTCTAGCCTTAGGTTGCGTCTTTTCGCATATTATCTCTAAATCGTACCGTTGAACCAACGCTTTCCCCGTCAAAGTTCCATCGAAAGCTGGAGCCAACTTTGCGCGAATGACGCCAAGAGTCTCATTTGGAACGAGAATCAGCACTTGAGCGCCAGTACGTTCTTCATTTTCCATTTCAAGTTGCTTGTGTGAGACTTGGTTTTGGGGTGGGGAAAAGAAAAGAAAATCAGCTGGCCTGATACTGGTTCCGTGATATACCATTGACGGTCAGAAGGGGTGCGTAAAGATTTGTACTTTCTACCGCTTTTCCGTAAACTTGCTTAGTTTTTCGTGTTTTTTTTTATTTTGATGAATGGTTTTACAATAAGGCTGGTCCGCTTCGGTCCGCCTAAGAAATATATCACAGAGGGAAAAGCGCCGAAACAGGTCAGTCGAAGTTGCCAGACGCGGGACTCAACGCCCTTCAGGTGTTCGACCTCGGGGTTAACAACCTCGGTATTCTATTAGGAAGGGCGTGAAATGATCGCCAGCAAGCAGTAATTGTTCATAAAATAACTTATGCCAACTGTCAGCGCGTGGCCCGATGATGACCACGATGTCTAAACCTTAGGTCGCAATCACGTCTAACCATATTTCATTGATGAATGATCGCTGCCCCAAGCTGAAGCAGCTCTGTCATTGAAAATCCGAAATTGCATTCAGCGACATCGTAACGCAAAACAATTTTTATTAAAACGGTGGCAGGACAAACAAACGAAATGGCGAAGGGTTGGAAAATATAAACTTGAGCAAAGAGAATTATCACCATTTGAAAGGGGTGGACTTCAATATAACCAATATAAAGATGCACGTTAGAATAAAGTAAAGTTGAGGGGAAAAGAGCGAATGGTACCCATATCAAGAAAAAGGAGATGAGGCGCGACCTGAACAAAACAAAGATGCATTGGGAAGTGAAAGGCCAAGCTCAGACATGTGACTTCAGTTCTTGTCGGGGTTGTTGTTCGACTCAACCGGAATCAGGAACGGGGCGAAATTGAGCCTAAAAGAAGATAAAATAAAAGGCCAGAAAAACTGAACTACCTTTCGTGGAACTTGATCGGCGGGTACAACGAAATGTAGGTGCGAGGACAGATGCCGACGCGCTTTTTGCCATCCGGTGAGACTTTTTCGCACCTGAAACGCACGGGTTTGGATCACGAGTACGGATTCAAACACTGATTACTGATTGCGGACTGATTACGGCGAAGAGAAAAAGATATATAAAATAGGTACCTCCACCAATTCTTCTCTTCCTCATCCTTCGCGAGTACACGCAACTCGTCCCCGGCCTCAAACGACAACTCATCATGGAACTTGGCTTTGTAGGTGTAGGCGCCGTAAACCTAAAAATCGTTAGTACTAGGAGTGGGGAAACCAGCGAACCTTTCCCGCGTTGATCGAACCAGTCGCGTTCAGTGCCGAGAGCATGTATTTGAGACAACCATCATATCCATCTTCGTCCTCCTCGCACTTCTCAATGGGCGTCTCCTGGTCGGAGAGCGTAGCGGCGAAAAGACAGGCACCGCCTAAAGCATCAAGTTTAATCAGCAAAACACAATAGCTTACTTTCGATAAGCAGGCGGACCATTGGAAGGTGATTGCACGAGGCGGCGCAGTGGAGCGGGGTCCACCCGTCAGAATCCTGAAAATGAAAACTTTGTTAATTGGCGCGAAAATGTCAGCATCACATGTTCGATAAAATAAAACAGCCACTAAACTAGTTCGAGCACACATGAAAATCTTACCTGCGCGTTGACATCAGCAAACCGATCAATGAGGAATCGAACGATTTCGTAATGACCGGCGCAGATAGCGTTGTGCAGAGCCGTGATGCCTTCGTCGTTGGCGGCGGAAACATCGGAAAGAAGACCAGCGCAGGTGATCACGAGGTCCATTTCGCCTTCGAGAGCCGCATCGAGCAGCAAGACAAGTGGATCGAACCTTACGGGTCGCTTGGCCTTGACCATGTCGCGCGGTCGCAGAATGCTGCGTCCAGCCTTTGCAGGAAGAAGAACGACCTAAAACAAAGAATATAGGAGTGTTCGAATTTTGGCGAAGTTTGCCCCTCACCGCCCCGCGTTATTTTACCGCTAAACACAACGAAACCCATGTGCACCTTAGAGTCTTGTTCTGCGGCATTCTTACGCCAATTAACAGTTCTTCGCAGCGTGCGGTACATAGTCTCTGGCTATAAAACTACTATGAAATAATTAGGAATAGAAAAGATCGAAATGAGACAATTAAAAGCAAGATGCCTTTGTGGCCAGATATTGTGATGGTGCGTTCCATTAGCTGATGATTGTGGTAAGGACGTTTCAAAATGGCATGCCAGGGGTGGCCGGATTAACACGATGCAGGCCGCATCTTTGCGGCAGCCATAGAAGCGGCCTGGATCCATCGAGAGGATTAAGACTTTTTGAAGGCCATCTTTAGGAGACACCCACAAAATGAGCTAATTCACGAGAAAACAAAAGTAGATCAATTTGCTTATAAAAAAGCCCTAGAAAAAAAAGACAGAGCTAACTAGATTGACCTCGACGCTTTCCATTTGACGCAAAAAATTGAACAGCCTACGCCAACTATATTTTTGGACCAAAGCATGACGGCAGGGTTGCTCCGAGAACTGCATCCAGAAGAAAAAGGATGAGAAGAGGAATTGGGAGGACCCGCCGACAAACGAGATTCTAACTAGCTTCCAAGCCCCCGCGGCGACCCAAAATGCCCCCAGCGCAAGGGAAAGAAAACAAACAGCAAAGGAATCGACAAATGTGGCCCTTCGGAGCAAGAGCTGCCAAACCTTAAAAATCACCTTCAGCTTTGGAGTTTTCTCTTCATCTTCGTCTTCCGCTTCCTCCGCTTCACCATCACTTCTCGGCTCGACTTCAGTTTCATTGGCGACTTCACCTACAGTCTCTTCCTCTTCTATCGGCGGGCACGAAGCCAGATCGACAGGCGGGATCTCCGTCTGCGTGACAGAAATAGCGGATTCCTGAAAAGCATGGTATTAAAACAAGACTTTTACGGAGCTTAAAGCTTTCAAATGAATAGGGAAGCCAAGATAAATACCTGAGCGTAGTGAGTAACCCCTCGCTTCTGCGCGTCAACTAGGGCACGCATCACACCCTCTGATTCGGTCACAGTGGATTCTGAGGCAGCCCACGACCTTCTCTTAGCAGCTTGTAGCGAGTGCGGGCGCAAAGAAACCATATCCGCTTTGCTTTGGCGTAGTCGAAGGGCCTCCTCCATTGGATCACCCGAAGGCGTTGTGGAAGAAGTTGACGGTTGCTGCAGCAATGCCTAAAGCAAAAAGTAAAAACCAAAATTATATCGTTACCTCAACGACGCCAGGAGCTACTCCGTTTGGCATATGCACAGAGCCCATTTGGACCGTAAGGGAAGCTTTCGCCGAAGTCATTGGCAGGGCTACGTCATGCACGGATGGTGGAGGTGGAATAGGAGGCGCAGCATTCGACGGATGAGGATCTTTGGGAGGGCTAGGGCTCGGAGCAGGTTCACGCGAGGGCACCGGTGGGGATGGAACGGTCGAAGAGGATGAAGTCGAGCAACCGTCATCCGAGCGCGCGCATACGACAAGATGGGAACTAAGTTTACATAAAACTTCACAGCGAAAAGCTAACTTGTACTGCTGATCAGCATCAACGTTTCGATCGCTGATGTGCTTCTTGACTTCCTCAGCGGGCAGTTGCTTGGAGGGGACTTGCACGTTGAACGGCTCCACCGAGGCACGCGGACGAGTTTGATGTTGGTCTTCTCGAACGACTTTTGGGGCTTCATTCTATGAAAAAAAAAATAACGAAAAGCAAAGAATTCGCACCTGTACACGAGCTTGCACAACCCGGCTAACCTGGGCCGCATCCGAACGAGCCAACGCTTGACGGCGCTGCATCTCTTCGATCTCTTGTTTTAGTTTAAAAACACGTCCGCAGGTTCGGCGTAGTTGCAGCTCGTGATTCTCCTTCTGTTGTTGAAGGCCATTCAGGGTTCGCTGGTTCTCGTCGTTTCGAAGGCTTAGTGCACGGGTCTCGCGTTCCAGCTCCCGTATTCTGAAACAAAGGCATAATAAAGAAATCGAAAAGTGAGCGAAATATTCTAGCCTTAGGTTGCGTCTTTTCGCATATTATCTCTAAATCGTACCGTTGAACCAACGCTTTCCCCGTCAAAGTTCCATCGAAAGCTGGAGCCAACTTTGCGCGAATGACGCCAAGAGTCTCATTTGGAACGAGACTCAGCACTTGAGCGCCAGTACGTTCTTCATTTTCCATTTCAAGTTGCTTGTTTGGGATTGTGTTGTGAGACTTGGTTTTGGGGTGGGGAAAAGACAAGGAAATCAGCTGGCCTGATCCTGGTTCCGTGATACAACATTGACGGTCAAAAGGGGTGCGTAAAGATTTGTACTTTCTCCCCTTTCCGTAAAAATTCTTTAGTTTTTCGTTGTTTTTTATTTTGGTAGATGGTTTTACAATATTCTGGCTACTTTCTTTTCGGGTGCTTCAAAACTGTGTTACCTGCTCAACTCCATTTCGCCCTCGGCCACATGCCGTTTACTTTGCTGCAATCTTTCCCGGACGTCTCCACCGACCGTTCGTGTTCTCCTTTCTTCTTCGACTCTGAAAGATAATGGGTTTTTTACTTTGATAGCTTACTTATTCGTTTCGATCTGTTTTCGTTGTCGTTCGGCGACGTCTACCATTTCGTTGTAGGATCTAAGAATTATGGTTAATTTCATCCAGGGAAAGCTAGAGTTCCTTGGGGGGTCTTTTTTGGCAGTTAACAATTAGCGCACGGTTGACACGATTTGCAAGCTTCTCATGGTGCACATAACTGGTCATGTTTGAGCCCTAAGGTCTTTTGGTAAGCCAACTTTGTTACGACAGCCGGGATTGAACTTTTTTATCTCGGCTCCTTTTGTGCTACCTGGCTGTAAAGTATATCAAAATGTGTTTTGTAGATTAGGAATATACTAAATTTGAATCGAACAATTTAGCGGAAGAGAAGAAATTTGAGGTCAAACAGTTGGGAATAAAGCGATTTTAGCCCTATTTTTACCTGAAGCATGCCTTAGACTGCTAACGACACTGTATTAATGACTAATTTAGCTTAATGTTGATGTTTGTACATGCTTTACTGGGCAAATGCTGTCTTGCGAACCGTGCGAACCCTGCGATATTTGCTGACTGCACTTTTTGAGGTATCAAAGCTGACCTGCCAGTATTTGGTGGCACATGGACGGTGGGTATTCGAGGTGGCTGCACGGCGGCCACAACCCGTACCGGTTGTTTCGACATCTGAAAAATGGTATCAAGTACGGTCGGGAATGGCCGGGGGTTTGCGAGATATGCATGTGTCGAGATTTGGGGGGATCGAGAGAAAAACTGCGAGTATACGCGGGGCATTTTCAGTTTTGCCAATGTGGCACGAATATCAGTGATTGGCGGGGCGGAATGGATATGGCAGAGGGGGGAGGAAGAGGAGGAGGAGGAGGAGGTCACACGTTCCAAACGTGCCACCATTCGCGGATATCTTGAGGATCGCCGGGTTCAAAATGACGAATTGCAGAGTAAAAGAGGATCAATTGGGAAGAAAGGAGCTTTTTGGCAGCTCACTGCCCAAGCAGGTGAGCCCAAAAACAAGGAAACCTAAAAGCGGCTAGATCGGATCAAAGGTCCGTGGGGCGATTTCAGGTCTAGGAGGGCAGATTTAGGCTTTTTTGGTAGTGTCCCCGTTATTTGTGGTGGAACTCATGAGCGACAAATGAGTGTACGGGTATTACACACCAGAAAAACGATGGCGCCGTGAAACGTTGCGCAGAGTCGGGATGAACCAAAAAAAAACGGGTGCAGTGATTGATGGGCAGGAGCCAGATGGAGGGGAGGGGAGGTTGCTCAAAAGCCGTCAGTTGTTCTTGCTGATGGCAAAAAAGCATGGGCTATAGGAGGGTTGATTGTAGAAAGAAACAAAAACAATACTATAATCAGGAAAATAATAAAAAGAGAGGACTTTTATTAAATTTTTTAAGTTGAAGAAAGGATATCTGTGAGAAGAGGAGATTCGTAGAAACTTCAATAGGCAGAAATGCAATAAACGTTGAGTTCAACGTTGGTAACAATAAAAATTCTGATATGGCAGTACTAGAGTCATTTTGGGTAAGTACAGTACATACAGTAAATTAGTTTTTATTAAAAGCTACTTTCTAAGGTTCAGAAAACTATGTATAATAATGGAATAAAAGCGAAAGTGCGGCAACGAGACACCAACCAGCTGTGAAAGTGAGGAATGATATACCTAGGGAAAAGGTGAACAGGTCGCGGGGTCACCCCCCTCGGGGTGTGGTGGCTAGCCCGGCAAAAAAAAACGAAAAACAAAGGAATAGCGATGGCAGATAGGGAGAAGAAATTCGGAAAACTAGTCGAGCGTGATGGAAATAAATTTGGAAGCGTAGATCTTGGGCCAGAAAATTTAAAGGGAGGGTGAATTCATGGCAATGGATATCAAGGATTTTTCAGGTCCTCGCACGTAACTTCCTAGTTCCTAGTGCAATTGCGTAATGGATTAAAAGTGGAAAGTTTTAATTTGATACTTAATGATCCGTAAAATAGCAAACAGAATTTCTGTACTCCCATTAGATAGTGTATTAGGGTAGTAGAATTCAGGGTGCGCGGAAATAGAATCGGAAAAAATAATTCATAAAAACCTATAGATATGAAAAACATATAGCTTTACCTTTAAAGAGACGCAGAATAATGCAACATGCACGACCTAATTCCAGGATTAGAATCCACGAAAGAATTAGGGTAATTATAATTTTTCCTAGGTTTAGGTTTGAGCTTGCTTCGGCTTAGCGGCTTTGAAAGATAGATCATAAAAAGAAAGCCAATGAATACAAAAAATTTAACCAAAAAACTTTAGAATATAAGTTAATAATAAAATAACACAAAGGTGGGCTCAACTGAAAATAGAGTAGAGTGAAGGTATGTCACTGTGTGTCGCTCTGTCTTTCTGTCTGCTGTGGTGGTGTGGTCCCTTGGGCTGCGGTCCGTTGGTTCTTGGATCGATCGATCCGGGTAGAGGATCCGTTGGGGTACCCCCGTCTTGCGCACAGGGGGAAGAAGACCTTTCTTTCCTCTCCAACAATCCCCCTTCCCAAAAAAGGCAGCGCAAAGTAGCGAAGCGGAACCGGGGTGCGGCGGGTGGTTTGTACCATGCCTTTATGTTTTTGTGAGACCAGGAAGGGCGTAGTTTCTTTGAAATAAAAGGAGCTTCTATAAATAATTTTATTTAATTCCAAAAACATCCTAATTTATCAGGGGATATCTCAATAGGTCAAGACTATAAAACTATAAATGATGCGTTATTACATGCGTAATAATCCTAGATGCCCAGGCCTATATCAAAATTCCAAAAACATGCTGTTTCCGGTGATGCGAATTTCGCAACGCAAATTAGGCATTAGAAAAAGCCTATTTTTAAGCTGTTTAAAAAATAAGTTAAGTCTAAAATATAGGAATTTCGGATTTACAGAAAAATTGCCCAAACCAATCAACCGAACCGGGCAGCTGTGACCCGTTTTCGCGCGCTATACCCCGAGCAGCTGGTAGAAAACGGCCCAAAAAGAGGCCGTTTTTGGCATGGGCCATTTAATAGGGTGTCGGGATATTCAGGAGGGGCGAAGTAATGGCTTGAAGAGGTGGGTTTTGGGTGTCGAAGGGGGCAGTGGATGTCTGTAAACAAAAGCGGATAGAGGGAGACCGTTCAAGGGCCGCGAATCGTCGGGGGGCTGGGATCGGAGGATCACGATTCGAGAATTCGGGAGGTGTGAGATGATGGTCATGGGATTAGAGATATCTGGAAGCGGGACGAGACGTATTTTTGGCCTGTCAGTTGGTTTAAAGGGGCTGGGAAGCGGGAGAATCGACCTTTTTCGTTGACTAGGTGTCGACAACTACATAATATTTCAAATGACACATCAGTAGTGCCCTATGCTTTTTGGACTGAAGAATAAAAATAGAATCCTATGGTAATTGTTTTCGAACTGTCGAGACCTAGTATGCTCCAAAGGTCGATCCTCACACTTCCTAGTTCCTTTAAACCCCCAAAATCCCGAAGATAATAAGGATCAAATTTCGAGAAATAATGCGCGAAATGGCAACGGGCATATCCCGGGACGGGGGCACAACAGGAGCATGAGGGGTGCGGGGAGGGACGGGTTTATTGAAGAAGGAGCACCAGCCACAGCAGCACCACCACCAGCCAGCCAGCCCAGCTCTCCCGCTCCACCCGGTCGGTCAGAAATCCCCTTTCGTTTGGAAGGAGACACATGTCTTCCAGCCCACATCTTGGCCGCACAATGCATCTTGCAAAACCAGATATCACGCTTTTTAGCGTCAGGTGGGAGGGCAAGGTTTAGGGGGATTGGGGGAGCTTAGCTGGCTTGAAGGTTAGAGAAATATTGAATTACGCAAAATTTGAATACATTTTAAAGGTAACGGGAAGGCGCTTAAATGGGGTTAAAAACAAAGATATCGTTTTCTTAGAAAAAATGTAAAAATCCATAAACACACCTTGCCAGTCCCTTTAAATGAACATTCAGTGCGCAGCTACACAGCCCTCCAAACTACGCAAAAACCGTGACGGATTTGGCGGGGTGAGCGACGATAAACGTTGAATAGGATAGGTGAGTGGGAGTAGCCGGGGCTGGATGGTGGGATTGGCACCATGGACCGGGCCAAGGTCAGGCTCCCAACAATAGTGCTGCTCACCAACGATGACGAGGTGAGAAGGCCTTGATTGACCCGGTATTGGGCGGCGCGCACTTTTTAGGAAACAATGGAATTTTGGGGGTGGAACGGGATGGGTAGGGAATCATTATTGGTGTCCGGTTTTCGCACTCCTTTTAAATTCTAACGGATTGGCAAACAGCAAATGGCATACGTAAAGGTGCGCAAGGTGGGTATAATAAGCAACAATATAATGCATATAAACAAAGGTATTCCAAGGTAGCTTAAAAACTAGCGGGCTTACCGTAACCAAGCAAAGGTTTCTAAAAGGAGCTCTACCCATTAATACAACATTACTGGATCAAGATGAACCCTGAAAAACCAACTATTTTTTCCGGGAAATCCGGCCGTAATAAGTCGAGATCTGGCACTAATCCATCAACAAAAAGACGCCACGATCTGTGGCGCCTTGTGGACCTATCAATATCCATCCATCCCCCCACACCCTCCTAGAAAATCTTTTTTTGCCTTCTTAAAAGAATGACGGGTGTGGTATTGGATTCCGAACATTCCTACTGACGCCTCTCCCATTCTACCGTCGATTTGTAGCCGTTTCCCGGGCGCCACCCCACCCCCAATCGGACCGCTAGTGCGGTGTGATTAATGATCGGATTGAGACCGGACTAGGTGGGAGAGGAGCATGGGGTTAAACTACGCTTGTTGCTCAAGCGGAAATGGGTGGAAGTAAAGCGCTACGGCATTTACCTCCAGTTTACAGCTAGACTAACAAGCTGCAGATGTCCGGTCTAGTCGGGGAAATGGGTGGGAGGATGAGGATGAGGAGGAGCGTGTTCCGGGAGAATTCCGGAACTCTGCACGCAGGTGCAAATGATTTCGGGACTAACAAATTGCACCCCAGGGTTCGGTAGGAGTTCCGGGAATGTTGGTCCGGATCTTTTGAGGATTCGTTAGGATATTTGAGGGTTCTTGGGAAGGGATTCTGGATATCTGGAAATTGAGCTGATGCTCAAAAAGTTTCCGGGATTTTTGAGGGGGTTTTGGTTCATAAAGACTTTAGAAATAAGATAAAAACCTAAAGGTTTTCCATAGTGCTAGCGATCAATTGTTAGGTGGAACAAAATATGGCGAGAGAGAGAGAGAGAGAGAGAGACGGCTGACACAGCCGCCCTTCCCATCGGTGCATATGATGAGACTGATGGATCGGTGTCTACGGGCAGCCGGCTGACATCGTCTTCATTTTTCGAACCGGAAAAACGGGCCGGCCGAGGAACGGCTGGTGAAACCGGAGAACGGGGCAGGGGAGCGTGAAAACCGGTTGATGTTCGTTACTTCCGCGAGCAAGAGGTAATGGATGATATGATGGATTATGGGGGAGGTGCATCGGGAACGAAATATGAGGGAAATTTTGTGAAACTGAAGGAGGAAATGGATCTGGGAAAGCAGATATAACCAGTTTGGCCGGGAGTAAGCTACATTAATGGCCAAAAATTCAAATTTGAAAATACGAGTATGATGATAATGCATTAAGGTTAGGTCAGATACCGAGAGACCAGAGTTTTGGCCGAACTCCGGCCATCGATAGCTGCACCAGAGTAGGGGACGAGGCGGGTCGCGGGGCTGTGGAAGGAAAGGACGGAAGTAAACAGATTACGCCATCACACCGCGCGGCCCGCACACGCCGACCGGGGTTCCGTTCCGCTTCTAGCAACGTGGAGGAACTCCGGAAGGCAAGCGATGTGAGCAGAATATTGCAGAAAACTACACGCGTTTTAAAATCGAGTCAAAACCATTAAAAGACATAGAAAAATCTATTAATGATGTGTTTAACAATTTCACGCTCTCTAAAAACAAATAAAAAGGTAGAGGAATCAAGAGTACTTTTCCAATACCTTTAAGCTGGTACCCCGGGCCCCGAACTGTACAAACGGATCAATAGGCCGAGGATATTAGAGACGGGTTGACTTGGCCTGTCGCGCAGGACAGTGGATCAGTGAAAGTTTATGACAGGACGGAGGGAGGAAGGGGTTGGGCACTACGCACCCGCTCGGATAAACGGATCAAAGGATTCAAAGGGAACACGTATACGGATTGATAACACTAATCGTCTGATAGGATCCGGGATTTCGGAGGGTGCATTTGGGGTTTTAAGGGATTATGAAGGCAGAGCTCTTAAAAATAGAAGCTCGAGAACTTGGCAAATACGTTTATGACGTAAAGACGAAAATATTAAAGGGGTGGATAAGACAAACTATAAAAATGAATTCATCCTATGATTATTAGTAAGGGTTTTAGACAAAGCAAAAAATGCGACTTTGCAAGAAAAAAAACCGTTAGCAACCTGATACCGTACCTACGATACAGTAACCCGAGCCATGTATATTTAAAGTAACATAAAACGTTGTGCTTAGACGCGAAGCCAAGAGGGGTGTGTGAAAGGGCACTCAAGAGATGGTACAGACCGGTTTGCGGTCTGTTTGAGGGATGATGGCACAACGGCGGGGTGGAAGGGCACCTACAACCAACGGTTCTAACACCCAGCCCCCAAAACCCGCCGCCCAAAACCATCCAAACAGATACCCGAGACTTTTGTCTTGCTCAACACGTTTGTAAGGGTTTTTGAAAACTATCTTTACCTGCACAAAGAAATTACGAATCCCAGCAAATGGTGACTCAAAAATGAGGGACTCTCCATGTGGAAAACTGACGATTAAGGGGGATGAATCAGAGCAGAAGCCAGTTAATGTGGGTGATGGTATGACTCAGGGATTACCAAAAACCTTAGATTAGAGTGTGCGCAGCTTTCAACAAGATTTGACGAGCCTAAATGGGGGCATCTTTGCGATCTTTGGCTATGGGCTGGCTAGGGAGACATGTCCCCAGGCTATTCCCATAAATTAGCGGTCGAGATGTTGGAGGGGATAGGGTAAAACAGGGAAGGAATTGATGCAGAGTAATAGATTGAAGGTATAGTTATTAGACCAGTTTTTATTAAGATTAAGATCTGTCAGTAAAAATCAAAAAACTTTAAACCAAAGGTAACGTTTCCTTAAAAACAGAACGTGCTACCGAATACCTCCCTACCCCTCCCACACCTACGCCACGCAACCATCCCTTACACGGGCTAGTTGAGGCATTTGTGGGAGATGAAGCATTGAGGGGAATGTGAGGGGGGAAGTGGTAGTAGGGGGGCTGGGAGGAGAACGGGTGCCTAATGGGACCGGGAACAATAAAGGATTGATGGAGGCAAGGGGGGAGAAGGGTTGCTGAACATTGCTAAAGATATTCTGAAAACGTAGGGTTGCATCTAGCTAAATTCCATACAAATACAAGATTAACGGTAAGCTTTGGCCGACCCGACAAAAATTATGTAAATTCCGTACTGATCTATTAGCAGGGGGGAAACCAAATTTTTCATAGTAATCCTGTACGATCCTATAACAAAATAGAAACTTGTTGTTAGAATTCTAGACAGTTTTAGAGATAACCAACTTATAAAAATTTTGCTTTTTTCACTGGAAAAGTACGAAAAATGTCCCAAACCGTCGAATTTTTCGAATTTTCAAAATTACTTTAAATATTTTTTGGAGCTCTCTAGCAATAAAAAACCACTAAAATTACTATGAGAATACACGACACAGAGTCAACAGGTGAAATATAGGCGGAAAAACAAAAATTAATTTTCCTCACGCTTAAAGCCCCCCCCCCCGTTAACATTTCAGTACCGATTTTTAACATAACTCTTTTATCACACTATTTTGAGTTGAAAATGAAATGCTTGATGGATTTTTCATGCTTTTTCGAGGAAGTTGCAAAAATATCGAATCTGGTGGATTCGTGCCAAATCTGCTTTATCATACCAGCAAAACAAGAACCCTCAAATTGCTCCGACTTCCTAAAAAAACTGGCGAGTATCTCCATTTTTGGAACTGCTGCCCGACCGTAAATAACTGGCAGCCATCACGAGTTAACCCCGGGCAGACGATGGGATTTGGGTGTCAAACCAATCTCATCCCTCGGCTCTCTCTCCCTTTTTTTGGAGCGGTTGATGGATGTGGATCCACGAAAAAATGTGTCTCTCCACGCTTGAAAAAATTGATACGGCTTTTTAGAGGGGAGGCCAGGGCATGGGGCCCAAGAAAAAGTACTAGAATAAAATGGGCTGGGGGTAAGGGGGGCTGGGATGCAAATTGGGGGTGGTTACCGGAAATGGCTGGGGGAGGGGTTGGGGGCTTTTGGTGCATAGGAAAACAAGAAGAATAAATCTTAGCGGTAGTACATAGAATAAAAGTGTAATCATTTTATAACCTTTATAATTATCTGGTTCTTGTGCATTAGCGGGGGGGGGACAGTTTATCCAGGGAAAGCAATTTTTGCTTTTGTATCCAATTTTTCTAAATAAAAACAAAGGTCGGGTTTTTAACTGTTTATTACACATCGTAAACGTAAGATACGGTGCAGGAATATATATTTCTAAACCCTAAAAAGAAACTTTAAAAAACAAGATTCCTACACCTAGACCAGGGTAAATCCGGAGGGTCCAGGGACGTTTTGGCGGCCACTTGAGCACTCGAGTGGGGATAAACGAGATTTATTGGCCCAATCGGAACGGAACGAAACGGACGGACGGAAAGGGAAGGAAAGGAAGGGATGGGGCCCAATCGCTTTCTGGCCCTTTTAGCCCACCCATCGAACAAGTGCCCCTCTTCCCTCTCTTCACCCCATCGGAATTAGGAACGGAACGGAACGGCTGTCTGGGGCGGGGGGAAGGGGTGGCGTGGCTTGAAATTGCTTGAAATTGGTTGGAGTTCAATATTGAAAAATTGACCGGAAAGCCTAGCATACCTTGGAAAAGGCAGCTGTTTTCCTATGCAAATGAGTTTTCTTAGGTAAGTGACTATTTTCGGGGTCCGTATTTTGATTAAAGGAACCATGAAGGCTAAAATCCGTTATAAATCTATTTTCCAGGAATCTACTAAATTATTGGAGTCTAAATTTAACATAACAGGATTGAAATGTAGTAGCCAGTCAGTAGTAGTCAGTTGTTGAGCCGGAAAAGCGTTTCGTCCCGTTCCCGGCCGTTTTTTTTCGACGTTGGGGGCCATTAGTGAGTGGAAAGGGGCAGTAGGTCATCGCCCCGGGGGTGCCGTTCTTCTTTTGCCGGTTATTCTCCCCGGGGGAAATGGGCGTTTTTGCCGGATGGTCCCGTAGCGAATCGAGACCTTTTGCTGGCGGCGTCTATTAATGTTTTAGTGGCTATAGAATTGGAGTGGGGCATCGGCTTAGCGTTAAGATTAGTATCCATAATTCCTTACGCGTGGGAATATTCATGTATCGTGTCGAAAACCATTTTTTTCGAAAATCACTTTATGAAAGTGACGTGAATTTTTAATAACATGTCTTTTAGTAATTTTTTGAAGGCCTAATTTAAAAAATATTTTTTCTTTTTTCCGGAAAATTAACATACCTACCAATCGAGGTAGAAAACAGTAATGCAAATTTTTCGAAATTTGAATTTCGTAAACCTGGTTTCTTGTGAAAATCTGATTCCCAAAAAAATCGGTTTTTGGAAACAAGGCTTCAGAAAATGAATAGTTTATCTCTAAAAGATTCGAATTTTTCACATGGGTTTTTGTGCTAATTACAATTTTTTGAATTTTGCCTTGCATGTCTGACTTTCCCCAATTTCATGGCCCACCCAAGCTGCTAAATACCCCTATCCCAAACATCACCCCTGCAAAACCCTACTCCTACCGTGATCAGTAATCTATTACCAACCCTAAATTTCCCTGCAAACCTCACAATTTTTGTATGGCATAAATACCCCCAAGGGCATCTCTGCCTGCCGCCAAAACAAACACAACGCATAGCACCTAATTCTGCTCATTGCTCACCCCTTCCTGCTTAGGCACAAAAAGATAAGGGAAAGAAGGAGATACCCAACAGTCGGTCTTCTGGTCCCTCACTCCCTCACTGGCTACTCGAGAATACAAACCACAGAACTTTTGCCGGTGGTCTGATAAAGAGGGGCGGATGGCAGGTGGGACGGCTGCAGACATTCCGTTTAAAAAGGGCTGCTATGTTTACTAATTGGCGCTCTCTGGCGCGCCCCAGGGCATTTGATACCACATATTTTAACTGTTGTTAGAATTAATGGAAAGCGTTTTTTATATTAAATTATTGTGAGCTTAAATAAGGAATTTATCGTACGTTTTTGACCATCTATCAAATAGCGCTAACAAAATATCACAAAAGAATAAGTTTTTATTTTTTATCTTTACTTCAAATTTACAATTTATATTCAATTTATACTTATTCTATTTTTATTTATAATTAGTTTTTAGATTAAATTATCATAATAAAATCGATTACATTACAGAAACGCTACAACAAAATGCCACGATTTTTGGTATTATTACTGGCTATAATTTCCACACTTTCCGCAGAGCTCCTATTTGCACAAGTGGTAAGTAAAAAATTATTGCAAAAATACTGTATCCAAGTGGTTTCGCCATGGTGCCAGAGCCCCGACAATCTACATGCGATTCCCCTCCGAGCCTGATGATTACGGCTCAATGTTTCCGTATGAGAAAGGGGAGCTAACAAATGCAAGTGAAAATAAAAATATTTACAGAACAAAATAGTAGGATATACCGTATATTGCTTAGTTACTGTGTTTAGGACGGGAAAATGATGGAATACCACCTGGGGAAAAAGCTGCGGCAGGAATTTGCCGGATTTGCGCCTGAAAGCTATTTGCCGCATGAGGTAAGTAGGGTTACGGTATTTCTTAAAAAATATATTTTAGAACATGGTATATTTCGATGAAGACAATCGAACTTCAGATAGTGCTGCTTTAGTGATGGCTGGTGAGAAAAGCATTTATAAGAATGCTTATTAAAGCTATACCTTAAGGCTTCTACCCTCCTACCGACAAACAAATCTGGAATCCCGAATTAATTTGGAATCCGGTAGCACTACATCAAGCTGATATCCTAGTCAAAGTAAAACAAAAAAAATATTTAAAATCAATAACTCCAGCCCGGAATGGGTCTCGCGAATAGTTGTCCAAAAATCGGAGCCGTGGCAAAGGAACGTCCGGAATTTTGGAACCTACTAAACTACGACCAACCACTCCGGATAATGCTCCAAAAAGCCAGCGGGGTGAATATATATACGCCAAAGACGATGAGCGACGTCATGGACGAGTACCGTACTCGGGTGGGGCTTATAAATTTTCGAAAACCTAATTCTAGGCCCGTCTACAAGACCCCCGATTGCCAGTCGAACCATGGGTGGATGATGCCATGGTGGCTCGAATTAAAAGCGTCCAGGAAAACATGACCCTCGCCTTTTTTGCATTCCCGGAAGTCAGCCAATCTATTGGAGGTGCCTTAGAAACCTTAAGATAATGTAAATTGATACAGTATGGCATACAACACGTATACTATCGGAAATTGATTTTCATCTAAATCAAGCTGAAGGCAAGAAGAGAAAGCTGATCTTCTTTTCTGGGGTAGTGAAAAGAAAACTATATTTTAATCTAATCGTTTTGGCACGATACCAACATCATGATACTTGGAGATATCCTCCAAGTCCCGGAAATGCGCTTTTTCTGCGATTACGGCGCTAGCTTTATTGTGGAGCTGCATAAGATTGGAAAAGACTTGGTGCTAAAGGTAAGCTAAGGATATAAGCCAGTCAAAAACTTAAAAATACTTTAGTTCTTTTTCTCTGACTCCTACGGTGTTCCTCGATGGGAAGTAACGGTTCCAAAATGTGGGAAAACGTGCTTGTTGTCGAATTTCCGGGCCGTTTTTGGGAAGGAAACGTAAGGAAATTCACTCAAAGACACGATACGCTTTTAATTTAGTGTTAATGACGTTCAATTTTGGTCTCAATGCAAAGAAATACCAGGCGAAGAATCGGGAAGTGTGGCTTTGATATGTAAGTGACTAAAATAGGGTTAATTTTACGTTATTTTAGTTGCATTGATTGCGGTGATTATTGCCCTACTTCTGACGAACGTCTTCTCATGCATGAAAATGAATCGAATCCAAAGCCGCCGGAATACTCTGGACAATGAAAGGAGCCCACTACTTCTGTGATTTGAGCTTTGTTTTAGGGATGGTGCTTTTAAAACGGGTCTTAAATAAATAAATACATATTATAAGAACATTTTTTTCAAGAGGCGGTCAAGGGAACCTGAAGGCGGGGGCGGCGGGACTTAAAAACATTTAAATAAATAAATAATTAACGAGTATAAGAATATTTCTATCGAGCAGGTGGTGTGGACAAGCTGACGGTTAAAGACAAATTGGCGGTGGGACGAGCGGGAAACTGAGATTCCGTTGATATGCAAATTACAGCACAGCCGAACCCCCGGGTGGGATTGGAGACGAAAGGATGAAATGAGAGGCGACGAGCTAGATGGGGGGAGGCTGTGTAAAGATGTGTTTCGTCTGTCAGTTGATGGGAAAGTGAAATGGAATCGGAACAGGGAGGGGGAATATACAACAATATGATATCATAGGAAAATGGATAAGGAAAAATGAAATCTAAAGGACTTACTTTGGGAGGTGCAAAGTCGAAAATTTGGCGGCTTCGCGTCTTGCCATGAATTGCCGCTGAGGGGATCGTTCGTACTGTATCGGAGGCCTGGATCAGCACGACGTGATTGCTGTCCGAAGGCATCCTGGAAATTTTAGTATAGGATTAGAGAGAGTGAGAGAGATACATAGAGCGAAAGAGAGAAATATAGAGCGAGAGATAGCAAGAAAACCACCAGCAAGACACAGTGAGAGAGAGAGTGAGCGAGAGAGAGAGAGCGATAGAGAACGAGAGAGTTATAGAGAGCTAGAGTGATAGATAGCTAGAGTGGTAGATAGCTACCGAGTTAGAGAGCGAGAGAAAGAAAGATAGAGAGTAAGAGAAAGAAATCCAGAGGGAGAAAATTCCATAAAGCAAGAGGGAGAGAGCGAGCAAGAAAGAGCGAGATATACGAAGCGCTGCGCACGCGAAATCTGTTTTTACATATGTTTTAAAGGGTTCGTGAAGCCAAAAAGTCGATTTCGCTGGTTTCGTAAAAGATAATCGCGCTATACCGACACCGAGAAAAATCCAGAAAAAAGAATAAAAAAAGCCATTCCTAAATCCAACATGAATAAAGATAAACCAAAAATCAAAACCCAAAGCCCATGCCCACATGCACAAGCAGTCAGGCCGTTGCCCCATTGAAAGAATATTGCATGACCCCGTCCCGGGTCCTTCTTTTCCCCCACAACCCCCTGGATAGGTTAGCTTTTCCGTCAACAAATGCACCCACAGAAAGCAATATTGAAATGGAGACCGAGCATCTGGGAGAAGGTATAGTTACGGAATGCTGGTCCGTCCAAAAAAAATCGAAGAATGGGTAGCTGGGAGCGATTTTGCGATCCTTAGTGTTCTTGTGGCTGCGTCAACAAAGTCGTAAGCCGAAAATTGGAGGGGTGGGCTTGACCTGGTGAGAGAATAAGAAAAGAAAAGATTAAAGGTACAGGAAAGTTTAGGTATGGATGGCTCTAGTGCTAACTTGGAAGAGATTTTCACATAAACCAGGGTTGAAAAGCCGCTACGCGGCTTTTCACCCCTGGCCTTTGCGCGGGGATCTTTAAAAGTTGGGCTTTGCATAATTAGGATCAGAGCTGGAGCGAACCCTAAAAATAGCAAAAGCAACCGGCCGCGAGCGCGACAAAAAAGTCAAAATGAGGCTCCTAGCGCCTCGTATGCAAATTAGTCTATTTCCATATGTTTTTAAAACGTTAAAATAAGGTATAAAACGAAATTTTAATAAAAATCTGATAAGCGTGCAGTAATCTACGCCCTCGACTACCCCTCACTACCTTATTTCTGGACCAAAAAATTCTTTCCCCTTTGAGTTATGGCTGGAACCCGGGTTTTTATGCAAAGTGTCTACACACACACAGACACTATTTTTTTATATATAGTAGGATCAATTTTTATATCGAAGTTACGGCAGATACATGAATTATTTTTATATACATTATGGAATTGCATATTAAAGTATACATAAAATGTCTAGTTTGGATATAAACCACGCAATCCATATTCCAGCAGCCTCTCGTTAACATATTGACCCACACCCAACAACGCAGAGTGCAGGAAAAGAGACGCGGAAAAAAATTCAAAGCCTTATCACATAGGAACGGTGCGGAAGGGGAGAAAGAAGAACAGATGCTTGACTTGGTGGGGGTGTAAGGAGGAATAGAGGGTAGCTCGATGGTGCTTCTTGTTAGAAGGCGTAGAATTTCGGTGCTTCCACCCAATTGGCCGTGGGGTCTGGAAACCCGATCCGGGGCTTTGGGCCGCCTGGGTCTCTGGGTCTCAGGGCTAGTTAGGGTGGAAAAAGTGTTGGTGAGTAGTTTTCTATCGTACTATGTTAAAGTAGAGCTCGAATTTTTGATACTTTTAAAATTTCAAATACCACTATATTTCGATTCCAAAAACCGGAAGCAGACCCCCACCCCAAAACTGAATATAGCGAGTCGACTATCGAAAAGTGGCGCATATTTTGACGAGAGAGGGGCGATGGTGTGAAAGCATAGGTGATGCTCCGTCGATGGTCAATACTCGGGAGGGGGTGATGCCCCGGTGTGTCCCGGGCTGAATCATCGCCCCTTTTCTCGGCCCCTCTTCCAACACCACACACCCCGTGATACGCAAAATAGAACGGACAAAAGGAGGCTGGGGTGGCCGACAACTAGCTGCTATAGTTTTAGCATTTTTCTGGATGAATGGTGGCGTTTTTGGAGCGGTTTAAAGGGACAGAATGGTAGGGTCGGTTGAATGCGTCCTGTGTCTGCCTGTCTAATGTCTATCAGTTTGTCCGTCTCTCTGCCTGTCCTCTCCTAGTCGCTTTCTCTGTCGCTCTTTCACTCTCTCTCACTCTATCACTCACTCTCTCTCGCTCTCTCTCTCTCTCTCTCTCTCTCTCTCTCTCTCTCTTGCTTTTCTCGCTCTCCCCTCTCTCTCTCTATATCTCGCTCGCTCTCTGTCTCTCTCGCTTTCTCTCAACTTATCTTACTGTACGTGTCGCTTTTACTTCTACCTTTCTAAAAAAGACACCCATACAAAAAACCTTTAAAGGGATTAACAAGGCTAGATAAGCTCTCAATACACGAAGACAACCGTACAGGACCGGAAATGGAAACGATCCCAAAATCCCGAAACACCCCATATTTTGCAAACGAAAAATTGCGCGAAATGGAAAGTGAGCCAACATATCGGGTGGGTGCACGAGAAAGCGAGGAACACATTCTAGAAAAAGAGGGACACCTACAAGCACCCCCTCCAGCCATCCTCCGCCCATTCTCCCCACGGCGGCACGAAAATACTTGTGTAGTGCCGCCCCGGTTCCGGGATGGTACCATTTTTGTGTTTGCTAGAGGAGAATGGTTAAATCTATTGTAAATATGGCAAAGAAAATTGAAGGATAGCCATAGGTCCTGGCACCCTCCCTTTAAAAAGCGCGTGCAGAAATTACTACGTAGGCGCCTATTTACGCGGAAAGGGGGGTACATTCAACGCAGATACCGCAACGCACCTGCTGACGTCCGGTCCGTGCCTTCCTGGTGCCTTTAAAACTGCAATAGAGCGTTTTTCTAGCAGTTTTGAGCTCAAAATAGAGGGCCTTAGGGGGGATCATGATCATCGAGGGATTCTGAAAGTTCGGAATTTTTAAAAATTCAAGCTTATGAAAATTCGAGGTTATGAAATTTCGAGATTCTAATGCCGATATTTGCGACAGGAGCTGAATTTTACCTTTTACTGCATTAAAAAAATACAGAATTTATAAAAAATCGTAAAAATAGGCCAAACGCCACCCCAACCGGGTCTAACCGTTTAAACCACGACCCATTGAACGACCGGAACGCCCTGTATTGTTGCTTAGAAATGGGCCACTTCAAAGGACCCACACTTCCCGTTTTTCTCCCACCTCTCATCCCGCACTCCTTCCACCCCAGTACAAACAACGGACGCCCCGGGTGCACAGTTCAACGCCCTCCATTTGTTTGCCGTGTTTTACATCTGTAACTACTTAAAAATAACCCAAATAACTTTATTAACGAGTAACGGAAATTACAACAGGTTAAACCGCAGATAACCCCCCAGCCTGCTTACTGTATCTCGGCTAACCATGACCTACAGGGTTGTAAAGTATACCAAAATACTCGCCAGAGCAAGACGAACTTTTTAGTACACTTTACACACCTGTAGACGAACGGCGAACCGAGGCACAAAAGTTGGGGCCGGCCGGGGAGGGAGGGATACTGCAGTTATACCTTAAAACAAAACACGGAATCCAGTGTATGGCTAGGCTCCTAAAGAACAAAACAAATTTTGACAAAAACAACACTTTTTAAAAAACATGGAAGTGGTAGCTACCCAACAAAATCATCGTAAAATGAGTTCCAAGGTATATTCAATATTAAGTTCAGCGTTTTTTGTGTGGAAATCGGCATCGGAGGCTTATGCACAGTTTGTACAATGGATAGGAAAGAGCGGAATATCGGTAAATCATACGAAATTTCGATTATTTCGGGACCTCCTGAAGGACGTGGGTTATATGGCCGCTCTCACCAGCCAGGCAACGTAGACATACTTTCGGGCGTGGGGGGAGACGTACACGTTTTTCTGAAATATAGTAAGATTTTTATAGTGATGGTTATGCTGTTTTTACTATATAAATTATATAATAATAATATATAATGCAATTACCAGAAAAAACATACCCAATGGTACATATTCGTTTTCATCATTTGACGAAACGCTGTAAAACCCAGAAGCTTGACCCTAAAAGACAGCAGAGGATTAAAGTGATACCTTAAAAGTACCTACCTCAAAAGTAGCGCTCGGCTCCATTTGGCGCTTGCGCGCTAGCTGCCAATCACAGACCATCTCCTGCATGGCTTGGGGCTGAAATGGTGAGTTGCTTGTGTGTTGGTGGAGGGTTACACATATCTTATCAATCAAAAAAGGCGTTGCATAAGGAAGAACGGAAGGATTGGGGTTTCTAGGCAGGCATAAGAAAGATGAGTCTTTATCGGAGCATGAGGGTGAAGGTAGAGCAATTCAAAAGCTTCGAAATACAGCAAAACGTTCAGAAAAGCTACGTATCACGTCGACTTTCTAAAAAAAACACGAAATATTTTGTGATGTAAAACTAATAAATATTTAACTTTGTCATTCAGCCATAATTAAATTAAACTTGTTAGACGATAAAATGTCTGCAAATCTATCAAGAACCCATGAATGACATCAGAATCCTGAAGCTAAAAAACAGAGAAGCTCAAAATGCTGGGCGCCATAAATCCTAAATTTCGAAAAGAACCTAGAACATAAATGCCTAAAATTAACCATTTAAATGAAAGCAAAATTGTTAAGCACCTAAATCTAACCCGCGATCAACAAATGATTCCAGAACGATCCGGAAGCCGCTAAAGAAATCCCAAAAACCACTCAACCACACCTCGTGCCAATTCTGAACCCATCCGAGATGTCAACCAAGATAACTAACATTTTTGATATCGAGACAATGGGAGGGCAGAATTTAGCGAACAAAGAAGCTCGTGTGCGAACCGGGTCGCTTGTTCAAATACACCCTTCAAAAATGGGCCCTTATCACCCGGCATACACGCGCCCTCATCAGACGTTTCGAAAAACTGCTGAAAATAATTCGCGACCCGGGGGAGAGGATAGCAACAAAGCAGAAAATAACAAAAAAAATCACGCCCTAAACAGAAACTTTTTTGGAACACATTTTTTTGGAAACCGCCTATAGCCGAAAGGTCGATATTTGGGGGGTTGAACCCCTCGGGGGGAAGGGATCCACTGCACAAATACGACTGGCCGACAAACGGGGAGAGGAGAGAGAGAAAGAGAGACAGAGAGACAAACGAAGAAGAACAGAGACCGAGCGCCCAAAAGAAGCCTTGTAACTCTGTTCCTGCTACTTTCACCAGTACCAATCCCGATTTATTAACAGCACCAACGTGAAAATATAGCACAACCAACAACACGTATTCTTTGGATTTCATATGACCATAGAGGATACCATGAGCGTGTCTATCACAATTAAAATACCGAACACATTAAACCCGGAAAATTACAGCTCGGAATGGCGCACTTTACTTTCAATGAATGTTTCTAGCTTTTTCAACTTTCGCGCCATCCGCTCGTGCTTGGCTTCCAGCTCACCGTGCTCCAGATTCTGAAGACGTTGCAGGTTTGAGTATTTCTCTTTTCGGGACTCACCTGGATAGTGGCTTTTCCAGACTCTTCAGCCATCGTACGAACCGATTCAAGCTCTTCCTGAAACGTCAGATGTAGATATATCGATATAAAATATAAAATAATGTACAAGCGTTTAGGCCCGGTTCTCACCTTATGGAACTTCAACTTCTTCATCTGTTGCTCAAAATGCGAAAGTTCCTGCTGCAGAATCTCGAGATCGTGCGCCGTCAAATTCGCATTCCCTTGTGCCTAAACCGCGTGTTTTCGGTATTGAATTTTGCAACTTACAGTTGACCACAGCTTTTGAACCTTCGGATCTACAAACGGCGAGTATTTCTCCATTGTAACCTTCTGGTGCACATCATCTAGATGCTCGTTCATACGACGATGGGCATCCTTCAAACGGCGGTTCTAACAAGCCAATTTTTTGGCTCATGAGACTTTACTTACTTTTGCGATCAAAGCATCATCATCGTCGAAATGAATTGAATTTTCGACAGGAATCTGAAAGCTAGATACCTAACTACTAGTTTGACCGTACCTTATTGAAATCCTCAAGAGCGTCGTGATATTCGGCAATTTTTCGCTCAGCCTCCTTCAAGTCAGCATGAAGTACTAAAATTTGAGCCCTGGCTGTTCGTTTATGCTTATAAAATTGCTGTAAAATCTGGCCACCTACCAAGTAATTCTTCACTGCCAAACTTTCCCGTCAACGCTGCATCCCATAGCCGCTGAAGTTTTGGGTCCGTGAACTTTTCAGAAGCCAGCACCGAATTGGCGTCCGTCATCTGCATCTCATTCCGCAGCTTACGTTTCTAAACCCCATCTCTTAATAAAATAAAGCAACATTGCGTAAAACTACTGTTAAGCCGCCATCCCTAAAGCACGGCAAACAAAAGTGACGAAACACTGACAGGAAACGATATTGAATTTAACCTTTTGTTCGCGTTGCAATGACAACAGAAATTTTGGGTCGTGTGCCCTGAAACAATAAATAATACCATTTTGAACGCATCCAACACAGACGCTAAATCGTACTTCTCTAGCATCGTGCGCAGCTTCTCGTCGATTTTTGCATGGTCTATAGAGGCATGATTTGCCGTAGGTGCTTTACCCACCTTTGCGAACATCTTCTCCGCCGCCCTCCTTCGCTTTTGTGTCCATATAAATTTTATCGAAACTTTGGAGCTCATCCTGAAGAAGCTTTTGTAGATCGAGGTTATTTGAAGGCAAACCTCTAACTTGCGCAATCGCTTTTTATCGTCAATTTTTTGAAGGGCCTTTTCGTAGATGTAGGCCATTTTCTCGGCTCGATATTTTGCAGGGGAAGCTGTCTGGGCACCCGGCACAATTGAAAACAGAAAGAAAGGGACGAGAAGAGCTGAGAGTTTTATTCGTTTCATCTTCCTGGAAAATTTGCTCGTTTGGGAGTGCCAAGGCTCATTAAGGTCGATAAATGTATATAAATGGTAAAAACCCTTACAACGAGAGGGAAACTACAAACATATTAAAATTTTAGCTATGATTTTTTTACCAATAAGCTGGATTCAACAGCACTTTGCTTGTGAAGTTCAATCTTGGGCGTGGGCGGGTCCCGCAGCGAAGGGCTTGTTTCTGTGCGAGCCGGGGAGATATGGTGGCTTTTTGGGAGAGCAGCGACGGCGCTGCGCTGAAAGAGGGAAAAGGCTAATTTTTCTCAAAGAGCCGGCTGTCAGGAAAAAGAAACAGCCGGCACATATCTGACTATCACAGCTGTCCACCTTGCTGTTCGAAAAACCGGGCATGTGCACCGAAACATTCCTGACAGTCGCCCACTATTGAACTGCCCAATATTTCGTTTGGAAACTAGTCTCTAGAAATTAATTCTCTTCGATACTCCAGCGCTGCGTACGTTTACCGATTATCGCTTTCATCTTTTTCAAAGTCGTTCACTTTCCCACTTACTTTTTCTTTTTAGGATGTCTTTCATTTGGAAACGCATCCAGCGTTCGAACAAGACGGGCACGAAGTTCACGTTCAGGGTCAATCTCCAGGTGCGACTTTTCACTATTTGACTATTTTTTTTGCTTTAGGAGCTGATCGTTGTCGGCACCCAGGACTGGCATCCCGAGTTCTTGTCGATTTCATTGATGCACAGGTTCAGAAATACTTTTTGGAATTCTACGACTTTTTAGGCGTCGAATCGTCGTCTCTAAGCAACGTCAATGGGAGCCTTCTTATTCCAAGGATGAGCAATGCGTTCTCGTGTGGCCGGATCAAGCACCGGTTTGATAGCAATTTGTTTCTACAGCCCTTTTAGGAAATTCTGGAGTTCACTGCTACACTTTACAAACGCCCCAACGACCAGCACTGGGACAACAAGGTATCAAATTCGTTGTCGGGCGCAGTTACCATCTTTCAGAATTGGACTATTGCTCTTGACGCGATTGACAAGAAAGGGAAACGCAAGTGCTTGGGAGCTGACACTCTGAACATTAACTTGTTCGCCTATCCATCGTACTGTCGTCAGGGGCATATGAGGGTATGACTTTCTTCATAATCCAATCGTTTCATTTTAGCTGAAATTTCGGCCCCTTGTGCCTCAACTGCAATGCGCCACGCTTATGTTGGTCATCTCGAGCCAAAAGGTTGAAGAAGGGTACGGCGTGCTGGTTTTTTTTTCCATTAGTTTTTGTTTAGCCAAGAGGCGTCTTCTGGTGCTTCCGCTGCTGTTGAGCCGAAAGTTCCTGCTGCCGGCGAGGGAGAGGATCTGAAGGCTGAAATCGTGACTGCTACGGTGGTTACCGAATCGGTCGATGGGCATGGTGGCGAAAAGGACACTGGCCATGTTTCAATGGAACGTAACTGTCAGTTTAAGCTATCTTTTTGAGGTTCCTTTATAGTGTCGTCGTCAACCACCGACTCTCGTCCGACGTGGCGCGCGCCTGCTCAGTCAACTCCTGTTGACGCCATCGATCCACACGCCGTTTCAACTGAAATGTTCTTCAAAGTGAGGATGATCAATTTTCTGTACTTTGTTTTAGGTGGATGGTGGCTGCCGCCCCGTTCACGTGCCTTCGCCGGTGAAGGCTACAAACCAGCCTTCGGCTCGCCAGTCTTTCGAGCGCAGCTCTACCAGGTTAGTACTTTCCCTCATTCCTCTAAATAGCTTTCAGGGCCTCTTCTCGCGCTCCTTCGCTTCCTCCACCGGCGAAGGAGGGTTTGGAAACGGTTCTTCAATGGGCGCAGAGAATTACCAGGCACTATCCCGGCGTCAATCTGAGTGATTTCACGTGAGCTTTTCATGTCCTCTCAACTCTTTTTCAGGAAGTCTTGGCGTTCCGGCCAGGCTCTATGCGCTATCATCCATGCCCATCGCTCCGACCTCTTGCCCTATGAAGAACTGTCTTTCAACGACACATTGCTCAATTACAAAGAGAATATCCAACATGTAAAGATTTGTGTCATCATTTCATTGCCTGTGTATTTCTAGGCACTGGTGGCGGCTAATGTCCTTGGCGTTAGCGACATTCCGGATGAGAGTTATTTCCTGACGCCTGATAGTGTCACAATCCGTCACTTCGTCGAAAAGCTTCGGTAATTGGATTTACTGACTTGCAAATTTCGTTTAGGCACATCTTTGAAGGGGGGTCGGATGAGCCTCAGCCTGCTGCTGGCTCGGACTACCGTCTGTCTCAGATGTTCCCGATTTCTGACTCTGAAAAGAAGGTTGATTTCAAGATTTTTTTTGTATTCCCTCTTAGGTATTGGACGAACTGAAGTTGATGCAAGAAATTATCATGCGAAAGGACAGTTTTCCGGACATGGACCAGAAGACCTATTTTTCCGACTACCCGAGCACGTCTAATGGTATATTCTATCCACCTTACGGCTACAACGTGAATTATAGCCAATGATGCGTACAACCACACCGGGGGTCTGCAAAAGTAAGTGTTGACTTTTTGAATACAATTTTTTTAGTGGGCACCATGGTGAATCCGGCTCTTCTCTGGCCTCGTCATCTGTCAGGGTGCGTGTTTTTGAATTTTTCCAGGACATTTTCATCTTAGGCACGTGCTGCCAGTCCGTCGCGTAAGGAAGAGTTGCGCATGAAGGCTCGTCAGATGCTGAACAATCCCTCGTCCGCTCTCGGCACGCATCCGGTATTATTCTACTATTAAACTTACTTTTCTCTCATTTAGCGTGATGCCAATCCCGAACTGCACGAGCGCGCCAAAGCCATCATCAGCAACGCCATTCAGTCGACTGGCAATCTGATGGTCCGTAAGAACGGTAAGATAGTTATTTCTGTATTTTAAACCTATTGTCGCTCTTTCTCGTTGTTTCGAGGTCTTACACGTCTTTCTTGTCGTTGCATCTAGCAAACCTGCTGCATTCGAAATTCTGTAAATGCGATCTTAACGCGATTTGTTGTTGTGGTGTTTTTCAGAAGTTTGTATAGGTGCCTTGCGCCATGGGTCGTCTTCTCGTTCGCTCACTTCGGAAGGCTCCAGCGCGGATCTGCGTGTTGTCGGTGTGTAGTGGTCTTGATTTTTTTGCAATGTTTCTGTAGGCACCGTACCGATGGGTCTCACCTTTCGCTCGTTCCGTCAGCAGGATCCGTCCCCAGTTTTGCATCGCAAGGATTGTATGTTGTTTGAGCCCTATTGTTTGTTGCATTGGATGCGTTGTATAGTTTTTCTTAAACTGAGAATCTAAATCTTTCTTTTCAGATGGCAGCCCACATGTCTCCGCCATGTCGTTGTCCAGCGCCCAGGCGATGGTCATTAGCACGGTATATTTTTCCTTATTTATGGTACTGCTTGCTTCCCGTTGTATATCATAAAAGCCTTATCTTTTGGAATTTGAAGCCTGAGTTTTGCTTTGTGTCCCTTTTGTGCCTGTTGTTGTATTGTTGGATTGTAGTCTAATAGCGCCGTTCCCGGAGCTACGCCTGATACAGCGTCTACCTTTTCTCGTGTACGTCGGTTCGGAAGTCTACGCGGCGCTGAGTTACGTGAAACTATTGCCCAACTAGCACGATATTACGCGGTGAGGCGCATTTGCATGCGTCTATCTCATCCGCACGCCTTCTATCTCTGCCCGTTATGTCTAGTTAGCCCTGCATGCTTTCCTAGATTTCTTCCTAAAATCGCGGGACAATGGGAAGCCTCTATCCTCGTAATTATTGCTTTTAGTCCGATTTGGGCGAATCGTCTCCTCCGCTGCAAAATTCGGCGGAGATGTCTACTCCGACACGCGCCAAGCTGAAGTCGAAGTGGGAGCTTGATGTTGCCGATCCGGTTCGCACGGCTAAGGAAATGGCCGCGATCAACGAGGAGATGCGTATTCTGGATGCACAGGCTGATCAGGTCCGCCAGAAGATGCAGGAACCAGGCGAGTCATTTTATTTTATTTAAATATAATTCTGAGGTTTATGCGAATATCAATTCTTTTTTTGTGATGAAAAGCTGTTGAATTATGGAATTTTTCTACACGATCCATTTAGAAATGGGCGATGAGGAGGAGTGCCAGCTGATGGAGACCTTGCAGTTCTGTCACATTGAAAAGGTTTTACATTGGGGCCGATTTATTATGCTTGCCTAGGATCGTCTGGTCGGCCGTCAAGAGTACTACAACAACATCGAGAACATTCGTCTGGCTGAGGCTGAATGCTCTGAGCTTCAGCAACTGATCAACGATGACTCTATGATGAATGGCGAAATGGCTTCGGACTTGGTCCAGCGTCTGCTCTTGGCCATGGACCGCAGGAAGGAGCTGACGATGAAGGTTGTGGATGCTGAGGAGCAGATGTATGCTTTGAGCCAGTGATTGTAATTTTTCGTTTAGCGAGGAACGTGCTGAGATGCTTCGTGGTGACGCCACGCGTAACTCGTCCACTTTGATTCGCCATCAGACTCCCGGGTTTGAAATTTTCACTCGACTATATTTGTTTATTCTAGCTCTGCTTCTTCTCAGCGCGGCACGCCGCAATACAAGTCGATGCGTGAGAGGGCTAGCCAATGGTTCACTTCGAAGGACTGATTCTCGTCATCTCATTGATGCTATCACCTCGTACAAATTACACTACGGTTAACTCTCGTCCCCCTTTTCCCTTGCCCCGAGCCGCCATTGTTATTACGCGTTCTCCCCTCGTTACAGGTTGCTGCCCAGCAGTTTGGTGGCCTCGCGCAGCCGTTGAACATATTTAATACCGCATAATACTTTACCTCTGGTATCTGTGTTATGGATTAAACACTTGATGTCTTAACATCAAACTTCCGCTCTAAAAGTTCAACGGCTGTCGGGTCTGCCGAGTCTGCTCTAGCTCAACTTTTTCCCACGTTTTAACTATTTTGTTTTAATAATAACCGGTGCCCCATTGGCCTTCTAGTCTCCCCCCACCAAAGAGCAATTCGCTCCCCCAAAATTTTAAGGCGCCATTATTTCCCCATATTTCTAATAAGTTGCGGTTAATAAAAGTTACATGCAGGGCACATTGTTCCGAATGGGACTGGGTTGGAAAGTTTTGATTGGTCGGGCTTTTCGTGGCTTTTACACAAACTGAGCTACAACAGAGAGTGTTCGGTGGTGCGAATGAGAACGTGGCCAACGCGGTACCAGGGCCAACTTCTACAGGGTTTGTGGTGTCGGCCCAGCTGTGGGAGCCTTGTATTTTGGTTGGTCTCGCTCCAGCAAATTAATGCATTACTTTTCGGGTAGTTGTCGGTTAGCACGATAAATAAAATCGTTTAACTTATTCATCCAGTTCGTGGCAATAAATTTTCCGGCAATGCGTATTTACAGACTCAGTTTACGGAAAGGAATCGATCTCAAATTGATCAAGTAACGTCGACAGCAGCGACAGAGAAGCAGCCGAATTCGTTTAACTTTGGGCAAAGCTAAGCATACGGGTTATTATTAGAGGTGATTATTTTCGGGTCACTGGAATGATAGGGCAAGTGGCGTTTTGCTTAATTAATGCCGAAAATCCTCAAGAGTATCACGGAATCGTTCAAAAAAACAAGGAAAATTTTCAAATAGACCCTAAAATTGACTAGAAATGAACGGGTGTATGGGAGGTTGATTTTCTGGCGGCCACGAAACGCGGACGGTGTGGAATAAATAATTTTTGGAAGGTTTAGGGTCCGGGGTTTAGCGCATTATTAAAAAAGGGGTACTTAGGATTAAGGATTTTGGTAAAGGCCTGAAAAAGAGAAGATAAAAAGTAGGAGGCGAAAGCCAGACGTTGACCGGAACACGGGAAAATGGCGCACACGTAGAGAGCGGATGGGTTAGAGGGTTGGGTCTTGATTGGGTGTAATTGTTTCGAATTAAGCAGTAGTTGGGGGGGTTGTCGAAAACGGTTGATGAGGGGTGGAAAAACAATGGGCGGAGAAACTCGCACACGAGGCTCGTTGACGGAATTGGTAAATTTTGCCTAAAAAAATCTCGTGACTGTTGCGATGGATATGAGATTATGTAGGAGGAGAGCAGGAGAGATTTGCGGGGGGCAGGCCATTTGGCGACCTATTTGTAGCTGAAGTTCGGGTTGACAAAAGTGAAGCCGCGGAATTCGTCCTGGTTGATTGTCCGCACGATCTGGAATGGAAAGTTGTTGGTTTGCTTCCGGACGTTACATTTTTCATTTGAGGTTTTTTAGTAGCGCCTACCTGTACTTCAGTTGGAGTCAAGACAGGCTCCTCTTTGGTGAAGTCGGCGTCGAAGTTGTTGGCGTCGCGTTTGTTTTTCTGAATAGGGTGTAATTATTGGATCAGTAGAGAAACTCACGATCTTTGGCTTGAATGGAGGCCGAACCTGCCGAGCTTCCAACGCATCCCAATCAATATCCCTAAAAGCACATGTTATAACCTTATTTATCGATTTCTTTAGGTCTATTATGAACTTATTGACCAGTTCCTCACCTAAAGAATGGATGGGCTCGAATCGCGTCTTCACCGCCCTGGGATGCGACGCACCCTAGTCGCTTCTGCGGGTTTTTCGTCATGAACTAAAATCCAGAATACATTTTTTTTGAGAAAAACCTACAGCTTTCAAAATGTTGACAGCTTCCTTGGACAGCCAGACCGGGTATAGGACATCGTCATTCAAGATAGCCTCGAAAAGATCGTCCTCGTTGTCGGCCTCGAATGGAGGTTGACCTGAAATTTCCAGTGTTTATTTTGTAGTCTAACTAGTTGTTTGTTTACTTATAGGTTCAGCCACTTACCAGCCATCATTTCATACATCAACACTCCGAGGGCCCACCAATCTACCGATTCGCCGTATTCGAGTTCTTGCAGGATTTCCGGAGCGATGTAATCAGGCGTCCCTGAAAAGCAGTTATCTTGACCCTTTTTATTTTTGTGACATACCGCAGAAAGTGCTTGTTAGATTATCTTTGTTGATGTTTTCTTTGCACATTCCAAAATCGGCGAGTCGACAATGGCCGTCAGCATCGAGGAGGATGTTGTCGAGCTTCAAGTCGCTAAAAAAACCAGATAATCGATTTTAATTAGGCGACGAACCGATAGATAACGTCATTCTTATGCAAGAATTGAAGAGCGCACGTGACTTCAGCGGCGTAGAACCTAAAGAAGAAAATTATTGTTTTTTTTCGCTAGCAACTCACCTTGCTCGTGGTTCATCGAATTTCCGGGCTCGCTGGATTTGGAACATCAAATCACCACCGTTGACATACTCCATTACAAAGAAGAGACGGTCCTGAAAATGATACTTAGCTTTATAAATATTCTTTTAGATCTATGGATAATAATTCCTAGTATCAGAACATACCGGTGTCTGGAAAGAAGAATGCAGTGCCGTCAGGAAAGGATGCTTGGCAGCCAGCGCCAGAATTCGCTTCTCGCACATCGTGCACTCGACGTCATCGTCCTTAATTCAAATTACGTTTTGATGGATATTTTTGACGAACAAACCTGCAAGATGACGTCCTTCTTCAAAACCTTGACGGCGTACACCTCATCCGAACCCTTCTTCTCGGCCAGCATGACCTAAAACCTTCTTAATTTTCATGATTTTAAGCTCCACCTTTCCGAAAGATCCTTTTCCAAGAACTTTGATGAATGTGAAGTCCTGGATGGAAATGCTGCTCTTCCCGCCGGTGTGCACAATCTTCTGATTCGGCTCCACAGATATAACTAAATTCTCGACGGTTTAGCTTTTTTGAGTGCGACTCACCGGAAGAGGGATCCGATAAGCTGGTGCTGGTCGTTTCTGTGCTCATTGCGCTCATTATCGAGGGCTAAAAGAAGAGAAACAATGTGGTTTCATAACCAATATTTACCTTCTTCTTGCTCCGCACGCTCATTTTATCGCCGGTGAGGCCGAGCTGGGCCAATTCGGCGGCCATCTGCTTCGCGTTGATGCCGCAGTTGTTCGCCACATTGTTTTTACACCTAAATTCATAATATTTTTCAGAAAAAGTTAGAAAACCCTACCGCTTATGTACATTCAAGCGACACGTTGTGCATTGGAGGCCCTGGTTGATCAATCCGTACAACATAGAACCTGAAAAAAGATAGTGAATTGAAAAATAACCTTTTTGAGGCTAGAGAAGGGGTTTTAATGAAATTACTTACCGCAATGGTCGCAGAATGTGGGCCGCTTATAGGAATGCACCATAAAGCGATGCGGCATATTGATGTTGAACCGTCCCATACCACTCTGAAAAAGTTAATTTAGGTTGGAAACCTATATATAAAAGTAAAGGCTTACTTCTAAATTTTAAATACTTACATCCTGCACTTCTTTCGAGATCTCATCAAGCCCCTGCTCCTTATTGCCCGGACATTTCCACACAACATCCTCATGGCATCGCTTGTGGACAACGACGGTGCAGACTAAAAAGTTTTTAAGGTATTTGAGTAAGTAATAAATACTCATACAATTTAAATATATAAAAACTCACTTTGACACTGATAACCCTGCTTGCCGATTCCCCAAATGAATTCCTTGCAGTGGGCGCAGAACGTGGGCTGCCGCAAGAATAGCGCCATAAATTTGTGGCCGGTGACCTAAAAGATAATTTTGTAAAAAGCTAGATATAAAAACTTGTATTAAAGTTTTAAAGTCTGATTAAAAAGGGTTACCTCATGGATTTTACGTCGCATGGCACCGCGTCGTTGCCGATCGTTGAAGGCATTTTGACGCTCCTTGAATTCCTTGCGCTGGTTGTTCTTCACGTGGACGGATTCTGGAAAAAAAAAACAGGGTTTGCATTGAACTTTCGAATAGTCAAGTTTCAAATTTGTTTGTTATTTTTGCGGGGCGAACTTTATGGCCAGGTTCACAAGACCTCTCGGCACGCCCACACTTATCAGTCCGAGATGACCGGGGGACACCTATTTTGGCCCCGATTTTTCACACCTTCTGAAGGGTTTTTGGATTTCTTATATAGGATTTTCTGTGGCTTCTCTTTTATTGAGGGGTATATATAATCTTAGACAGCGGGTCTAATATTGAAACAGAGTCACTTGCTTTTAAGCCAAGATGCTGTTTTTAAGCGTCAAAAATTAAAATACATCTATATAAATTAGTTGTCGCGCTAAAATATCCCTTTTTTTGTCGACAATTTATGAAAATTACCAAAAATGATTGATAAAAGAAAATAGCTGGATTTTCAAGGAAGACTCCGATGCTGAATGCGAGGGCATATATTCGGGATTCGAAATGGCTTCTTGCTGGCCGTCGGTGTTACTTCTCTGATTTTTGTCACCCTCTACAATACCCAACCACCTCGGGCCATTTTTCAAGAATATGCCGTTGAGCAGCTCGACAACCAAATTTGTCGGGTCCCGACACCTGACCCCTGGGATCCAGAAATCAAATCACTCCTGAAGAAACCGGGCCCGCTTATTTGCAAACAACTACAAGATGAAATGGTCGAATATAGTGAAAATGGGACGCTCCTAATTATATTTCGAAAGTACCCCATTGAGTGCCGCTATCGATGCTTTCAACGTGGAATTGATGATTTTCACTTGGAATTCAAGGATTGGCGAGATTTTCAGGTAAGGGTTTCGTGCAAAGCCATTGCTTTTAGGGTGGTGAGGCCACACCGGGATGTGAATTCACCGAGGTGCAGTGCCGGAAGAAGAATTTCCCATATACGACCGTTTACACGAACAATTTTGCACGAATTAAACGGGCAAAGGCAATTACCGAAAGATTGGATCATCACTACGATGCGATTCTTCTCGTGGTCGATTCTTTGTCTCACTCAAATGCTGTTAGGAATTTGCCGGCAACTTTGAAGGTAGATTTATGTGAATTGATCAGCTTTTTTAGGTATTACTCGAAAAGTATAGCAGCGTAGTGATGGATGGATTTACAAAAGTTGGTGACAATTCATTTCCGAATGCTGCTGCTTTTTTGACGGGTTTATACTATCTTTCGTTTTAAAATGTCTTAATTCTATAAAGGTAAACGCGTTCGTATCAACGGATACCCTGGCGAGCTACCCGATGATATGACCGGAAAAACTTACGATAATTGGCCGATTATCTGGCGTAATTTTAGTGAAAAAGTGGGTTGATAGGTTATAACCCTTATGACTGCTTTAGAACTATCGGACTTTCTACGCTGAAGACTACGTCGATTATAACCTCTTTACGTATCTGGCCGCCGGTTTTCAGCATCAACCAACTGACGCCTATTTTCGGTAACTGCTAGATTAGCAGAATTACAAACGATACTTTAACAGACCTTTTTGGCTAAACGTCTATAACAGCTATTTACATAGAAGAAGCACCCCGCTTTGCTACGACCGGAAGCCAATGCATCAAATTCAAGTACATATTTTCCTTTTTTCTAGCTTTTCCCCAGTTAAGCTATCTCTCCCAATTCCTTAATTCGACATCCCGTCCAAAATTCGCGCTGAATTGGTTGACCGAACTAGGCCACGATTTTATGCATATCGTCAATGTGGCGGATATGGACCTTGCAAAGTTTTTTGAGGACAATTATGCGTTGCTCAAGGTAATATCGTACTTCTCCAAATCTTTTCATTTAGGATTCGTTTTTATTCGTTTTCGGCGACCATGGACACCGTTTTGATGCTATCCGAAATACCTATACGGGGAGGCTAGAGGAACGGCTGCCATTTTTTAGTGTTCGTGTACCGGAAAGGCTTTCTAAAAAGTGCCCGGGTTTATTGGAGACACTTCAGGCCAATTCAAAGGTAGTTATGGTTTCCTAATAAAAAAAGCATGATTTCAGCGTTTGACTACATTCTACGACCTGCACGCTACACTGGAAGAAATTCTGATGCTCGGAAACGAAATTGTTTGTGAAGGGATCGAGCACAAAACGCAAGCTAGAGGACTAAGCCTCTTAAGGTCGATTCCGGAGGCGCGGAATTGCGAAGAAGCCGGCGTTCCGGAAGAGTTTTGCGTTTGCCAGAGCGTAGGAAAAGCCATGACTTCAAAGAAATGTCAATTTTTTGTAGGAAACGCCCTTGCCGGCTGATAATCAAGAAGTGGGGGAAGCTGCAAAAGTTTTGGTGCTACATATCAATGAATTAATAGCTGGTGATGCGAATTGCGCAAACTGGGTTTTTGAGAAGGTTTTACATGCGGAGCGGGTATTTTCGAGGATACGGTAGGTTTTCGAACGTTCGTACTAGGGTGAAGATTGTGAATCTAAGTGTTTTTTGACCCAGAGCTTCAAAACGTAATAAAAACCTAAATTAAATCTCAAAAACGGCTAATTTTGGAGGATCTCTTAGCATGGTCTGCATATGCACACTTTTATTCTAAATTTTTATTTAGATTTAAGGTATTAAGGCTTCTATATTAAGATTCTGGTTTCGAAATCGTGGATCAGCTGTCACCCCCATAAATAGCGCCCCCAGAAATGACGCGTCTTAGCGCTTTTCTGCCCTCTTTTCAAAATCGCAAATCAAAGCCGAAATGTTGCCCCTCGTCCCCAGAGGGCCAGGCTCAAGCCGATGCTCCTCCTCGTTTAAGAATTGTTGATTTGGTGGTGGGTTTCAGTGGTGGTGGTGGCGGTTCAACAATGGCTGTGCGCCGTCTGCGTGTCTCAATCAGCGTCCGGCCGTCTTCCGCCGTCTTCGAGGCCCTCATTAGGTACACATACCGTATCCGGGGGCATCGGGGGTTAAACCTTCCGGAAAGGAGCAAAAAGGAACAGGGCAGAAGAGCAAATACAGGAGGTGCGAATCCTGGGCCGGAAACCCATCTTGGGGGCATGAACGGCAGGGTTCAACTTTTGCAGAAAAGTTGCGAAATTTTTGGCCTTGCCACCCCGTTAATCTATTCCCTAACCCATTACGCCATATTTTCAGGTACCACCCCTTAACCAAAAAATATACAATCATTGGAGACGTCAACCGCACCAATAAATATGGCCACACCGGCGACTGTATAAACGTCGTAAATTTGCGAAAATTTTGCCATTGCAAGGTTTAAACGGACCAAAATGTAATGAATAAATTTTGAAAATCAAACTAACCTTGAACGAGCGTCCCCTTCAATTCGATGGCGACGTGGAGTTGTCCGTGTGGTTCCAAGTCAACCTAAATTTTGAGAGGTATAGAAAAGCTAAATTTGAGTGGTTTCCAGGCTTTAAAACACTTTTAAAAAACATCATTAAAAGCGCATTGTCATTTGAAAACTCACCCAAAAGTCGTTGAGCGCCTCGGCTTTGAGCTGATCGAACTGGACGCGGCAGTTGGCGACAAAATCGTCGGGCGGCATCACGCAGTTGTGGAAAATCGTGAAGCCGACCGCGCGGCCCGAGTGGACTTCGGCCTAGAAGCACGATTTAATAAATTTAAAGTAATACTTAAATCCAAAAATTAGACGTCAGAACTGTATTAGAAAAATTGTTCTCTATATGAAAACATTGAAAACTTACGGTAGGAAACTCCTCATTCCAGGCCGGTGCGCATGTCTTGCTGCGCACGTTCGTCCGCCCGATGTGGTACTCATCCCAGTCGACATTAACATACGCGTCGATCCCCTGCGATTCGGACTGCGTGGAGAATCTGAAAAAATCATTGTATGTTCGAGTTTACGAGAGAACCGACCTCTTGCTCCATTCTGTTGGCCGCAGGCCCCGCGCCTCAATCACCCGTATCTAAAAAACGACTTAAAAAGATGTTTAAAGATGTTTTTACCTTAATGGAGCCGGAGTATAACATGGCTGCTGGGTCAAATTCGATACTTCAATCAATACTACGGTCGCATCGAGTGGGAGGCTGTTTGCTAAAAGTTGGGAATATAGGGGCTAGATTGAGATGGAATGGGGAGCACGAGAAAAACCGAAAACAGGGAGAACGACGTAAACAAGAAAACAGTGAGATAAGCGAAGAAATAATTAATGGTAGCAAGCGATAGATAGATAAATGGAGAGAGAAAAAAAGAGAGATGAGCTTCGAGGCGCTACAAATCCAACACCAAAAATTGCCCTCTAAAAGCAACTCCTAAAGTAACACACCGACCCCCCAAATCTGAGGCGCGGCACCTCATCAAAACGCGATGAAAAGCGCGAGGGGGGCAGATAGATCGATGGATATATATGAGGAGAGCTGCACGGGAAAAGAAGGAAGGAGAACGGCGCGGGGATGGATGGCCCTTCGACCCCTGTGGACTGAGTCGCGGACCAGACCAAAAAGCCTCCCGCCCAAAACATCCATTTCCTGGCCCCCGGCCGTTTTTTCTTCTTTTTGCTTCTGCTGGTCCTGTGCTCTTCTTGCCGTCTTTTTACCGAACACCGCACGAAACAAGAAGCAGAAAAAGGGGGTTGGAAGTCATCTTACTCTGGCCCCCCCCCTCTCTAAATCCCCTGGTTCCATTTTCAAATCAGCCGGGCGACTTTTTGGAGGGTGGAATGGTTGGGGTGGAATCATCGTCACTTTAGCCTTGAAAAGACTCGAAGGTTCATATACTTCAAAAGTATAAAAAATGTAGATAATAATTGGTTTTAAAAACTAACGTTTTGCGTTATTAAGCGTATTAAATACAGTATCTTCAGGGCTTTTTAAAGGGAAGTGCAAGACAAATATTTCACAAATATCTCGACTAAAAAATTTGAAAAATATGCATATGAAACTTTGCTGCCCCCCGAAAGGTCCAAAAGGACTTTAGGAATTTTCGGAAAAAGATCGGTAACGCGGAAGACTACCGAATTTAATAAAAAGAATAAAAAGAAAGTGGTTAAATCCATTGAAACTTAAGAAGAAGATCAGTATGATCCGACACTACCAAACTGAATTAATTATTCCAATAAATTACATATAAATCCGTAGCGTGGCAAACAACCCGCCTCCCCCTTCTTCAGAATGTGCGTCGTCGCCCGGGCCCGAATGGCCTCCCCCTCCTACATCCCGAAACTCTACGTAAAACAACAACCCGTCCCCCAAACCCTGATCCGGTGAAAAGGTCGACCCCCCGTGTTGTGCATAGTTTCTGTGGATGACGGAGACGTGGGCAGCGCCAGCGGATTAGCCCCAACCGTCGATAGGTGCGTCGCGTACATGAATCAGAAAGAAAAAAAACGCCTATTGGCGAGTTGTAGGAAGTTTCCTGATAAACACGTGGTCGGATTATCGCTGTTTACCATCCCATTCTAGCATAAAAACGGGGGGGGGGGCTGCTGATGAACACCTGAAGAGCAATGGGGCCCGGGGGGTGGTGCAACATTTTTTGGATCCCCCCCTGCTGTCGACTACAGTACGCAACTACCCGTGACACACCGGGGATCAACATTTTTTTGGGGATGGGCTGCAAGGGCCCTGATACAACGGATGAGAGTATAATGTGAAAATCAGGGGATTGTGAATTTGGAAAGATTAAAGGGGGGGCAGATTGATTCGATTAGAGGCGAAAGGAACAGAAAATGGCAGAAATTTTTTATGGTTGGAGTGATTCATGCGGAAATTTCGGAGTTATAATTTAGTGAAAATTAGAGTAAACAATTCTACTATATTTTCACCTTAAAAATGTATAGAAAACAGGGATAAACTAGTCGTTTCTGGCTTAAAATTGAGCCCAACCTAGTATAAGATTTGAAGCTGGATTTATGCAAAAAAATAGAAACAAAGCTGTGTGTTTTTTTTGCTTGGAGCAATCCAAAATGCCAAAAAATAGGGGTTGCGCTTTTTAGGGATTATCTAATAAAAAACATAGGTTTTGCACCTTTTTCTATTTTAGGTGTAATCAAAACAGATTTAAGAGATCTATAGAGCAATAAGGCCACGCATTTAATAGTAATAACAAATTTAAAGCATCCAGACAACAAATTTAACATTCTAAAACGAAATGCACAAAAATAATAAAACTTATACAAAATGCACATTAAAAATAGCAACAACACCCAGGCCCGGGCCCCTCCAAATCCGTTCAACCGTAGCCCAGCCCATATTTCCGGAAGCGCCCCCCAAAAAAAACCCTCGAGCACCACCAGGAGCCCCAACAAATCAATGCGCGTTTGTTTTTTGGAGTGAAGTGGAGTGAAGGGTGGTTGTGAGTGTGAGTGTATGTATGTATGTGTGTATGTCTCTCTGTCTGTCTCTCTCAGAGTGTGTGTATGTGTATGGGTCTGGTGTGAGTGCCGAGTGAGGCCGAGGTGGCCGCCGGGCGGATTTCCATACAAAGTGTCACAGCGAGCGTAATCCTATTTGAGCGAGGCGGAAAAGGGGGGGAGGACAAGCCGGGACACGACAAGCTCGAAACGGGCCTCAACACCACACCCTCAACCCGCCCCCACCCGCGGTCCCCGAGAAATCGGTTAATTTTGGAGGAGTTTTATGGGTTTTGCGAGTCTCGGTGTTTTAAATGGATTGTGAATTCAAAAAGCTGTCGATTTAAGCAATTTTGAGTTTCTACTGACTGGAAGTTCAGACGATGAAATTTTGGTAGCATATTAAAACTAACGCCGTTAGAATTAACTGATTCAGAGGTTTTTCATGGGATTGTGAAGCGAAGACTTTAGATCCTAATATTTTTAATATTTTGAGAGATTGATAGATGGATTGTTAGCAATAACAATTTTTAAGGGCTACTAAAGGTATAATAGCGATCCCACTTTTCTAAATTTTTTCTTGCTTAGACTATCAAATATCGAATTTTATTAGATGAAAACTAAGGTATCTGTCGGTTTTAAAGGGGTTGTAAAGTATAGAAATCTCTTCTATAAATTTAGTAAGCCATTAGAATGCCAAATCGAAAACCCCAAATTCAATTTTTTGGTTCTAGAACTACAGTATCGAAGTTCCACGATAATAACTATAAAATCCAACCAGTTCGTGCCCTTATATATCGCCATATAGACGCGGCTGATCAAAGCCTATATTTTATACACAAATTCGCTGTAAATGCAAATTAAATTATCCCACATGGGCCAGACCTAGACCTCGAAAATTGCCTTTGTCGGGATCAGTAAACCTTCAAAAAAGGACAGCTTTGATGTCCCAGCTCTCGTATGAATATAGATAGATCTATGGCCATGTTCATAGGCTGGGCGCAAATTTCTTTGGGCCCTAGCTAGAGGACCCAGTTGACTAATAAGGGCGACGAATGGGATTTCGGGCGGCCCCCTTCGAGACGGCCGGCCGAGACGAAAAATGGGTGAATTGGGTACGGTCTCCCCGGGCTCCACCCCGCATTCGATTTCCGGGTGCTCAGCTGCCGACCGGGGAGAATTTTGTCTTAAGGGATTGGATGAACATGGGTGTTGTTCTATTTTTGGGGAGACGTTCCATTCAGTAACTGGGTGGTTCGGGTGTTTAAAGGGGCTGGGAAAGGCTGAAATCGGTTAAGGCCTAGGAAAGCGCTTAGGTATCGATAGATTTGAATTATTAAAGAGGTTTTCAAGTCACGAAAAATGTAAATTGGTGTATTACGCAACTGTCGATACCCAGCTCGCAAGATGCTGTCGATTCTGACAATTCCCAATATCCTTAAAGGAACCGGCAGGGGCGTAGCCAGAAAAAAAATTTCGGGGGGGGCCCCGAAAAATTTTTTTGGAAAAACTCAAAAAATTAACGAGAAAACAGCGCCGCAGGCGAAAAATTTTCGGAAAAGGCTATATAGCTCTACAAATAGCAGTAAAAACGTGAAAAAATAGCGCCGCAGGCAGCAAAATTTTTGAGAAATGAAAAATCATAAGGGCCCCCCTTATGAAATTTTCGGGCCCCAGCCGATTTCGGGGGGGCCCCGGGCCCAGGGGGCCCACCTTACGCTACTACGTCCCTGGGAACCGGTAACGGTCCCTTTAAAATTTTCGGAAGTGAGAAAGCAAAATCAAGCACAAAATATGACTTCCTACTCCCTGTAAAAAAGGTGAAAAAGTCATAAGGAAGCTCTACTTGTCGGCCGAAAGCCCAGCAGTGTAGCCGAAAATTAAAGATCTTTTTTGTTCTGGGTAGCTACAGACTAAAGAATGGTGACCACCAGGGGATTCACCCGGGTGAAGCCCCGGAAATTTGGGGCGCCTCTGACTAAATGCCGAGGTCCCAATTTGCCATTATTCGCCCCGTCAGCTGTCACTAAAATGTTTGCGATTTAAAGGGGTGAGATTGAGGGATGAAAAGGGCAAATAGAAGCGATGGAAGAGAGAGCGAGAGAGACAGATAGAGAGAGAGAGAGAGACAACGAGAGAATAGATGGATGGGGTAGGGGTAGGGTGTCGATTTCGAAGTTTGAGGAATGCCACAACTTATCGGTCAACAAAACCCCCCATGGCTCCCAGAGGGGAGCGAGGGATGGCGGGTCCCGAAACGAAAATACCCCCGCCCCGGCCGGGGAGTGTTGACCGGGAGACGCAAGAAGGGAAGGGGGAGTTGCGCGGATTATGATGATGGTTGAGGTGCGCCGAATAAGAGGGGGGAGCTATGTAAAAACAATTTTTGAGAGGGTATTATTGTAAAATCGGGTGGGTCCTGTTAAAGGATTAGATAAGATCGGGTATGGGTCGGGGTAATTTTTGTAGGGGTTATGGTAGATTTTAGGGACTTTAAAGCACGCGACGTTTAAAATATCGTATATTAAAGCTTTACGCCAAAAGATACGCATTAAAGCGACTGGCGATAGTGTCAAAAACACTGCTGGTGTTAAATTGCTCTTTTTTACATACAGATATCTATTTCTGAGATTGCCAAAGCATTCAAAGCTTGAAACCAATGATTTTTAGCTTGTTAAT